AAGGCAAATAAGCCTGCTTCTCTTCCCAATTCTCATTATTACTCTCTCTCTAGATCCTTATAAAATTACAAGTACATATCATATTGATTTTTGGTTATTATAATTTTTTTTTTTTTTCTTTAACTTGAATTTCATTTTAGGTTTGAATAGCAATATAGATATGATAATTCATAAATATATATATATATATTACTATGGAAATTGTGTTGATTACATAGAAAAATACTTCATTCTTTTCAAAATTATAGTATGTTGTGATTGACATGAGATTTAAGAAATATTGATATTATATTGGTAGTGGGTATAGAGTACAGGTAAAAGATTTTTTTGTCCTTATAAGTGTATTAGTATAAAAAATAGTAGCAATTGTGTAATAATAATGAAAAAGTAAGAGCAGTTTTATAGTGATATGATTATTAATGGAAATGAGACTATTGTTTTGGGACGGACAAAAATGGTAAACAAGATTATTGTATTGGGACGGAGGGAGTAGTATATAGATGCTTTGCTCCAATGTTAATCTTCTAATAATAATAAATAATTAACTATACTTAATCTTTACATCATATTTTAGGGGCCAAGGGTGTATATATTTTAGTATTGAATTAAAGTTGTTTGATATTGATTGAAATAAAATTTGAAAAATGAAAAAATAATTTTTGTAGGGTTGGAATTAGTATTTGCGAGGAAAATGTTTCCTTGCAAAGCCGAAATTCGAAATTAAAATTCGAGATTCCATCCCTCGCAAACTATTTACAAATTATACAATCTTTTGGAACAGCGGACACTCTCAATCGAATTATTCAAATTTAAGTTCCTCGCAAATATTTTGTGAGAAATATCATTCCTCGCAAAAAAAAATAAAATAATTTTGTCGCCTATTCTTTACGAGTGACATTTAACAAGAGATCTTAAGGTGATTGCAGAGTAAAAAATTCACTTGTAAAACTTTTGGTTTTTATTTTTTATTTTTTATTTTTTATTTTTGTAGCATATAAAATATAGAAATATATATATATATATATATGTGCTTTTGGTCTTATAAGCAAGCTATTTATCATTCTAGTCATAAGTCATTTGAATATATATATATATATAAATAGTTTTATAAACCCTACACTTATCATAGAGAAAAGTGCATTTATTTACATTTGTTTTGCTATAAATGTGTAAAATATTTTTAATTTCATTTATGGTGTAAAATCTCATTATATTATATTAAATATGCACGAAATACTCTTTTCAATCACTGTCATTTCTCATAAATATGTGTTAAATTTCAAGTGCTATACAAATATTAAGTGAAATATCTTAAATATTATTCTTTGATTTAAAAGAAATTAATCAATTTTTTATTTCATAGTTTATAAAAATTAGTTAGGATATTTTTATTTTACGAAGTACTAACTATAAAATGAATGGTTGATTAATTATTTATTTATTTTATTTAAAGAATGATATTTAAGACATTACATTCAATTTATTTGCATAATATTTACATCATTAGACGTCATTTGAATACAAAGCATTAAAACAGTAAGGATTAAAATACAGGATTAATAACAAATTAAAAAATCATAAAAATCCAAATTAATTACTCCCTTCATCAAAATTATGCACTATTTCATTTTTAGTTATACCACTAAAATTATAAATAATTCATTTACAATAAATAATTTTATTCATTCATAATTTTATTATTTTTTTAATAAGTAGTAATCAAATTGTCACTATTTTTTATTTACTTTACTATTTTTTAATCAATTATTTAATAATTTTTTATAATATTTTTAATTTAATATTAAACATTACATATATATATATATAAAGATAGTACTCCCCGTCTCATATACCGTGTTTGCTATACTGTAGACACTTTATTTTAGGAGGGATGTAATTAGTAGATAATTAAAAATGTATTAGTAAAAATAATTATCTTATAATATAAATAATTATAAATTAAGATTAAGATAACTAATTAGTTTAATTAAAATTTAAAAAAAATTAAAAAGTTTAAAATGAGATTATCATTTTTCAAAAAAGAAAAACAAAATTGAATGACAGACACAACAATGAGGACATGTTATGTGTGACGGAGTGAGTAATATACATGGGATTTTGGTTTAAAAGGAAAAGCGGGATACCCGTGCTACGCACGGTGAAATCTAACGAAAAAAATTATAATCATATTTTATTATATACTTGGCATCTACCATCATCCACTAATTATCGGCCAAACACATCTCTGCAGACACTCAGCCACGACTGTTCGAACACAAAGATTTACATTATGTACTTGGAATAAAATACGCAATATAACTGAAATAATTTAATGTTAAAATAATATTTTAATTTATTATGAACAAAATCAATTAAAATATATAAAAAAGTTATACATATATATTTGGATTTGTTTAGAACTTGATTGATTATGAAAATAAAACTATTATTCATATACATATAACAATTTCTATTTTTTACAACTTAAAGAATAAAATCAATCTCTCATGACTTAATTACAATATTGTAACTCTTTATGATTAAAAAATAATAAAAATAACATATAATTTAATATAAATTATGATCAATTGCTAGTAAGAATTTAAATTATACTTAAATGTATAATAAAATAGTTAAACACCTGAAAACAAATCACTATGTGAAGAAATTAAATACAAAATGAAAAAGAATAACCATAGTCCAAAAAATAACCTCATAAAAATAAATCAACAAACTTAAACAAAATTTAGAAATAAAAGCGAGCGAATCATCCAACAAACAATTTAGAAAATAACTTTATGCAAAAATTCAAAAAAATATATAATTAATAAAAAATTTGTCTTCTATCATATAAAAAAATGGCTAAAAAATTATACAAAAATTCAAAAAAATATAATTAATAAAAATTAATATGAATCAAATAATAGCAAAATATAAGAACTTGAGAAAGAAGTGAAAATTAAATAAATAAAAAAAAAAAAAGAACAACACCTTGTAAAATTTATTGAAAAACTTAAATTAGAAAAATTTTGTCTAATCAAATATCAGGAAAATATAAGAATTTTGTAAAAATTAAATTAAAAAAAATTTAAAAAAAAAACACCAGTGTAAAATTTATTGAAAAATTTAAATTTATTCAAAAACTTCAAGAAAACGGAGAGCAATGACAAATTTATTCAAAAACTCAAATTCATTAAAAAATTTACTTTAAAAACTTACTTCAAGAAGACGGACTTCTGCTCCTCATGCTCCTGCTCTAGCAATCTTTTCCGTAGAAAATTTTTGTCTACCATTGAAAAAATAGGGCTAAAAAATTATTCAAAAATTTATTTGATAATTCATCAATGAAAATTTATTCAAAAATTCAAATTCATTCAAAAATTTATTTCAAGAAGACGGACTTCTGCTCCTGCTAGAAAAAAATTTTGTCTACCGTTAAAAAACAGGGCTAAAAAATTATACAAAAATTCAAAAAAATATAATTAATATAAATGAATATAATGAAATAACAGGAAAACAAAAGAACTTGAGAAAGAAGTAAAAGTTTCCGAATTCTGCTATAAATTAAATTTTAGAAAAAAACAACACCGTGTAAAACTTGCCTGAAGAATCTTCTTCTCGAGAATCTTTTCTAAAAATAAACCAGAGCTAAAAATATATACAAAAATTCAAAAATTATAATTAATAAAAATGAATATAAGAACTTGAGAAAGAAGTGAAAGAAGCCATAATTTAAATTTTAGAAAAAGAATAACATTCTGTAAAAACTTGCCTGAAGATCTTCTCCCCAAAAAAAATGAATATAAGAACTTGAGGAAGAAGTGAAAGAAGCCATAATTTAAATTTTAGAAAAAGAATAACATTCTGTAAAAACTTACCTGAATATCTTTTTCTCCCCTTGTGGTAATTTTTTTCTAATACAAAGAGATAAAATTTCAGATATAACTTCACTATAAAAACTTATAAAAACTACTCCTTGAAGAACTCACCCACTTAAAAATAAACTTCCTAACTGTATCTCATTTAAAAAAACTGTAAAAAAAAAAATTAAATTAAAAAACAAAAAAATTCTCAAAATTCTAACATTGCAGCATTTGAGAAATATTATAAAAAGTAAATCTGCAATGAGCTGTTATATATATATATATATACACGATACGGGAAGAGGCAGGCAGAAACTATAACCATCATATTGCACTCATTATGCCTCCAACGATAATCATTCCTTTTGGTTGCCTAACCCCGCATGCACCCCTACCCCCCACCCCCCACCCCTTTCTAAATAAATCTACCAAATCTCCAATTATTTTTAAAATATTATTTAGGGTGTATTGTGTTGTTTTTGGGTTTGCAAAATTAGATTTTGGATTTTGAATATAAAATTTTAAAATAAAATAATTATTTGATATGATATAAATAAATTTTAATTTTAAATTTTAAATTTAATATAAAAAATAATATTTAATTTACTGTTATAAAGGAGAAATATATAATAAAATTTAAGTTGACAAGACACAAATAAAACAAAGCTTAAGAGGTTGTTTTTTATTTAGGTTTTGAATCATATTTTATTATTTATAAAAAAAATAAAATATATCAAATTAAATATTTATATTTTATTTTTAAAATTACATTTAAAAATAACTTTAAGGGATGTTTGGTATAGAAAACTAAATTGATCTAGTTTAATTGAGATAGAAATTTTAAGATTAAAAAATAAATTTTTTATTTTTTATTTTTTTGTTCTCATAGGTAAGAAATAGAAAATAAATAAATAAATAAATAAATTTAGCATCATATCATAGCTTATCTATATATATTCAAAGTATAATAAAATAAATTTATAGAATTAATTAATGAACTCTCTGAAAGTCTTTCGAATAATAAATTTTCAAAAAATTAATTAAAAACATTTATTTAAAAAATGGGTACGGTCCTCACTCCACTATTATATATGCACACTCACACAAAAACACACACTACTGCAATACACACCACTTCTAAAACGGCGTCGTTTCGGTCGTCTTCAACCATAAATCAAAAATTTTCACAGCACAATTCCAAATTGGCTTAGCTTCCATTAATGGCGGTTTCCGGATTTGAAGGCTTCGAAAAGAGGCTTGAGCTGCAATTCTCAAGCAACGATCCGAAATTCACTCTCCGGCAAATCGACTTCTTCGCAGTAGAGAAAGTTCTGCACGCCGTCCAGTGCACGGTGGTCTCCGCCGTCGGCAACAAATTCTTCGACTCGTATGTCCTCTCGGAATCCAGCCTTTTCATTTATCCTTCTAAGATCATCATCAAGACCTGCGGAACCACACAGCTCCTGAAATCCGTCCGGCCGTTCGCCGATCTCGCCGCCGGCGCCGGCCTGAAACTGTCGCGGTGCAGGTACACCAGAGGCAGCTTCATTTTCCCCGACGCGCAGCCGTATCCTCACACGAGCTTCGAAGATGAAGTAAATTACCTGAATCAGAGCCTGCCGGAAAATTTCTCCGGAAAATCGGCGGTGATGGACACGTGGAACGTTTTCACGGCGAGTGATGGCGGCGCCGCCGCGGACGACGGTTTGTACACCGTCGAGATTTGTATGACTCAGCTGGACATTGCTTTGGCGCGAAAATTCTTCCGCCGGCGCGGCGACGGCAGGTCACCGGACGCGGCGGGGATGGAGATGACGGCGGCGACGGGGATCAGAGACGTTAATCGGAAAGCTTTAATTTGTGACTACGCTTTCGATCCGTGCGGTTACTCGATGAACGGACTTGACGGAAACCGTTACTCGACGGTGCACGTGACGCCGGAGGACGGGTTCAGCTACGCCAGCTTCGAGTGCGTCGCCGGCGGCCGGAAAAATGAGCTGGCAGAGATATTGCAGAAAGTGGTGAAAATTTTCCGGCCGGCGGAGCTCTCCGTCGCCACCACGTCGGCCGGCGGCTGCGACGCGTGGCTGGGAGTGGCGGAGGCGTTGAAGCCGATGGGGATGAGGTTGAGGAGGCGGGCGGCGGAAGAGTTTCCGGCGGCCGGTACGGTGGTTTTTCAGACGCTCACTACTCGCCGGAATTAGGCGGCGCCGGCGCCGGCGGGGAGTAGTGGGGAAGTGTAGAGGTTTTAATTAGGTGGAATTTTTATATTGTTTGTTATTTGTTAAAATTTTATTTTATTTTTTATTTTAATTAGGAAATTTTAAAAAATGGAAATCCAGTACATTTGGAGAATAGTGCACCATGCCATTTTTTCGTTATGTTTCGATTTACTTTTGTATTTTTTATTTTAAATTTTAAAAATATTCTATTTTATATTCAAAATAATTTAAAATACGAAATAAAAACACATTTAATCACACAAATTATTGGAACACACTTGGACATACTTTTTTTTTTCTTCACTATCAGCACTATACTGAATTTTAAAATTATAAAATTTATATTTGTTTTAATGAATATCATTAATGTCAACTTAAAATATAAAGAAAAAAAAATATTTTCATATAAAAAATTATTAATCAGCTACCATTTAAATATAATAATTTTTAAATTTACATAAAAGATAAATACTATATAAATATATATATATTTCGGGTGTATATGGTTATGATTGGCAATTGAATTGGAAGAAGGGAATCTAAGCTGACACAAACACAGGCATGCTTAATCCACAGTAAAAATTAAATGAAATAAAAAACATGAAGATCTTCATCCAGATTTTGTATTTGATTATTGTCTTTTATATATATATATATATATATATATTGTTTTATTGTTATTGTTATTACATCAAATTTGGGTTTTTTTTTTTTTTAAAAATAAAATTAATAAAATAAAATTTTGATGTTGCATGCATGCATGCATGCTTTGTATATTGTATTTGGACTTAAATGAGTTTGCATGCATGCACTAGTGGGGCCCACAAGTGTGCTTACATTTCAAATCATATTCAAGAATCTCCTCGTAAATAATTTATTTATTTTTTATAAACCCCACTTTCAATGAATTAAAATATTAAATATTTATATAATATACATTTGGACATGAAGCATGACGTAACTACTGATGTCTGCCCACAACAACATATATGATTTGTTTTTGATTTTATTATTATTATTATTTGAAATCTAAAACTATTTATTCTATACAATTTTTAATACGAATGTAAGTCGGTTGATTATAGGTATGTACGGATTTACTTAGGGGTTTGGGGTCCCAAATTATATATATATTTTTTAGTGTAAAAATAAAAAAGTTATACATTTTGCCAAAATATCCCCTCAACTAAAGATATTATTTATGTTCTTCCCTTTTTCTTTTTCTTTTTTTCATTTCTTTATCTCGATAACAACATGATGTTATGCCAAGAAGAATCGAAAATAACGGTATTGTATTAATAGAAGTAAACCGCCATCTACCTCTATGCCCGAGACTCGATCCGGATCCGATAAGAGTATACAATACACAACTCATACCCGACCTGATATTCTAATAATTGGATCCGATCCCAAATAAATAGGTCGGGTCTCGGGTCTACCCAGACCTATTGTATGATACCCCTAAAGTTGGACCGTTGCTTGGCCAACTCCTGTGTGTGGATGAGCCGGTATTAGGCCGTCTAAAGTTAAAATAGATAGAATAGACCATTCATGTCAACAATGTGCACATTTCTTTTCGAGAGCCCTGTTGAAAGAACTCTATAGTTAAACGTGTTTGTCATAAAGTAATTTGAAGATGGGTGAAGTCTCCCAAAATATGCGTGAGTGAGGACAGAACCGCGCTGGAAGGACTCGTGTTGACCTATGGGGTCATTCTATGATCCCGATACGTTCGGCTGTGTGGCCGGGGTGTCACACATAGCCATCCCTATCTTTTATTAGAAATATACTATTTTTTCTTACAAAATATCTTTTGCAAAAATTTTCCAAAATTACTATAAACAAAAAATTATTATTTTTACATACAATATGTATATGTTTTACTACATTTAACACATAACATGTTAGTTGAAAATACATATTTTCTTAGCTGCTATTTTCAATATTGTGATGGTTTTGGGCTTAGAGGCCCAACAACACTTAACCCGACCCGTCCATCCGAACTCGGATCCGGTACCCACGACCCGACCCGTCTATGCAAGGCTCAATCAAGGCGTTGGATCGGTGGCTTGAATCTGGACCGTTAGGTCTGATTACCAGTTTATTATATATATATATATGCATTGGTTCTTCTCTGAATCCGGTTCAGGCTCATTTTTACAACGCGTATTTCTCTCTTTAAAAGCCCTAACCTCCCGTCGGCGATTCCAATCGATCTTCCTTGCAATTTTTCCGGTGATCTTGTCCGGGAAGCTGAGGATTCGATGTGCGCGATGATGTTCGACCTGTTCTGAGGTTGTCCATCGGTTTGCTTTCTCGATTCTAGTATGATTTGTTGTTCTTGGTGAATATTGCTTGTCCGCGATGAAATTAGATTTAGAATGTTGAAGTTTCCTTAGATTGTGGTTTGATTCGCGTTGTTTGTGCCTTTCCGTGGATGTTGCTTGGGTTTGGGTCGTGGTTGAGTGTTTGTGTTGGTTTCGGTTGAAATATGGGTAGACTGGGTTCGAGTTCCTTTGATTTCGAAATATATAAATGATTCTTTAATTTTCTTTTTGATTTCACTCGATTATGTGAGAACATTGTGTTGTTAATCTTGACATTAGTAATAACAAATATATATATATTTTTTCAATTCTCAAATTTTCTATAAATAATTTTTTTTCTTATAAAATATAATAACCAAACTATTAAAATAAAAGGTTAATACAAAAAAAAAATAAAATCACAAACTACACTTTGAATTTTCATAATTGAAATTTGTTATTTTGATTGTAATTGGGCCAAAACGATGTAAATCTACTAGTTGAAGTACAATTCTAAATTATAGTCTAGCCCAATAAATCAGCCCAAACCGGGTTTATTTTCTACCATCACAACATGTATTCTTTTAAAAAATAAATATTTTTTTGGTCGGTCAAATTCATTATATTTTTCTTTTATATTAAATTTATCTCGTTACTAATTTTAACAAGTAAAATATTCAATAATATTTAACTGTTATCTTCCATTAAAAAAAAAACTTATTTATCATAATTATCATTAGTTTTATTAACTTTTCTCTCATTATTCTTTTTATTCCGTAATTAAATTTTAAAATATATCATCCATTAAATTTTTTACTTTTGTTACTTTGTCAATATAATATTTATTTTTTAATTCTAATCGTGCTCCAACGGAACTAATTTTTACAGAGGAAGTAATTACTGCATGAGTCCATAGTGTATTTATTTACTATTTTTAATTGTGCGATAATTAATATATTCACTTAACATGTTACTATAGTGCAATTATTTTTATATAATTTTACATTATGTATCACCTATAAAATATTTATATCTTTAAATTTAAATAAAATATAAATAAATAGATATATAGACAATGGTGCATGTAGCATATATGATTAAATATAACCACAATTTCGGTTTGTTTGGTTATGGTTTGAAATTAATTTAAAATAAGTTATTAATTTGATTTTTTTTGTTTAAAGGTTATTTTGATTTAATATTTTATGATAAAAAATAATATATTTTTATAAAAACTTGTACTTCCTTCGTTTCACATATTGTGTATGATCTGTTACATTGTAGACACGGTATTTTATGAGGGGTGTAATGAGTAGATAATTAAGAATGTATTAGTGAAAATAATTATTTGATAATATAAATAATTATAAATTAAGATTAAGATAACTAATTAATTTAATTAAAATTTAAAAAAATAATAAAATTAAAAAATTTAAAATGAGATTAAAGTGTCTAATCATTTTCCAAACAAGAAGAAACGGCAACATGGACCGTGGGACGAATGGAATACTAAATAAATATTATTGATTTGAATTTCGTCGAGATCTGTCCAACACTAGTGTTAATGGGGCTGATTAGGTCCAAAATATTATATACGTTGTAGGTTATTGATTTTAAGATTTTTAAACTTTGGTGAGTTACGAAATTGATTTAAAAATAAAAATAAAAAATCTTCTTTAAATGCAACTTGTCTTGAATCATTTTGAATTAATAATATTTAAAATGAAAATAATATATTTACATGATTATATAAATCATTAAAATTTGTAATATTATTTTTCTACTTTTTTTTATTGCCTTTGTTCTTATTTTTAATTTTTCACAATTTCAATTTTATAGTATCAGTCATTGTTGTACTAATATCACCACAATTGAAAACATATCATCACTTATGTGATTGATATTTTTTTAATTTAAAGTATTTAATATTTACATTATAACATTTTGTGTGTAGACACTAAAAATATATTTAAATTAAATTAAATATCATGTATTTCGAAAGAAAATAAAATTTCAATAAAAATAAATATATGGTATTTAATTATACAAATATATTAATTTTTGTACAATAAATATCAACTATTAATGCAAAAATTCGCTTAAAATGAAAGATATCGTACAAATATTACGTGCATAAATAGAGTCTTAATAAATTTGGCAACAAAATAAATTAATCTTGTCAATAAATGAAGTATATAAATTAATATCTTCCGAAGAAAAAAAGTAATTATATAAAAATCTTGGCGATAAAAGAAGGTGCACAATCAAATCCGTCAAGAATAGAAAACGGCATCCGATGGAAAATAAAAGATTATAAAATCTTCATGTTGGTCAATCAAGACACACCACGTGACATCGTTAAAAAATGAAGCCAAAGTCACCCCTCCCTTATAAATAGGAGTCATGGCCAGTTCATTTGAGACGTCGAAGTTACATCGAAGATTCAAGCAAATGGATAAGTCTCTAGAATCTCTATGTATTGTTCTTTATATTTTTCATATTCTTCGATGCGTTCTTTGTCGAAAGTTACTGATTTGGACAAATGATCCAATATTGATTGACGAATCGATAGAGTTAACGTTCTTCGTCGTATGTCCAAGCCGGAGGAAAGATCAAAGCTCCCAAAGCCGTTGAGGAATTCGTCAAAGTCAAGGGAAGGTCTCCAAAGTTCCTCTCAAAACTTTAAGATGTTCATCGCGTTCTTCACCAAAGCATCAACTCGACCATCTTCGATCCAAAAGTCAAAGGGACATGCCACCAAAAGCGTTATGGAACACAAAATCCACCTCTTTAAGGATCAAAGCTCCAAAAGCCGTTGAAGAATCCATTAAAACCAAGGAAGAGCATCCAAAATTCATCTCAAAGTTTTGAGGTGTTCATCTGTTCTTCATCAAAACATCAACTCGGCCCTCTTCGATCCAAAAGTCAAAGGGACACGTTGTCAAAAGTGCTATGGAGCACCAAATCTACCTCCTCAAATATCAAACCCGCCGATTGTCCAAAGAAGGCATCAAATCCAAAGCCGGCGATCAAATCGCCTACACGGAGACCAAAGTCCTACAAAAGACAGCAAAACCAAATAAAAAATCAAAGTTTCAGATCGTCCAAAGAAGACACTAAATCCAAAGCTAATGATCAATTTGTCAACATGGAGACCAAAGCCCTCTAAAAGGCGGCAAAGTCAAATCAAATATCAAAACCTCGGATGAAGACATAAATCCAAAGCCTATTATCAAATGCATGTAGTTTTTTTATTTTTAATATATAAAAATTATTTTATTATAAATTTAAGTGTAATTTAAATTCTTATTAGCAATTCATCATAATTTATATTAAGTTATATGTTATTTTTTATTTTTTATCGTAGAATTACAATTTTGTTATCAAAGTAAAGTATTATAATGAAGTTATGGGGAATTGATTTTATTTTTAAATTTGTAACAGAAATTGTTATATGTATATAAATAATAATTTTATTTTCATAATCAATCAAGTTTTAAAAACATCCAAATATATGTATAACTTATACTCCTCCGTCTATTGGAAGGGTGATATTTGCTTTTTGCACGTAGATTTTTGAATATTAGTATTATATTGGATTATAGTAAAAAAAGACAAAAATAACCCTATTAGTATGTTGTAATATAAAAGTAATGGCATTTGTGTAATATATTGTAAGTTGAAAGAGTATTTATTATGTTAGGTAGATAGTACAATTACTAAATTAGAAAATACTAACCTTGTTTTGGGACGAACGAAAATAGAAAATAGTAACCTTATTTTGGGACGGACGAAAATAGAAAATTATAACCTTTCAATGGAACGGGTGGAGTATATATTTTTTTAATTGATTTTGTTCATAATAAACTTTATTTTTACATTAAATTATTTTAGTTATGTTACATATTTTATTCCAAATATATAAGGTAAATTATAATTTATTTGTAAAATTATTTTTAAAATTTATTTTAAATGATAACTTTTTCTAAAAAAAATTTATTATAAAATATTTAATTACTAAATTTTATATAAAAAGTTTATTATTTTTAAATTTATTAAAATATTTGAAAATAGAAATAAAATTAATAAAAATTTCAATAATAATATATTTTAAAATGACCAACAAACTTTTGTTGATTGTACCGTGCATAACACGAGTATTTCCGCTAGTATTTATATAAAATAAGGCAAAAATTTTAGATTGAAGACTTATTAAAACAGTATGTTATAGTAATAGTATGTTTGTGGGTTTTGTAGTTGGCTTTCAACTTTGAAATAGTAAAATTTTAAGTTAAAATAATTATTTGACAATATAAATAAATATTTATATAATAGTTTGAATATAAAATTAAATGTTATGTAATATAAAAATAAAATTTAATCTAATGTACTTTTTATAAATATATATATATTTGAGTTGAAAACTATAAACAAAGTTTTAGAAACTAATGTAATAGAAAAGACAAAAGTGAAACTATGAAAAAACATGGGCTGCACAAAAATGACAGCCAAAAATGCACTAAATGCTTTTTGGAGACAATTAAGGTAAATGGTTTGACTAATTAGCCCTTTCATGGGGTTTTGAAATTTTGAATTTTAAATATATATACTAATATTTTAACATCATATGCTATTAATTTTAATTTTGGTACATTATTGTACAACAAAAAATAGAAAGTAAGCTCACAGTTAATATACTTTAATTTTTTTTCACAATATATATACTTAATTTGTCTCAATTTTATTTTTTTTTTACGTCTCATAACAAATATTCATTTTCTTTTTCAACAATTGTATTATCTAACTAAAATTACAAACATCCTTTCAATTTACAATATATTACACAAATGTCGTTACTTTTATCATAAAATACTAGGAGAGAGTATTAAATCTTCACTGCATTGAATAATACTCCCTCCGTCCAACCAGAAACTATACATATTTCTATTTTTGGACGTCCAATTACAAAGTAAATATTTTATTAAATACTTCACTTTTTCCACAAATACCTTTACTTTATATCACATCATTACTTTTACACCAAAAAAAACAAGGGCAAAAAAATGTCATTACACTACTCTTAACTACTCACTATAATTAAAATACTATTATTTCTTAAACATCGCGCTAAAAGTAAATGTATACTTTATATGTGGACGGAGAGAGTATCTTTTTTATCCATCAATTTTTATTTTTTTTGTTTGTCTGTTAAGTTTTTTTAATTATTAATTTTAGCAAAATCAAAATATTAATATTTATAAAAATTTATAATTTATTTTTGTTCGGAATCCTGAAAATTTTGAGATGCCTATATACATTTATTTTTTTGAATATCATCCATAAAAATATTTAGTTGGTAAGACTTTAGTATTTAAAAGTATAGCATAGTAGTTTTGAAATAATTCCAACTGTTAGAGTAGAAAGGAAATCAAAGTTGAAATGTTTTTAGAAATTTATCAATAGTATGAATGAGTGCATTTTTCATATAGTTAAATAAGTAAATTGTAGATTTTAATGACCCAAATATTTATTGATTTTACATTTAATCCACCAAAAGAAAAATATCTTACAACAAAAATATTCAATATATTTTTTCAACAAAATTAATATACACAATTATTATTTTTTATAATATTCACACAATTTTTTATACTTTATTTCAAAAAAAAAAAATTCAAATCAAAATACAAAACAAACAAATAGGGCAAATGAAACACCTATTATCGTCTCTTTATTCATCAAATTCACAACCACAAAAATACGAAAGGATTGTGTTATACTTATATACAAATAACACGTAATTTATGTTCAATTAGTATGACTTATAATTACAAATTTCATATAATTAGCTTTTTTTTTTCTTTTTTCTTTTTTTTTTGGATGATATGGGAACCCGCAATCGCTACCCGAAAGTGCACACTGGATAAATTCCCGGCCGAACCTAATACCCTGCAAACCAGGCCTAACGGGATAATTAGCTTTCATTTAGTACTATACGGTGGAAATAACTTAAAATATATTTAGACAGTTTCAAATTTATATACAAATAATATACTCCCTCCGTCCCATAACAAAGTATTTATTTTTTTATTTTAGTCTGTCCCGTAACAAAATATTCATTTCATTTTTTAGTAATTATACTATCTACTAACATTACAACTACCTTTACAACTTACAATATATTACACAAATATCATTACTTTTATATCACACATACTAATAAGGTTATTTTAGTCATTTTTTACTTTATTCCTACGTATATCTCAATACAATACTAATATTTTTAAAATTAAGTGAAAAAATAAATGAATATTTATTTATGGAACAGATGAAGTATTATTTTTTATTCAATTGGCTGGACAAATTGGTTAATTTAACACTATATGATAGTAAATATATATAATATTACTAAATCGCTCTTATAAAATCTAAACTATTAAATATACCATATAAGTACTCCAACGAAGTATATTAAATCAAATGAGATTATGTTTCATCCACATAAAGGACTGAAGGATAAATGTTGATATATCTAATAAAATTAACCATCACCAAAATTTTATCCACAAATAAATAAATAATAGTAATAATAATAATAATAACAATGAAAGTTTTTTTTTTTTTTAAAAAAAAATGTATGGAAGAAATAATCTCTTATGTTTAACTTTCTTTTAAATAAAGATATATATAATTTAATTTTTATCTTTTACAAATTATTTTATATTAATTATGTGTAAAGATATATATTTATCTATTCACATTATATAAATTTCTATATTCTTAAGAAAATTATACATTTATATCAAATACTAATTTTATTGTAAAATTTAGTTTCTATGAAATATATATTATATTCAATTTATAAATAATACTACTATAAATTGAACTTTCAATCTTATTTTAAACATGCAACTAAAGGCACTTAAAAAAGAATCGAATTTTAAGTAATATAAATATATATGAATACTATTTTTAAATATAAACCTAAAATTTAAATATAATATAAAAATAAATTTTAATTTAATATTTTTTGCTAAAAAGAAAAAATTAAATTTTTTAAAACAAACACAATATTATGATATATTTTATCTTGATTTGAGTTTGAAATTCTAATTTAAAATTTAATTTAAATAATATTTTCTAATGTATTACTAATAAAATTATAGTACAATATTACATCGTACAATCTCAACTTCCTTTTTCTCCCTTTGAAAAAAAAAAAAAAAAGAAATCCATAAATTCTAAGAAAAAAAAAAAAAAATCGTATTTGAAAGATGTGAAGGGGAAATGCCAAAAAGTTTCCATTTCGTTTACTTTGAAAAAAGGCTGTTTGAATTTGAACCAAATAATTACTCCATCTTGATTTCATTTTGTTTCTTCTCTTTGGCTTTGTTCTTTTCGCCGTTGTTCATATTCGATAGATCAATCGATTATAGTTTTTTAATCCGCCGATTCTACCCTATGTTTTGATCGGAAATCAATTTCTGATTATTCGATCAAACCCCAAACGAACTTCGTCCTCGCTGTTGCTGACGATTGGGGTTTGTAAATTGTAATCTCTCTTCCCGTTTTCTGTAGTTGAAATTAGGGTTTGATTTGGGGATTCCCAATTTCTCCCCCCTTTTCAATTTAGGAACCGCCTCCGGGGGGGGTTTCTTGTTCGAATTTCGACATGGGGAATCCGATTTGAGAGTTTCCTAGGTTTTAATTTCACGACAGACAATGTTGGTTTTGGGGCGGCAGCCATTGATGTGTTCTGAAATCATCGTGTGGATTCATTAGTTGTTTTTTTATTTTTCAGTCATTTGATGCCTAAGTTTCATTCAGGACTTCTGTCGAACAGTTGGTTTGCAGGTGCAGTTTCTCTACCCAAGTTTCTGAATTTCCGGTGGATTATGGGCTGTATTCACGGCAAATGTTGCCGGAAATATCCACATTCGTCGGACGGCGACAACAACGGCGAAAACTTGGGTCGAAACATTCAAATCCCTGCACCTTCTTCTTTAGAGGTAGTTGCTGTGCCTTCAAGCAACCTTAAATTATGCTATTCCTTGCTATCGCAGCGTGGCTATTACCCCGAAACCCCGAACAAGGAGAATCAGGACGCATATTGTATTAGGACAAACATTAGAGGCAATCCCGACGTGCATTTCTTCGGAGTTTTTGACGGCCACGGCATGTCGGGTGGGCAATGCTCAAATTTCGCCAAGGAAAGGCTAATCGAGATATTGTCCAACGACGCCTCGTTGTTGGATGATCCGATTAAAGCTTACAGCAACGCGTTCTTGGCGACGAATGAGGAGCTGCACAACAGCGGGATCGATGATTCGATGAGCGGGACTACCGCCATCACGGCATTGGTGATTGGGGACAAGCTTTATGTGGCGAATGTCGGGGATTCGCGCGCCGTTTTGGCTGTTAAGGAAGGAGGAGATGGCGTTGTCGTTGGTCGCGACTTGTCGTACGATCAAACGCCGTTTAGGAAAGATGAGTGTGAGAGGGTGAAGCTTTGTGGGGCGAGGGTGTTGAGCGTCGATCAAGTTGAAGGGCTGAAAGATCCCACGATTCAGTCGTGGGGGGATGAGGAGACCGAGGGGAGCGATCCGCCGCGATTGTGGTATCAGAATGGGATGTATCCGGGGACAGCGTTTACACGGAGCGTCGGGGATAGTATTGCGGAGAAAATTGGCGTTGTTGCCGATCCCGAGGTGTCCGTTGTGCAGCTTACGTCGGGACATCCCTTCTTTATCGTTGCTAGTGATGGTGTTTTCGAGTTCTTGTCCAGCCAAACTGTCGTGAGCATGGTATGTTTACGATTAAATTTTTGTGACGATATGATGTGCTATATTTTTGTTTTCTACGTTGCATGTTATTTCGAGTAGTGATGTGTTCTTTTGTTTATATGGTTATTGAAAATCCTCGGAAATATTTATACCTTCACGTTGAAAGATTCGGAAAATTCATTGTTTCGATGCATTTAGTAGTGAATTGTTGTTCTTTTGCTTTTATGGTTATTGAAAATCTAGGGAATAATTTTGAAAGATTTCGGAAAATGTAGGGTGTGCTTGTAGACGTGAAGCATAGAGAATTGTGTAGATAATATAAAAATAATGAGCACGTAGTATATTAAATTTTTTTTGGGAAATATGTTGAAATTTTTATGAAAAAGAAACAAACCCGTATTGGTTCGATGAATTTAGTAGCGAAGTGTTATGGTTATTGAAAATCTATTTATTAGCAAGGCATTCTTTTGCTTCTATGGTTATTGAAAATCTACGGAATAATTTATACCCTCGCCTTGAAGATTCGGAATTGTTCAACCACTTGAGCTACAATCTCTTTATTAGCGAAAGTTTTTTTTTTTTTTGTGGTTCAAGGGTTATTGAAAATCTACCGAATAATTTACACCATTGCCTTTAAAGATTGGGAAAAATTTATTGGTTCTAGCGAAGTGTCTTTTGGTTCTATGTTTATTGAAAAATGTATAAATTATAGCCGGGCCTTGAAAGATTTGGAAATGTTGGGGCGCTATGCGATGTTTTTTGTTCTTGTTTGCATACGTATTTGATCCTTCTTAGTTTGTTTGTTCGTTCTTAATGAAACCATGTTAGGACATACCCGAAAGTTGTAGTAAATGCTTTGCATATCATATTACCTATAATATGCCGTAATTTATGTTGTCTCAATTTGTGCGTCGCTGAGTGAACAATATGATTTGTACATAATTATTGAAAAACTATAGTTGCTTTCTAATCTTTTGTCGGCTATACTATTCGATGTTCTTGTAGTTTAATTTAAAGCGAGTGATTTCGATCCTCAATTCTTTTGTTTAAGGCTGAAATCCGGAGTTCTGCGAGAACCATGAATGATGTTCGAACTTATGTTGTCTGATATTCGTCGCTTATTCCATCGTGCAGGTTAACAAATACGCAGATCCTCGAGACGCCTGTTCTGCCATAGCTGCGGAGTCGTTCAAATTATGGTTGGAGAACGAAAATCGAACTGACGATATCACGCTCATCATTGTACAAATCAAAGACCTGAATAATGTATGACCCGATCGATCAGATGACTTCTTTAGTAGCTCGCCAAGTTTATCGTACGTAGCCTTGTTTATCATCATCGACTTTTTTTGGCGATGATTGTGATGTACATTTCGACTCGTTCCCACTTTTATGAAATATCGTTTCAATTAGTCGATTACTTCGCTTTCCATTTCTGTTTCGCATCATCGGTTGTCTGTTTATTACAGCGCAGTTAGAAGCATAAATCGAGAAATGGCACATAAACACGGCAGACTGGCCGAGTAAAAATCGATCAACTGTAAACGGTATCCGTCTCTAGATATATAGCGACAGCTTCGTATCAATTAGGTCTTGAATAATATTACACTTGTCAAGCAATTCGCTCAACTTATTCGCTTCTGTCGAAGATTTCGTATCGTCGACGTTTCCATTCTCTTCCGCGACTGCATTGTCGTCGTTTTCATTTGATATCGGGACAATAGCATCGCCGAATCGTAAATCTGCGTCATTTTTATCGTTATCAAAAACATCGATCGACTGCAGCGGAAAGACTTCGCTCTCCGTTAGATTCGACCTCAGTACCTGCGAATGGCACCCGACGTCGACTAATTCATCGAGTAACGGGCCGACAGTATATGGCGGCGAATACGCATAACCCATCGAGTCCAGTCTGTCCGACGAACGGCGACTCGGCACAGATAAACGGCGCTGCTGTAGCACATACGTCGACGACACTTCTGCATCGTTTAAATTCACTAACCGCCAGTTGAATATCCTCCGGAAAATCGGAACCCATCGCGGAACAACGTAATAGGCGCTGCCGTGAAGCTCGAGCCGGGTACACGTCTGAATCATTATTGTCGACTCTTTTTCTGCCAACGCTAACCCCATCATTCGACTCTCCTTCGCTAAATAGTTCACAAGGCAGTTCTCAACGCGCAACGTCTGGATCTCGATATCATCGTTGGTATTCAATCCTGTCGGCAGCCAAGATAAATTGTCTCCAAGAGGCGGGAGCACGGAATCGTTCAAAGCGCGCATCAACGCTTCGATTCTCGAAGCCGAGCTCCATCCAACGCTCGGCAAATAACACGATACAGCTCTGTACTCATCGCTCGACTGCTCGAGCATTTCAACTTCGGGACACGGCCAACCAGCGGGGTTAGCGTCGACGGCGGCAGAGATTTCTTTCATCGAATTATCCAAAGCTTCGTCGAAAGCTGAAATGCAGTCGTTAGGGCCAACTTGGTGAGCCGTAATCCCATCAAGAATCTCGAGGCTCGGATTCAAGTGCGAAAGAACCAATTTTCGCGTGTTCATCTCAATCAGATCGATTTGCGGCATCGACTCACTAGCTAGCCATTCGAGCCCTTCCCTGAGACGCTCGTCGCTGAAGAATCCGCCGATCTTTTTCCCGCTATCATCATCGTCCTTTACGAAAGCGAGGTTATACGCAATCACCCTCGATTCGTCAATGCCGTGAAGCCCTAAAGCTTTAGCAATTTTAGAGGCCTCCGACTCGGCCTTCCCCGACCCATCCAAGATTAAAAGAGGAAATCGCGATCCAGATGGCAGAGAAGCGACAAGATCATGGAGATGTTTCTTCTGGCGCTCTAACGGAACATCGTCGGATAAAAGGAATAGAATCGCACCGGTTCCTGTTATTGCCTCGTTGAGATCTTCGAGCGTAGCACTCTTGATAACTGAAAGACAACAGGTCAGGTCAACGCCGGAGAGGCTGGGAATCCAGCTCCTCCATATAGCAAGGCCGGGAGACGAAACCAGAAGATCGCATTCGGTATTGCTGTCAGATTTGGCAGGCATAAGCTTAGAATGAAACCATGATTGCGTCGCTTTGTTCTTCCCGACATTGTCTCCGTGTGGAATCTCCTCGGGAGAGAATACAACCACTTTCCAGCAAAGGCATTCGGCGTTGGGATTTTTTTCTCGAAGTTTAGCAGCTACCACATCGGAAGGATTCAACACCGCCGAGGATTTTTCTTGAATCTCGTATCGCTCACTCATGACATGATCGATGTCAATTGTACCGTAATTTCTCAATGGCTGTGGAGCATAAAGCAAACAACAAAATTTGAGTCTATGCATTGTAGAAATTGAAAATTAGCGGAAAGAGATCGTAAGATGCATTCAAAATTATCTTTCAAGATTAACAACTAAGACAAGTCATATGTAAACATCTAATAAATCACCATAAAACGAGCAATGTTATAAGCTGAACAATATCCTACAGAAACAGGATAATTCAAGAACAAAATTCGCCATCTAGCACCAAAAAGAAGTGCAAAGTCAATGAAATTTGTAGGATAAAATATTCAGTTAGCTCCCAAAATCCCAAAGTATTGAAGAATTTAGAAATGACTTCATAACTACAAGATCATATATAAAAATGCACAAGCTACAATCATGTTTTTCATCTAATATGATATTATCGATATTTTTCTTCATTAAAACCCAAGTATGAATCTGTATCATATATCCAAAGAAAGTAACGTAATTCAGTTGTTCGGGCACCATTTGTACGTGTTTGTAGACTGGACTACTCAACCAAGTACAAGGTTTATCATCTCTGTAGGGCCTTTATGATCCAAGCAAATTTCTGCTCGGAACTATAGGTGACTTTAGCAATATTTGTTTTAGCTTCAGCTACTAGTGCATCACGTATAATGTGTGGTTTCTATTTGCATATGGCGCTTGTCTATATTCCACCAGAGTAATGCAGAACTTTCTATAACTAAAGCTCTTAACTACGCCATAACAAGTGTTAGTGAACTTCAAGGGGCAATTTCAATGGTCCGAATTCCAAATCGAGTGCCGCAACAAGAATAGTCGTGTTTTGATATTTAGCATGACCAAAGTACACACTTTTTTGAAGTTCAGTTGATGCCTCTTAGAATTTCAACACATGATAATCAGGTAGAGAAGTCGAACGGTTTAATCACATATACTTATTCACAAAATAAATGCAAAATGTATTGGCAACTAAGCAGGAGTCTAAACAGCTATTTCAACACCTATAAGTAAGATTTACATTTACTGCATAATCAATTACAAGGAATCTTAGAATACTTACAGCTTCAAATTGCCACAACGGAGGGCCCATAGATAGCAGACTCCTAGCAGCATTTGCTGCTAGTTGTTTGTGCTCACGCAATTCTCTTTTCTTTGCTGTGCGTCGTTTCCATATCCTAAACAAAAGATCGAGTAAGGAAACATCCAACAAATAGCCAATATAACCTGTTAATAAAGGAAAAGAAAAGTATATCAACCTCAAGATCAATCTAAGCTTGGCTTCGGCGACTTCTTGGTCATAATAGCTTGTTGTCAGTTCCTCGGATTCATCTTCATCTCTGCTAATAGGCTCTTCTGAATCCTCCAATTCTTCGGTGGACATTGGCTGTGGTATTGGAGTGTGAACAGCAGAATCACGTGGTGTACCAAGTTTTGTTATTTCTTCAGCCATGTCGACTGAAATTGGAGATATTGGTTCTGAATATTGCTTGCTTGATCTACCAAAGGAATTCCTAAAAACAGATTCGAACATTGGCCTCTTTGGAGAGTCAACCCTCTTTTGAGTAATTTCTGCAGAAACATGGGGGAAATTTAGGGAAACTGGACTTGCTGCAGTCACTCGAGCATCATTCCCAACCAATTTTTCATCTGGTGTCACCAGAGCAACATGAGTTTTATTCTTGGACGGCTGGATGCTGGCTTTTGGGGATGAGATGGTGCCCAAATCGAGCATTTCTTCATCTTGAAGCTTGTTCATAGTCGTAGGGGCAGAGGATGTTATAGTTCTAGATATTGTTGGCTTGGGAACCTTCTTTTGCAGGAATCCAGGTGCTTCCTTAGCAGCACATGATTCGATTAGTGAAGGGAGTGACACATCAATGGATATTGTCTCCGACCTTTTTCTGTCAACGAGTTTCGACTTCTTGATAGGAAAATCAGTATCAGCATTGATAAATGCATTTTCTTTCACCATGTAAGGTTCTTCGAAATCCTTTACTGAGAAACCATGGTATTCCAGAAGTTCCCCCATTTCCTCTTCCTGATTTGAACAAGACAGTAGGGCAATTTAAAATAATTTCCGCATTTCAACAGCAAGAACAGACAAGATTATGTAAGAAATGTACCTGCATTCCAAGCCATCCAGCAACATGAGCAACAGGAATTCCCTGGTTCATCTGTAGACCGGAGTGTAGCGAAGAAAGAGCCTGGGTGCGTAACTGGTCAAAACATCAAACAGATAGCACAGTGTCAAAAATAATTCCTATGGACCACACACGATATTTAAGTCTCGGGGCCAAATGATGCAATCACTAACATCTGCAAAAACAAGGATATATTTTAAAATGCCTAGAAGAAAAGTACCATTAACCAACCAAAAGTGACCTGAGGAAACAAAAGAACTGTTGGAGATAGACTATAACAAATTGTGTTCAATAAAATATATTCGGATTTGTTAATAAAGATAATTACTCAAAAATAATGACAGAGCTAAGCCCATACCTTGGAAAAGTGAGCATGCATTAGACATGCTTGAAGATAACTAGATTTGTTGGCAAGCCGGAAGAATGATATAAAATTTCCTGTTCGGCACGCCCTGCACATGAAGTAAATATACTAAGGGATTAGAGAACAATCATAACTGGTGAAGAATTCGGAGCCCAAAAACATTGCACATAAGGGTCATATCACCTGGCAACAGCACGAGCAAATAATACTTCTCGCGTCTGCCTAATTTCTGGGGTCATCTTAGCCAGATCAAGCGACAGCTCTGCAGGTTCAACCTGGCATGATTTTCTTATTTGATAGCCAACATTGAAATTGGAGCTGTAGAACCGTTTTATTTTATAGTACTTACTTTATACCCAGGATGCTTGTCGAGCTTGAGAAGTGCATAGTAGCCTCTAAATTCCTGTTCTGATGGAACATGTACTCCTTTCTTTCTGTGATCATCGTAAAGCTGGAATAACTCGACAGAAGTTTTATTCATCTGCTCAATATTGAGATGTGCATCAAACCCCTCCGAGAATCCCTCTCCTTTTGTGTATTCACATAACTCATGCATTGCTATTATGTGCAGTCTTATCTGCAAGCATATAATGTCGGGAATATAAGTTAACTTCTTTAGATGTTTCAGTAAGAGTACCTAACACATAGGGAAGGACATATAGATAAATGATTACGGGGGGAGCAGGGGATTGACTGGTAACACTATGCATAAAAGCTTTCTGTACTCAATTCATAGGAAAAAAAAATATGGAAGAGGGAGAGAGAGAGAGAGAGTTTTGACTAAGTGGAACACAAACAAATATCAGTAAATTGCACCTACCAAGCTTAAGCAGTCATGGAGGAGCAACACAGGACAAAATAAATAAATAAAAAGAATTTACAAACATCACTGCTAAGGTAGTGATGAAACATTCTTACGTCATATCACATACAAACCAGTTGTGCTCAACATCATCAATACACGGCATAAGTGTTGGCATTTTAGAAACAATTAGCACCATATGTAATTTTTTGTCACATAAAACATCAGAGATAACATACCATTTGCTCCAGCATAGTGATGGCTTCTAGATTAAAAATGTGTTGCATCCTTAAATCCATGCGAATAGCCCGCATTCTATCCCACAAGAAGTTATACAATCCGAGGAATCTATCACCATATGGCTCACTCAGCAAATTCAGAAGATAGTCCATTGTCTTCTGTAAGATTGGCATTGGACGAATAAGTGTTGCTTCCCTCTCTGCAGTCCTGTTGTACTGGAGAACAATGAGGCAAGTCCATCAATATGCTCATGTTATTAATCTGAATATATTTCTTATTATCAGTGATTTGTACTAGCAAGGGCACAATCCAGAGATATGTACTTTTTTTACAGCAAGAATTTCACTGGTCATATTTCTATCCCCATCCACACGTTCATACTGATCAAGATCCCCTTTTCTCTCGCGTTCAGCTCTCTCAGACTCTGCAAATTATAAAATGAAATGGCAGTCTGATGGGAGATATGAAGTAGAAAGCTGAATACAAATGAGATGAAGTGGTGTTCTTTCATAAACAACACATGATATGGAAAGGCTTCGATCAATGAATAAACTAAAATCTGAAATAAATGTGGAGTCAAGGGCACAATGAAACCCGAGCATATAGTGGTTCACTTATTGGGTATACATCTCCATCCACACACCCTAAAAAGCAAACCCACGTATTGCATATACTCTTCAGACTAGCATTTCAACAATGATGAGAAAAGAAGTATGGCAGTGAAAGCATATCGAAACAACTATCATACCTTATTTAATATATGAGTGGACACTATGCAATTATGATTCAATCTCTTAACAGCTACAATAACCCTCAAACGAAGGACATGACATAAAGGCATAGATGACAAGGGTAATGGTAATACACACACCCTCAATAAAAATGGGAAAATATTTTTTGTAAAAACTTCTCATAAAGGCATTATGTTGACGGTTCTCTGTTGTACATCTTGTGAAATGAATAATATGCTCATTCATATGGATCATGAGGCATTTGAGCAGCACACAATGCAGATTATTCTTCAGTAGTTCAGTATCTATGTGATGACAAGTTGAAGTATGCACCTGGGCACATATCCGGACATAATCCAACAATAACACTTGACGATACCATGCCTTCATTGTCTGAGAGGAAATTACCACCAGAACGATCTCCCATCTCATCAGCAGTTGGGTCATCTGAGAACTTTTGTCTCTCATGCAAAGTTTGACTTCTTTTCGCTGGAATGTTTTGGTTTCTGACTGTGGAACTACTCTGCACAGGTTGGCTTAATTCATCCTTAAATCGGGCTAATCGCTTCGCTTTGGCAAGCAATTCTCTACAACGCATAAAGCAAGTCAATAAGAACTACATCATTACCATAGATATATAGATAATATTACCGCTCAGTCTCTTGTGCAGTATCCAAGCTTTCTTGAAAAACAGAGTCAGATGAAGATGAAAGTGGTAGTTTGGTTCTTTTGCCAGCGGGAAATTGCATGGATTTATCCACGGAAATGTCAATACTTTTTGTTTGTCCAGATATTGAGGATTGACTTTGACGTTGAAAATCAGAAGCCCTGGAAAAATCATTATCTCAATTTTATTGATATATGTTACTCCAAAAAAACATTAGCAAATGAAATTTTATCATTTCCTCATATTAAGAAACATTTATTTTATCATGGAAACTTAGGAACACACATTCTCAAGGCAAAAAGACCACTCTCAATTGCTTAATATCCAGAAAGGCAACTTCATGCATTGACCTTCCTTCAAAATGGAAAGGTAGTAATCTTTAGGTTATGCCAGGTCAAAGACTGATTACCGCTGAAATTCAGTGATAGTTATCCTTGGAACCTAGAAAAGCCTTAAGATGATATTTTGAAATGCCTACAGATAAAGCCAGGCAATGTAATTTGCTAACACTTAATATCAGTAAGATAAGGAAGCAAATACATACGTTTAGCAATAGAAATCAACTAAATTCCTGCCGGGCCATTATAGCAGGAACTGTGCTTTACCAACAGGAATCGATAACAATTACATAAGGAAATAATGGCATAATACCCACATTAGACTCAACTATACGAATGTGCATACGAAAGCAAATTTTCAACTCCAAGAATTCAGTTAACCATAAAGGAATTTCCAGCAATAAAATAGCTGAAAAATTGCAAGAGTTTGAAGAGATAAAGATGCCATGAGTTCCACTCATACCTTTTATTACCATTCAAATCAGTAGCAGGATTCTCCAGGAAACTTCCGCTGGTAGGTGAAAGTGTTGGAGACCTTGTTCGCTTTGTAATTGGAGAACTTGCATTATTAATCAAGACTAATTTTCCAGATTGATATTCGCCTCTTCTTGTAAAGACCGAATCCATGTTCTCTTGCACCAGAGGAGTACTGTTATCAGGGGACTGTGTCCGGCCACGCCACATGTGGGAAGAGGTAAAAGGTCTGCATAACAAGCACGCATACTTAGAAGACACTGATAGCGTAAATGTATCTAAAGAACATGCGAGAACACAAGCTCATGATTGAGAGCTCATTCTAAAATCATGTGTCTGGAGGTGTTTAATTCAGATTCAGAGAAGTAGAAATTCAACTTGAAACGAATCTCAAGCCCGCGGAACTGTTATCTTTAATAATAAACAATACTTTTCACAAATGGAAACTTAAAACATGCAACCGGCTAATTTGTCATACAACTAGCGTATAGCTATGACAAAATCATCTCAATTTACACCGAGGGGGAGACTAAGAGAGCAAAACCTCGAGAAACTATTGGTTGAAGTTATGACTTATGAGAGATCATAGTCCATAGAGCATTAAGATACCAGATCAGTACATTGTCGAGTGCCATTTGACAATCATAGAAAAAAAAAAAAAAAAAAGTGTCATGAACGAAGACCATTAAGGTACTTGTGGTATAATTAGGAAATGCAAATACCTTTCATCATTTAACCATCCTAAATGTAGACCACAGTATTCTATTAGTTGCTATTGGAACAAAATGGGTGTCCCCACTGCATTCAATAGTGCATTTTAATAGATACACTTGAGCAATAAAACACAGAAAAGACATTGCATCTATATGATACAGCAAGATATCATTAGCAATTGAACAGTTTCTCATACTATATATGAGATGCCTATCAACACTTACTTGTCAGAAGGTGTAGCAAAAGGGTTAGGCGCATTCTGCATAGGGATGCTTCTTTCAATGTCCAAAGAAGGGTTGGGTGTTGTCTCAGGGGCATCAAGGTCCTTATAGTCAATCAAAGGCCTAGAAGAAATGGCGAATATTAGAAGGAGAAATGTATTACTTTATCTAAACCCTTCAAAGATTATTGGCAGATATTTATATAAGTGTGTTGCGTGTTGGAATTTTGGGATTACAGATGACAAACAAGTAATTATTGCAAGCTAATCCATTTGCAAGATCTCAACTCACAAAAAACATGGGATAGCACACATAAATAGTTTTAAAGGTCAGTAACAGAGAGATCCCAATCCAATTATTTTCAAAACCATGATTACACCATAAAATCTAAGCTTGTTTCTAACATTTAAAATTTCATCCTAGTCGAAAATAATGCACAAGGCAATATCATGTGCAGAGACCAACAAAAAGCAAAAATCTAAGAGCCTAAGCTCAGCCCAACACTTAAATTTACAGTGATCACATAGTATATCGCTATGGTGCATCCTAAATAAATCGTGCTAACGAAATAGTTGTGATAATAACAATCTATCAACATGAGACTTCACAATTTATTCATTTTTGCCCTCCTTTCACCTTATGGTATAGTCTTTATTGGATACTCAGAACAAAGCAATATTATTGCAATGGCTGTACTCGAACACATAAAACCACCAAAATAATGTTCACATGCATAAATGAACATTATGGCAGCTGAAAAGAGGTACACCAAAAAATGTGAAGCAGAGCATGAATATACTTTTAGTAGCAGAGACAATTATGAAGTATATATAAGAAACAGGAACTAACAGATTACTATATGGATGTAAAATGATGTGTGGACTTTACAAAAATATCAAACTATGTAGTGCCCCCTGAATCATATTGCATGTAGGAGAATAAGAAAGAGCGATCAGAAGAATTCAACCACATCTATTAGTGTAACATACCCATCTCAATTGTACGGGTATGTTTAAGAGTTACAAAGCTACCAAAATAATTATCCTACGAGATGTAACACCAAATCATGAATCCTAATTGAACATACATATATACCCATTGTAAAATTTTATTAAAAATAAAAAATAAAAATACACAATACTCATACCTTTTGATGCCAGGAGGGGGGGAAATAGTTTTTTCTGGGGAAACTTTTCGGATAGAAGGGGGTGTTGGAGATCTAGTTTGATTGAAAACTGTCTGATCCATGTGATTAGGTCGAAACATTGGTCGAGCTGTATAAACTCCTTGACCTGGTGATGGTGTGCTGTAGCTAGATGGTCTTGGTTGAGCACCTCGTACAGGAGACAATGAAGGACGCCTGTATAACAAACCCATAAAAACAGACAGATTAAGCACCTGAAATCTATTAAAAACTCATCAGCAAGTAGATGCAGACAGACAATGCAACACTAATGTATCTAAGTCATACCTTGTTATTAATTATGCAGGGGTTAAAGCATGCAACATATTAAAATAAAAGAATATTCTTATATAATTTTCAGCAGAATGAATCAGATAAGATCAATGATTTATTCACCCAAATCCACCTATTGACAGTAACAATGTGTCAGATGGACAATAATCTCTAGGAAAAGGTTTTTTTTTTCTCCCTCTCTAGGAAAAGGCATGAAGCTTCTTTAATGAGTGCAGTACTATATGTAATAGAGAGCCATGTTTCAAAACACATTATCCAAACCCAACACGAATAAGCTGTACAGTCTTTTCACAGCCTGTATGGAGAGATTGTGACAGAGAAGGAAACGAGTATAGAAATAGAACACAACTCCTTCCTAGCAATATAGAATCTAAAAATCGTGAGCTGAGGCAAATAGACAACAAGGTGTCCCTGACTCATTCATGCTTGCACTCAAAAAGAGTAGAAAAGGGAAGACAGATTATCTATCTGCATGTAAATTAAAAAACATGTGCCCAAAACCAGATTTGGTAAATAGAATAGAATAGAGGCTGGGCAGCAGCAGGTTAAATATAGTCCAATTGAGAGTTCGCTTACTGCAGCATCCCTTCGGTTTGAGGATGTTGCCCTTGAACATGTTGATTCTTCGGATAGACAAGAGGAGGCTGGGCTCTGCCAGGATACAAAAAGAAGCTCTCATTACTTTAAGGAAATACTGATGTTCATCGAAAGGAAAACTTCACTCTCTATGTAGAGACAGCTTTAAAAGGCTTAGATGATGTTAATACAGACAGATTTACACTTTACGGTACATCCAATATAGAATAGGTAGTAAACAAAGAAACAAACTCTAGGTTCAATAACACAAAGAAACAAACCAGAAAATCTGAAATATATATATATATATATATAGTACCTAAATTCAATGAGAAAAGTTTCCTATGAACTTAATCCAAGAAAGTTCAAATTTGAAGCGAAGGACAATTGATAAATGAACATACCTCCTTCCACTCCTGTAGTTGTTTGAGATTGCATCAGGAGATCGAGAATAAGTTGAGTTGGCTGCTCTCGTATCTGGAACTTCTGCAGGGATACCATTTCTTGAATTGCTTGAAGTAACCCATGGCAAAAGATCAGGAGATCTTTGATGGGTTTGGGCACCATGCTCCTTATATGTGCTTATATTCATGACACCCCGGTTCAAAGTTTGGTCATTTCTACAAGCAAAAATTTAAATGATAAATTCATTATCCACAGTAAAAGATGCAAAGACCCCATATCCAAACTCAGTTATAACACCACACTTAGTGTTCATAATCATATTGTGATTATATTCAGATAACAAAATGATATCTTAAATTTGAATTGAGAAAATAACTCACTCTATATCCATATGTTTTGACATTTTGTTGTTCCTTGACAAAGGGATGCACCATTTACCGAATGCATTAGTAATAAATCATTGAATGCTGTACTTCAATCTTTTTCAGCTAATTGACAGATAAGATTTAAAAAACTCAATCCAAACCGAAAGAAAATAGCTTGCACTTGTGTATTGTGCCAATTCTTTGCCCTAACTACAGTATGAAATATGAAACTCCCTCCACTTCATGCCAAACAAAAATTACATATAAAAGAGGCCAAATAGAACATCAACTCCATAACAGTCTCTTGATCCTCCATAACCCACCCTATTCACAGAACGATTAAAGCATGCCATTGCATTCGATTTTTAACATAATTCTCAATCAAATAAAAGTTTTGAGGACTTGTGAAGCATAAGAATAGATTCATTCATTGATATCCTAATTGATGAAAATATCAAATAAATAGATTTGTTTTAGGTGAATCCTTCCCCTTTGCTTCACAGCCAAAAAATCAAGAAAGAACTTACTGCTCACTTCACTGAATCACTGAAAAGTGAATTACATAAGCAAGATTCAGATTAGAAGAAGATGCAGCAGACACATACCCCTGCGAGAGAGGACGCGGAGGAGAGGGCGACGGAGCGCGAGGAAAATTAGCGCTAGATAATTGAGGTCTGGGTCCTGTGTATGGACCTGAATCCTTCCCGAATCCGCCCTGGGACATTCTTTATCCTTAAATTTCAGGTCTTTGCGTTACATATAAGTTTTCTTGAGCTATGAAAATCAAGTAAAAGAACAAACACACACACGGAAAAGCTGTAGGCCTTCCTCCTGGATCCTTGGCGTCGAGTAAATTTTCAATCCTAGGGTTTTTTTGGGGGGGGAAAGGGTTTTTGAGCTTGTAGAGGATTGGCAGATGCCACTACGACAGAGTAGTTCTTGAATCTTGAGAGATGGACGAAATACAGAAATGGTACCGTAGTTTTCAAAAAAATATACAGATAAAAAAATTTAGAAAAATATATACATATATATAGTAAATAAAAAGAATATATATTTAATAATAACTTAAATGTAATTTTTATTAAAATGTATATATATATTTTATATAAAATACAGTAAAAAATAAAAAAGAGATAAAATTATAGACATAATTAAAATTAATTTTTAAAAAATTATCGAATTATAGAAATATTGCACATATTATACCAAAAAAAAAAGATATAAAAATATATGGATATTGTAGTATATCGTAAATGGTACTGAATATTTTTGGTAAGTTAACAGTATATAATTTTATATTTTCAATATATATAGAAATATATGGTGCAATAGTGTAGACAATTTTAATATTTTAATATTTGTTATATCACTATATTTTGATATATCATACATATATACCTATTTTTCAATAAAGTAGCGGCATGTATCTATCTTATCGAATTTTGAATATATCAAATTTTCGATATAATATTGATATATCTTTTAACAGGTTGAGAACTTTGATATTTTATAGTCAAAACATTTTTAGCATATTATATCAAATCATTTCTAATTAAAATGTATATATTTTTAATTTGGAATTAAAATGTGTATATATGAATCATAAGAATACGTACATATTTATACGGAATAAGATAAGAATACTATGAATTTCTTAAATAAGATAACTACCATAAATATAATATATTACTTTTAAATATATTTTAGCACCCCTCCTCAAACTCAAGATATGATCGAATAAATTTGAGTTTGTCATAAGTGATCGAAAAAAATATAGTCGAGATCTTCCACGTAAAAATCTGAATTTGCCAAGATTGACTGTCGTCGTCCACTGGATTAGAGTCAGAAGCAAAACTTTCAACACCGTTAGAGTTGAAAACAAGACTCGCTTGCTCATAACGGAATTAGAGTCGAAAACAAGACTCACTCACTCTATAGAGTTAGAGTTGAAAATAGGACTCGCTTGCTCACAACAGAGCCAGAGTCGGAAACAGAACTCGCGTGCTCACAACGTAGCTATAGTCAAAAACAGGACTCGCTCGCTCTCAATAGAGTTAGAGTCGAAAACAGGACTCTCAACGGTGTTAGAGTCGAAAGTAGACTCTGTCAGTGAACTAGTAGAGACGGAGACGACATGAAAATAATAGCATCATCGTGGATAGAAGCAAATACATCAATAAAATATAAAAATATATACGGGATATAATGGGTCATGGATGTACCCGGAGATAATTTGACTCTGATACCATTTGTAACGTGCCGAAAGCTGACACGCCGCGCACCAAGGCCCAAAGGCCTAAGCCAGCCGTCCCTTGTGCGCAACAAGCCTAAGTATACCGAATAATGCAGAATAAATAAGGCAAGACGCGTACCTATACCAAAACATATGTCGTTGATTAGTCGTACAGAACCGGGGCTCACACACATGGGACGGACTATGGGTGAGAACCTGGGCAGAAATATCAGTTCGTGACACTCTCCTCCACTCAAAGTCGCAAACGCTCTCATGCGACGCCATTTTAGTGCACCGACGTTGTTTCTTGCACGTTGGGCTTGCCTCCGGGCGTCACTCTATTGACCCTTTCGCGCGTACCCCGTTGTGCTCACCAACCGCCAGCGAGGTTTGCTGTAACCGACCCACAACTCGCTTGCTCCGCCGCTCATCTCCAACACCATCCGGAACACCCATATTGCGACTTCTCCATTTTTCGCCCAAGAATCGTCCTCGTGGTTCCGCTCTCACGAACAAAGCTTGAACATACTTCTTTTCAAGGAGCACTCCACCCTGTAATGTCCAGCCCGCTAGATATGCCCTTCCTTGTCGTGTCGCCCTCGGCATGCTCTCCTTGAAGAACTGTTCATCCGTCTCCACTGTCAAGGTCGACTCTGATACTATGTTAGAATATGTAATTGAAATTTTCTATTTCAATCATAAGAATACATACATATTTATAGTGATATGATTGTCTAAATAAAGCAATAATTCTATAAATCTTTAAAAAAAAGATAACTATCATAAATATAATATATTACTTCTAAATATATTTTAACATCTAAAAAAACTATAATATGTTTATGTAAAAATATACTCTATCTTGTCCATAAAATAATTTATTCATTTGAATGGAACACTAGTTTTAACTAATATATTATTATATTGGTCGATTATTTTATAAAATAAACTATGCCTAATCGATTTGATTAGCTAATTTTGACTAGTTGAAAATATGAAGAAAACATGATTCTTTTTCACAATAAAGAACACATGTAATTTTTATATTTTATATAAAACTACATACTTTTTATATATTATAATATATAAAAAAACATTTCATCAAACTAATAAAATGTAGATACAAATTTAGTTGGGTGTAATTTGAAATTGATTTAGAAAAGAATATTAACGTAATTTTTTAAAACATAAAATAATATATTTTTACTAAAAGCAGTATAAGAAAAATAATACTCCCATTGTCCCGACATATTTTGCAATATTTTTTATTTTGTCTATCCCATGTTTTATGTAATATTTTCAAAAGAATAATTAACTACACTTTCTCTCGTTACACTATTCAAATTAAACAAATAAATATATATTTCTTTTTAATCATATCACATGATTTCTAATTTATTTTATTTAATACTATTCATCTAAATTTTTATAACTAAAATCAAATGTTTAACCATATATAGACCGGGATTAGTATTAATTTAAATTAAAAATATTAAAAAAATTAAATTGCACAAAATTTACCTGTATTTTTACGAAATTACGTCAAATACTTGTACTTTTAAAACTGCACCAAATTCCTTAATGTTTTTCATATGCTATGCCTCTAATCTCATCATTATTTAACAGTGTTTGACTTAAATGTGCCCAAAGTGCGAACAAATTTTTGAATCTCAAATTTTAAATCCTATAAATATATTCTTTTTTTGTATTATTTTTTATGACAAAATACTTCAATTAGTTATTATGATAATAATATAATAACATTTATAAAAAAAAAAATTATACAAATATAAAAATATTTTTAGTGTCAAATACAATGTTGTAAAAGAGAAATGTAATTATTAAACGCGGACGGAAATAATATAATATTTTTTTAATTAAAAAATCAATAATTATATATACCATTTTATATGAAAAATTTATTACTTGTAAGATTTCACCCATAATTTTACTATTGTAACTTTTTTTTCTTAAAAAATATCAAATCAAACACCTAATTTTTATTTATTTTATTACACTAAAATCTAATTTTACATTCAAAATATCACATAAATATATATTTATATCACATCAAAAAATTATTACAATTCAAAATTTTACTATTCAAAATTAAAACTCAAAATCAAAATCTCACAAGTAAACACATAGTCGTTTCGTGCACCTAATGTTTTTAGATAAAATAACTTTTGGTATATGATATGAAAATTTGTATTAAAATATAAAATATATTATTTTAAGTTGATTATTTTATTTTATTTTATTTTTTACTTTTTGTAATAATTATTTAATTTTTTTATTTTTGACTTTTCGTATTAACTATTTAAAGTTTTTTTGAAATTTTAATTTTTGTATAAAATATTTTATATCTTTTATATTTATTTTTGAGAAATTGCAATTTAAAAGTAAAATTTAGAAAACATAGCCAGTATATTTTTTAAATAAAAATTCTATTTAGACAATTTTTAAAGTTTTTGGTATTGCATTTACATAATAATTTTTTAAAAATACATCATAATTTTTTTATTATTTTGAATTTTTTTCATAACTCAGGTGTTTTTATTTAAGGGTGTGTTTGTTTGAGGGATTTTGTGGGATTTTTACTATTTTCAAAAAATTTTTCCTCCAAAAATATCAAATCAAATATTTATTTTTTATTTTTTATATTATAGTAAAAACCAATTTTACATTAAAAAAATCACATTAATTTTTATTTATATCATATCATACAATTATTCAAATTCAGATTTTTTTACTAGATCCCAACCCAAAATCTAAACCCTCAAACAAACACACCTTTAGTAAATTTGTTTGAAAAAATATTTATATAAAAAAATTGTATAAATAATATAAATATAATATATTTTTTAAAAAATTAATAGAAAAACACACGTTTAGAATATATATATACTTTATAAGTTTAATAAAAATTAATTTAAATTTAAGTATAAAATTAATATTTGATAAAATATTTTATAAAAGTAAGATTATATTTTTAAATGAAACATATAATCAAAATAATAAAATAAAAAAATTCAATAAATAAAGGGTTTGTTTGTTTAGGGTGTGTTTGTTTGGGGATTTGTATTTTGAGCTTGGATTTGAATAGTAAAAATTTTGAATTTGAACAGTTGTATAATGTGATATAAATAGATGTTGATGTGCTAAATAGATGTTGATGTGCTGTTTTTAATGTAAAATTGATTTTTAGTATAATATTAAAAATAAAAAATAAGTATTTGATTTGATGTTTTTAGGAAAAAAATGAAATGAATAATATATTTAAAATCCAATCCTCAAAACAAACACACCAGTATTTTGAGATGAATTTTTTTTACATCAAATATTAAAAATTGTGTTAATAATATAATAAATAATATTTTATATCGAATGTTAGCTTTTTACGAGAAGATAAAATATATATACCGAAAATGGTTGGGGAAAAAACATGTTTGGACAAACAAACCCACTCTCAATCATTTCCGGCTAAACGGAACCAAAACTTAAATAAACGATAAAAGAACAAAAGTAAACAAATCAATTGTATCAGCTTTTTTAATTTCCATCGCAACTAAGGAATATTTGTTTTTATCCGCTATGAAATTACTCTTATAACCTTCCATGACTGCAAAGCTTTCCCTTCCTCCTCGTGCCGTAAATGCGTCTAAATTCATTGAATTGCACTACCTACTCGCGCCTACTTTCTTCCACTTCTCGTCACTCGCTCACTTCCACCGTCACAATCTTCGCACTATATGTACGCTCGGATGTCCTGTCGATCCGGTGGCAAAATTCGAAAAAACAAAGCAGTTAATGGCTTCGAAGCTTCAGAAATCGGAGGAGGAATGGCGAGCGGTGCTGACTCCAGAGCAGTTTCACATTCTCCGTGAGAAGGGCACCGAGTCGGTATCTTTTGATCTATATGCGTATATTATTTGATTTTAGGAATTTTTTGAGTTTTTTTTGGCGCTGTGTTGCTTTTGGCTGAATATAGGTGTTTGTTTATTTTATTTTATGCATCTTGATTGCTATTGGGTGAAGTTTTGTGAGAATCTGCTGAATTCAATCTGGTATTTAGTTTGACCTTATTTTTTTTTGCTGGAATGACAGTTTTGGGGATTGATGTATTGTATAGGCGTAGAGCTTTTATTTATTTATTTATTTATTTATGTATGACGTGGGAACCCTACAGAAAGTGGGTAAACCATCGGTTGAACCTAATATTTTGCAAACCAGGCCTCATGGAAAAGTTCTAGGCGAACTATATGAACTATGTGTGGCAGGACTCGAGGCTTGGGGTTTTGAACTAATGACTTCACGGTCAAAGGGACAACCCCTGCAGCCATCCCTTACGGGACAAGTTATTTGTGCTTTGAATATGCCAATAAGTGGATTGATTCAGCCTCCTTTGATTCTCTGTTTTTTTGCCTTTAATCGAATCAACTCTGGTATGAAAAATATATTTTGAAGCTCATTTGTCTGTGTTCATATAGAAGGAACTGTTGTAATGATCTCAAACAATACACAATTCCTTAGAAATGGAAAAATGGTTTGTTAAAAGATATATTTGGAATATATATATATATTATATTTATGGTATTTGATGTATTTAAGAGATTTTTAAGAATTCCAACTCATGATTTGTACTATTTTTTATAGTTGAAATAGAAAATTTTAGTTTTATAGTATTACAAATTTACAATATTTATCAAAGTTAAAAGTATTTTCGGGTACATCCATGATCCATTATATTTTGTATTTGTTGATATAATTTGTTGATGTATTTATTTTCACCACAGTGTTGTCGCCCTCTACCGGCAAACTTTTGTTTACGGCTCTAACTTCATTGAGTTTCTAACTCTTAACTTAGTTACGAGTCTGTTATGAGCGAGCCAGTCCCATTTTCAACTCTAACTACGTTGTGAGCAAACAAATCCTGTTTTTGGCTTTAACTCCATTAAGAGCGAGCAACTCCCATTTCCAACTCTATTTCAGTTGAGAAGGTTGCTTCTAACTGATAACCTGGATGATTCTGGCTACATAACTTTCGGTTTCTCTTGGCAAATTCAAGGTTATTCGATCTTATCTTGAGTTTGATGAAGAGTGTTAAAGATATATTTAGAATATATATATATATATATTATATTTATGGTGTTTGAAGATTTGTAGGATTTTTAATTTATTTAGATAATTTTATGCTATTATAAATATATAAGATTCTTTACCGTTGAAATAGAGAATTTCAATTTCATGTTTCAACAAATCATGCTTCACAATGTGATATTAATCTCTCAATTTGCACTATTTTGCTAGTTTGATTAGACTCTGCTCCGTATAAAATTCGCAAATTTTGTCACTAAATGTGTTATCTACTCAGGCGTAAAGGCACCGGGCACTACGACAAGTTCTATGACAACGGTGTGTACAACTGCGCCGGCTGTGGGACACCTCTCTACAAGTCCACAACCAAGTTCAACTCGGGCTGCGGCTGGCCTGCCTTCTTCGAAGGCCTACCAGGTGCCATCAACCGATCTGTAAGTATCCTATATATCATATCTTCATCATCCTCTGTTTTATGAACTCGTTGGATAAGTTCCCACCCGACCATTTGAGAATTTGTGCGCATTTGCAGCCGGACCCTGATGGCAGGAGGACTGAGATCACGTGCACTGCATGTGGGGGGCACTTGGGGCATGTGTTCAAAGGCGAGGGCCATCCGGTGCCTACGGATGAGAGGCATTGCGTCAACAGCGTGTCCATCAAGTTTGTGCCGGCATCGACCTAATCGGGTTTCTTCGACAGGTATGTGAAGATACCCCACTACATTGTCAAAAGGTTCTCCCTTATACGCTTCACTTGGATCGTTGGATATAATGAAATTTGTCGCTAAATTGGTCGGAAAAAATAAATGTTTTGAGATTTTATTGATTTCTTGATCATAGCGACAATTGGTCGGAAAAAATAAATGTTTTGAGATTTTATTGATTTCTTGATCATATATATGGTTGAAATGTTTCCTATTCTCCATTTTCTGAATCATTAGTCTTGCCCCTATCTACAAGGATGAATTTTCCATAAATTCTGCTATTATTTGAATCTATATATATATATATATATATATCTATGCATAGTAATAATCGTTTAATATGAGGAATAAAATTAAGGTTAAATTGCACAAAATTTATGTGGTTCAACAAAATTGCCTTAAATTTCTTTGTATTTCTAAAACTGCATCAATTTCTCTTATATTTTATAAACTCTGTATATGACTTAAATAAGCTCAAACTGTGAAAGAATTTTAGAATATTTTGAATATTTAAAATTACAAATATATTTATTTTTTAGATTATTAGTAGTTTGGTCCTTATTTAAGGATGTTTGATCAAGTTCAAATTGCTAATGAATTTCAGAATATTCATTTCTTAACTCTTAAAATTACAAATATATTTATTTTTTTATATTCTGAAATTCATTCGCAGTTTGGATGAGTGTAAGTCAAACACTATTAAATAAAGACACAGGGTTTATAAAACTATAAGGAATATTGAACGTAATTTTAGAAGTATAAGAATTTGACGCAATTTCATAAAATCACATATGAGTTTTGTACAATTTAGCTTAACATTAATAAGACCACTCTACTCACCCAATGCATATATATATATATATATATAAGAGCACTTTACTAAAAACAGAGTTATCTGTACAACTATTCATATATATATATGTTTAAGGATATATATATATATATGATTCACAAACAAATTGGTAACAAATTTAGATCTAACACAGGCATACAAATTACCGAAAACAACAAAAAGAAGAACCCTAGCTATAAGTAAGATCAATGGAGGTAGAAGTGAGGACACCAATAGAAGCCCCCAAATTGGCAAGCAATGAGATCAACGCGAATTCGCCGCGCCCAAACGGCCCGGCATTTAAACAAAATTCTAACCCTAACCACGGATAATACACCCTCCTTTTCGGGACGAACAAAGCCATGATCCATCCCAAAGGATACATAACTATGGATGCAATTACCATCACCATAATGCACTCGCCTACCTGCGTCAACAAACATTTATTGAGGTACAAAAGAGACAAGAACGACGCCGGACCCATAACCGCCACCCGAAATGTCCAAATCGGCTCCTCGTCATCCGCCGCCAAACTCGCCGTCGATCTTCGCCGGGAAACTCTTCTCCGGCGGGCATCGCACATATTTGATTCAATTGTTGGATTCAATTAGGGCAAATGAAATTGGGGAAGAACATTGTAGGTACGTATAATCTGCATGGATTGGCCAACGTCATCGCAGCCGTCCGTGCCTTACGTTGTGAAGCTCATCTGACCGTCCATTTTGTTTCGTACAGAAAATGTAGACGAAACACAGCCATGATATCTGATTTGGAATTAATTTAAAAAAATAAAAATAAGGCAATTATGGTACATGTATAAATGCGTAAATTAAATTGTTAAATATTAAATTAAATTATATATATATATATATATATATATACAATTGAGTCAATTGAGGGATAATAGAGGAGGAAGAACTAACACTACTCTCCTTGTGTCCTGAATTCTGCCACGCGTCGTTATATCCTTGAGTAACATTACGGTATATTCCAGACCAGGAGTTGAGGTCCCACTGCAAATTTCTAGTTTGGCAATTTTATTTTTTTTAATTTATATTTTATTTATCCGCATAAATTAGAAATTTAAAATTGAGTATTTTATTAAAAAAGTAATAAAAGTAAAAAATAATTGAGAATATTTTTAAAGAATAAATTAGAAATTCAGAAAAATGAGAGAAAATATAATAATGAAAAATAAATTTAACGGATAAATTAAAAAATATTAAAAAGTACAGAAAAACTATTAAATAATGATTAAATAATGAGTGTATTCACTTGAAATTTTTATTAGTAACATGATTTTTTAATATGATATAATAAAAAAATAATATATGCACAGCACCCACACAATAAATAATAATTCTAGGACTACAATATATATATATATATTTTAATATATATTACTAATATATTTTTCATTCCTAATAAGACATAGTGACATACATCTAGAACTACAAATTGAATGCTTTCATGTTTCAATTTATTTTGATATTATTTTATTTTAAAGTATCTTAAAGTATTTAAAAGTTTTTATTTTATCAATATAATCAATAAAATATCAGAAGTAAAAGTTTTAAAATAAAATTATCAAAATTATATCATTTAAAAATTGTAAAAAATAGTATCTATTATTAATTAAAATATAATGTTACAATAAGAAGATAATATTGAAGTTTTGGGTATTCTACATGTATATGTATATATCATAAATTTTTAAGGCAAAATTGCCTCCAACGTGGTTTCGAAATTCAGCGTAAATTTCCCCTCTACTTTAAAAATTGTATGGTAACCCCTTATATTTAAAAAATTGTTGCATGAAATCCCACCACCGTGAAACTTTCTTCCATGTGATAAGAAGATGATTTCCTATCTATATGTTTTGTATGGCAGGGGTTTTTATGCAATTTTTTAAAGTAAAATGAGGATTTATGTTGAGTTTATGAAACCACTTTGTGGTTTCATGCAATATTTTTTAAAGTATAAGGGGGTACCATGCAATTTTTAAAGTAGAAGAGGAATTTACACTAAGTTTCGAAACCACAAGGGAATTATGGACAATTTTGCCAATTTTTTATTATTGTTGTACATACGTTTAAATAATAGAAATATAACTAACGGGCTCTAAAATCAAGCAACATTTCGAGAAGAATTGATTTTTGTGTCGTATAGAAAATTATGTCAAAAATATAATATATATTTTTAAATTTGCATTGTATTTTGATATAATAATTAATATCAAAGATAACATACAAAAATTAAATAAGACCTTAAAGTCAGACGAAAATAGTATTATTTTGAATTAAATATTTTACTTTTTATAACGGTATTCACTTTTTTCTTTTTACTTTTGTAAAAAGATTTGTGTTTTATTATTATTTTTTAGAAATAGCAATTGAAAAATAGTGCCGGGATAACATAGTGATTGTATATGGAGTATTTAATAATGTAGAATGAATTCATTATCGTAAAGTTATAAATTTAAATTTTCAATTTTGTGTATATATACATTCACTAGTGTGTTGACCAGTGCGTTGCACGAATTTTATAAATTATTTAATTTATATAGTATAAATAATTTATTATAAAAAAAAATATCAAAAAATAAAAATATAGTTCAAATCAGTCAATCATTATTATAAAAATTATATAAACATATTCTCTTTAATATTTTGATTTTCTTTTTTTTCAATCATTATTATAAAAATTATATAAACATATTCTCTTTAATATTTTGATTTTCTTTTTTTTCACGAATTAACAATTAATGTATAATAAACTAATAATATTTAATTGATGACAATAATATTTTTTATTTATTTATTTTCTCTAAGACCACTCATCTTGTCTCATTTTGATAGCATAAAATAATTGAAATTTATGAAGACAAAAATAAAAGTTTGTGTTGTCATAAAAAACTTTATTAACCAATTTAATAATAACAAAAAAGAATTTTCGAAATTTCAATTAATAGCAATATATGTATATTTAAAAATGTCAATGTCAAATGATATACTTCACAAGAAGTAGTAACTAAGCTCCAGATGAAGTTAATGGAAGCTGAGGACCACTCGTTCGAACTCCACATACGTAATATCAATGAACACTCCATTGCAATCATCTTCCCCCATTTCGGGGCGTCAAACTCATACCTCATTTCAATTTCTATCCCACACTCTGGCCGCCGATCACTGGCAGCTAGCTAGCTACCCGTGTTCGGATTCAAAGGTGATCAAAGATATTCCAATTTTGTGTTCCATTTTCTGATTTATGGCCAAATTCTGCATTTTTAGATTAGCTCCTGCCATGTCTGATCATCACCACAAGTATATTGATAATTCTATTGCCTTTTTCGATTCTGCTCATAACCTGTTCGATGAAATTCCTCTGTGCGTGTTTAGGTGAACTTCTTTGAATATGTCTTCTGTGTGGAAAGATATGGTGATAAGGTCGACAGCAAACGATGTCTGCACAACGAGATTGATACTCAAGGAGAAGTTTTCCGATCAAATTGGGATTTTGAGAGCTCAGCCACTCTGCACCCGACGTGGCTCCACTGTCTGCCGTGGATCAAGAATTAGGGCTCATAGAAGAATGGAGGCACAGGCTATACTGAGCCCTGTATCGGACCCCACCCCAGCTACTGATAAGAAGGTCAGAAACCTGCTTTGATTTTAGCTTTCTTTATATAGAAAAAGGGTTATGTCATGTTTCATAGTTGTGATCGAACACTGTTGCGGCATTAAATAGTTTCTTATGATTTCTTTGTCGGTTATAAATACAATTAATTTAGTTCTATGTGTTTGAATTTTCCACAACAGGATAGGAAAGTGATCTCAAATTAGATGTGTTTATAGGTCATGTATAGTTAATTTAATGTTAAATCTTTTGATTCACTGCCCTATGTATGGTTGACAGTATATAGTTATATATAAAACATTAGTTAATTCTCCTCCCTCAATATTTTACACTCTCCATTCCACTGTGAAGTGTACAATGGTTTTGAAAAATTTGTATATAATGCTACGTTTGTAATTTAAATAAAAGTTAAGTGTATTTTTATATTACTATACGACCACTTTTATCATAATAAAAAATACTCCCTCCGTCCGTCCGGGCTATCATATCCACGCAAAAATTTAGGAGAGATATAATTAATAAATAATTAAAAATGTATTATTGAAAATAATTATAGTATAATTAAAATAATTATATATTAAGATTAAGATAACTGATTAATCTAATTAAAATTTTAAAAATTATAAATTAAAAAATTTAAAATAAGATTAAAGTGTATATATATATATATTTTCTAAAAAGTGACAAAATAAGTGGGATGAACGAAAATAATATAAATTAGTTTAGGACAAACAAAATTGACAAAATGTATATATTTGACTATGTTGGCCGGAGTCTTTTCTTTTATAAAATTCTTGAAATTTAGAGTGTGTTTGGTTTGTGTTTGTGTTTAAATAGTGGTTGAATGAGATGTTTCGCGAAAAAAAAAAAAAAAAAAAAAAAAAATTTTTTATATGAGATGGTAGATTGCATATAGCATATAAATCTTTAAGGCTTAGCCATTACGCGCATATATATATATATTTATCACAACTCTATTTTTTAATTAATTTAGCATGTTGTTCTTAACTTTTTGTAAATAAAAACCAGCCCAATCTTGACAAGTAATGACGTGGTTAATCCTGCTAAAATTGTATTTTCAGGATTGTTTACTTTCCTTGATTAATTATGTTTTTTTGTGCAAACTGTTGTTAAATTGTAGAACTATCATTTTTATTCTGCTATTTTTTAATCAGTTTAATATATATACACACACAAAAGATAAACATCTAGATTTTGTCAGCTTGCTCTGCATCACTGATCCAGCCATCTCCAGCTATCCACGTGGCAGTAGTAATAAGCACTTAGTGTCTTTCAGTGAACCATTTTTGTCATCTTCATAGTCTACACCTTTACATGAAAAACAAATGTCTGCTCTGACCTAAGTCTCTAGAATGCTTAAATTGAACTTACACTGCCAGGGGTCTTTTGATTTTCCTCCATTTGAGTGTCCATGAAGGTAGAATGTGCTTGAAATTTCACTTGTTTATTTCTTGATGAAGTTAAAAAGCTTGTGATTGTGATTTCAATGTTTTGCTTTGCTTTATAGTTTATTTGGTGGTGTTAATTAGTTTTTGTTTTCATTTGTAAAGAGGGTGTTCACTTTTGGCAAGGGAAGGACTGAGGGGAACAAAGGCATGAAATCCTTGGTAAGTTTGTTAACTGTTAGATATCTAAATGTGTTTAAATCCTTTTTATTTTTTTTATGTTTATTAACTTTTAACTATGGCCGGAGATACTATATAACAAATATAACAACATACAATACATCATTTGTGTTCAACATAATACAACTTCTTAACATACAAATGAAGCACATGATAATTGTGCACACGATACATACTGCTATTACACAATGCATACTACTATTGATTTTAACACATAAATATGTCCATACAACACATCTTATAAATAGGGATATTTGTGATGAAACAATGTGTTGTCTGCCTATTTATGATGTGTTGACCAGAAGAATCAGCACCATGCGGATATGCCCTACAGTAACCTCTTCCTTGAAGATATGGTTTCCATTACTCTCCATGGCCTGCTAATCTTATTCTTTCCAAAAATTGCAATTATCGAAATAGGAAAGTTATCGTGTGTCTGCCTCATTAGTTATGCTAAATATCTCTTCCTTTTATACCAGTTGGGAGGGAAGGGAGCCAATCTTGCTGAAATGGCTAGCATTGGCTTATCAGTGCCGCCTGGATTCACCATTTCCACAGAGGCCTGTCAAGAATATCAACAAAATGGCAAGCACCTACCGCAAGGACTGTGGGAAGAAATACTAGAAGGTTTAAAAATAGTGGAGACTGACATGGGAGCTTTTCTTGGTGATCCATCCAAGCCCCTCCTCCTTTCTGTTAGATCTGGAGCTGCTGTAAGTATACGTGATCTGACAACAAGAATTCTAGTTTGAGAAGTGGGCAGGATTTGGTTCCGTTTGTGAGTTGAAATTGTGTTTAAGAATTAATATCATAATCTAGCATTGTTTTGAGGTCTATTTTAAAAACTGGCAATTTTGTTCTTCTTTTGATCTTATATTAGTTAAACTATGTGGTTTAATGTAGATTTCTATGCCTGGCATGATGGACACTGTGTTAAATCTCGGACTGAACGATGAAGTCGCAGCTGGTTTGGCTTCAAAAAGTGGAGAGCGGTTTGCCTATGACTCGTACAGACGCTTCCTGGACATGTTTGGAGATGTCGTGAGTTTCTATTTCATAATGTCATTAACATATGTAGGCAAAGCAATGGTAGATGGATAGATATTTCCTCATTACAAAAAAGGGTGGTTTTTTAAGCTGCCAATGCTGGTTTTTTTCTTGAAGGTGTTGGGTATTTCACACTCAAAGTTCGAAGAAAAACTAGAGAAGATGAAACAAAGGAAAGGCATAAAGCTTGATATGGAGCTAACAGCTTCTGATCTGAAAGAGCTGGTTGAAGAGTACAAGGATGTCTATGTTCAAGTTATCGGTGAAAAGTTCCCATCAGGTCTGCAAAATCCTCAAACAAATTGTGTTTTAGTGTGGAATTTTTGTATTTAACTTGTATATGGTGCCTTCTGATTTCCTCGTGGTTATGATAGATCCAAAAAAGCAGCTGGAATTGGCAATTAAAGCAGTCTTTGACTCATGGGACAGTCCGCGTGCCAAAAAGTATCGTAGCATTAACAACATAACTGGTTTGAAGGGAACTGCAGTAAACATTCAGTCCATGGTGTTTGGAAATATGGGGAACACTTCGGGAACGGGTGTACTTTTTACAAGGAACCCTAGCACTGGAGAAAAGAAGCTCTATGGAGAGTTTCTAATTAATGCCCAGGTCTGGATCACAATGGTGATTCTAAAAGTTACAAACTATAAAATTTCATGCTCCATTTCATTTGTTATTTGTCTGTATCGGCTGATCCGTGCTTGCCCATAGGGAGAAGATGTTGTTGCTGGAATCAGAACACCAGAAGATTTGGACACCATGAAGAAGTGTATGCCCAAAGCTTACAAGGAGCTTGTCGAAAACTGTGAAATATTAGAAGCTCATTACAAAGATATGATGGTAAAAATGTTTTCCATTTACATTGAAATTTTTTGAGCTTTGGAAAATTTGAAAGTAGTAAAAAGAATGAGCATATAATGTGATGATCTGTGATAAAGAACCTATTTGATTTGATGTTTCTAAAAAAAATTACTATTGACGAATAGTTTGTCAAAACATTCAAATGTATCTACGTAAACGGAGCCATGGTTTTTCATAGAACTATTTTAATGCACCATTGCCACCATATATAGGACATCGAATTTACTGTACAAGAAGAAAGGTTATGGATGCTGCAATGTAGAGCCGGAAAGCGTACTGGCAAAGGCGCTGTGAAGATTGCCGTAGACATGGTAAATGAAGGGCTCATTAATTCCCACACTGCAGTTAAGATGGTGGAGCCTCAGCATCTCGACCAACTTCTTCATCCGCAGGTACATTAACTTCTTCATTTGCCGGTACATAACTAAAATTTGATATCTGTCGCTTTACGTGCTCTTTTTCTTTTAGTTTGAGGATCCATCTTCCTACAAAGACTCTGTCATAGCCAAGGGCTTGCCTGCATCACCTGGTGCAGCAGTCGGACAAGTTGTGTTCGATGCTGACAATGCCGAAGCATGGCATGCTCAAGGAAAGAGTTGCATCCTGGTATGGCAATTTACATTCTCGTTTTCGGATTTGAATCAATGATGTTTACTTTTGCTTCTTGTAACATAATCAAACTGAATTTTATTTTATTTTTTTATTGTTATGTAACTAAAGGTAAGGACTGAAACAAGTCCGGAGGATGTCGGCGGAATGCACGCTGCTGTTGGAATTTTGACTGCTAGAGGCGGCATGACTTCTCATGCAGCTGTGGTCGCTCGTGGATGGGGGAAGTGTTGTGTTTCCGGTTGCTCGGAGATACGTGTAAACGACTCTGAGAAGGTTGCGCTGCAGATACAGTGTAAGCGATAGGCATTTTTTTTAAAGAGTATTTACCCTCTCCGAATGCAGGTGGTCGTGATCGGAGAAAAAGTCATACAAGAAGGAGACTGGATCTCACTCAACGGCTCGACAGGCGAAGTGATCCTTGGCAAACAACCGCTGGTTCCCCCGGCTATGACCGGAGAATTGGAGATCTTCATGTCTTGGGCCGACAACATTAGACGAATCAAGGTGGTTTCATAATTCTTTCTAGACGTCGATTTGAAGTGATGCACCTGCTAGAGTAACATAGGGTGTTCTTTTGAGAGTTCGGATTTTGTGTTTAGTATTTAAATGGTAAAATTTTTGAACTGAAATAATTATATGACGTAATATAAATAGGTGTTGATTTGATATTTTAAATATGAAATTGATTTTTAAGTTTAATATAGAAAATGAAAAATAGAGGTTTGATTTGACATTTTAATGAATAGTAGAATTTTGAGTAAAAATCCTCAAAAGAACACACCCTTTAAGTTTCGGGGCTTTGATAGGTTATGGCGAATGCTGACACGCCGGATGATGCATTGGCGGCTCGGAAGAATGGAGCGCAAGGAATTGGATTGTGTCGGACAGAGCACATGGTATGTTTTCTGCCTTCTTTTTTTTTTATGCGTCGTCTGCCATTACTTTGGAGCTTCGGAATCACTTAGGCTACATTTCTTTCAGTTCTTTGCTTCGGATGAGAGGATTAAGGCGGTGAGGAAGATGATAATGGCGGTGACGACCGAGCAGAGGAAGGCAGCTCTAGACTTGTTATTACCTTATCAGCGATCCGATTTTGAGGGAATTTTTCGCGCCATGGATGGTATTTCTCGTCTCTTCTTTACATTTTTAGGCATAAGAAAGATGAACTCAAAGCCAATGCAATGAATCTGTGCATTTTTTCAGGTCTTCCGGTGACAATCCGGCTCTTAGATCCTCCGCTGCATGAATTCCTTCCGGAAGGTGAAATTGACGAGATTGTTGAAGGGCTAACCGCTGATACAGGCATGAGCGCAGACGAAGTTCATTCGAGGATTGAAAAGCTGTCGGAAGTTAATCCCATGCTTGGATTCCGAGGATGCCGGTATGTATAATGTATTGTTACCGTGTTGATTCTACGAGTAGTTAAGCAAGACTCATATTCGATCGAATTTGGCAGGCTTGGAATATCGTACCCTGAGCTGACGGAAATGCAGGTTCGCGCAATATTCCAGGCGGCGATCTCTTTGACGAACCAGGGCATTAAAGTCTTTCCCGAAATTATGGTTCCTCTCATCGGAACACCCGAGGCAAGGCGTCGTCCTATAGCTACATCTTATGTTTAAAATTTAGTATCTAATGCAAAAATGGCGTTAATGTTTTTGAGTTGTCGACGGCAGGAATTGAGTCATCAGGTGAGCTTGGTTCGCGGAGTTGCTAAGAAAGTGTTTTCTGAGTGGGGCACAACACTCACCTACAAAGTCGGGACGATGATAGAAATTCCGAGAGCTGCGCTAGTTGCAGACGAGGTTTGTATATAAATATATATGTCTTGCTATTATTGTTCTTTGTATGAGTCTTTTTTGTGGCTCGTTTTGGAAGATCGCCAAGGAAGCCGAGTTTTTCTCCTTCGGGACAAACGATCTCACGCAAATGACATTCGGATATAGCAGAGACGACGTAGGCAAATTCCTTCCGATATACCTGTCTCAAGGCATTCTTCAAAATGATCCATTCGAGGTTTGCGAATGCTTTAATCTTATAAAACTCAAATCTTTTTTAAACATTCTTCGACAAATCGATAACCACATGTTAAGAGCAGGTACTCGATCAGAGAGGCGTAGGTCAGCTCATCAAGATGGCGACGGAAAGTGGCCGTGCAGCTAGACCAAGCCTCAAGGTCAGTTTGCCGAATCATAAATTTTACGCTACGTTATAAATAGTATCGTTGTAAAGTTAGTTTCCGTTTGTTCGGGTAATATAAAACAACAAATGGCAGGTGGGTATCTGCGGAGAGCACGGTGGGGAGCCTTCGTCCGTCGCTTTCTTCGCCAAAGCTGGTCTCGACTACGTCTCATGTTCCCCTTTCAGGTAAACAATGGCATCGATGTTTTCTGTCTTCGAGAAATAGTTCATAAATACGACGAATTTTAAGTCGATTCGACGAATTTTTCAGGGTGCCTATTGCAAGACTTGCTGCAGCTCAAGTTGCTGTCTGAGCCCCTTGTGTATGTCTGTATATAACCACCTCAGTATTCGAAAAAAAAAGGATCGAAATTGTCATCTCGTGTGAAGAAGACGACGACGATCTTATGTACTGTTCGTATAAAAACAACTCCGGCGACACAGCGCTTGTATATCGATTAATTATCATGTGTATTAAAGAAATCGATTGGAGAAATCTTCGATACACCGGGTTTGGTTAAACTGATAACCGAACCCAGCAACTGATTATTCGCTTATATACACAAGTTATATCGTAGTTTTCTAGTTTTCGATACGCACAATTTACACACACCCTTATGCTATATAGTCGAATTTGATTAGTCGGAGGTTCCAGTCGGAGGGTGCCCGATGCCGCGTCGGGTGTTGGGAAACAGGACGAACACGATCCCGGAAACCGTCCCGATGACCGGCGGCAGAGCCATCAGCAGGGCCCTCTGCGTCGACTTGAAGTCCGGGTAGAAGCACTCGACTACGTCGGGATGCAAAAGCGCTATGACGGAGAATACGGAGAGTGCCAAGATCGCGTGCACAAAGTCCCCGAAACGGAGCCTACGCGACGACAGGTCTTTCGAATCCGAGCCGGGCCAGAGACCCTTTGTCGTAACGAAGCCGTAGCGAATATCCCCCTGGCTATCGACGTAGCTATCGGTGAACGACGAGACGAAGCACGATAGGCCACAGGCGATGGCGAGGAGACCCGACAAGTATTTGTGGACGACGTGGCATTCTCCGTTGTTGGTTACGACGGGGACGACATATTGGAAGAGGAAGACGGTACCGGCAGGGAGGAGATGGACGAGGTTGCCGGAGCCGGCGAGGGCTAATTGCGATATTGTTTTGGGCCTTTTAGATAGGGTCGATGACGACGACAATAGCGTCGTAGAATTTGATGACATTTTTATTTTATTTTATTTTATTTTTTCGTTTTGGGTTCGGATGCGGCCTTGTTGTAAGAAGGCGGGACTTGTATTTATAGTTGTGCTTTTGAATTTGTTATGAACAATCGATATATTCGCTATTTTTCGGTAGAATTAAAGTTTAACGGAAATAGAAAAATGATCATTAGTTAGTTAAACACAACTTTTTATTTAAATAGCTATTGTCGTTGTAATGAAGGTCACGATTATTACAAATCGTAAATTGATTTAAGAAGGTTTGCAATTAGAAGAGACAACAAGAAATTGGAATTTCCATATAAAGAATATTGCAATTTATTTGTTTTTCCCTAAAGTCATTGTAATGAGTTACTTTCTTCACATTTCTTTCAGAATTTGGCTAAATTTATTAGACATGTTCTTTGAAAACTTGTGTCGAATTAATTCACTGCATTTGCATGTAAATTTGCACGTAACCTTACTAATTTGAATATTTAATGTAAATATAAATATATGTAATTGTTCATTTTTATTGAATATATGTATTTGTAAGTATTCTTCCGCCTCACTTACAGTGTCATATTTTTATATATACTTTCATTTTTCTAAAAGAAAATTATATCCTTTAATCTTATTTTTAATTTTAATCAGACTAATGAGTTACTCCGTCAATCTCACCTACCACGTCCATATTGTCATTTGTATCCGTCTCACATTTCATATCACTTTTATTTTTTGAAAAATGATTACATCTTAATTTATAATTATTTTATTTTTACTAATATATTTTTAATTATCTACTAATTATACTTATCTTAAATTTCAGTGTCTACACGGACATCCAATGTGGGACGGAGGGAGTAATTTTTAAATTTATAATTATTTTTATTAATAAATTCTTAATTATTCACTAATTATACTCTTCCTAAATTCTAAATTCATGTCTTTACTGTAAATTGGACACCATAGCTGGAACAAATGAACTAATATTTTGGAAAAAGGTATTGTATTTGCCTTAAAAAAATACAGCTCTCTTGCTAAAAAAAACAAAAACAAAAAGAATCTGGCTATTTTAATATTATATATATATTATTTAAAAGTCCTTAAAATTGTTTGATGTGATATAAATAAATATCAGTGTAATATTTTTAATATAAAATTATTTTATAATATTCCCAGTGTCCCTTAACTATGAATCCATTTGTTTTTTTGGCATGTAGAATTTTAAATATTTATATTATATTTAAAGAATTCGATGCTATAGAGAATCTCAAAGAAATACTATAATTTTATCGATCCAGACTAAGCAAATGCTGTGAGCCTCGACGGTAGAGGCAGTGATTGAGGCAACGGCGACATGGAGAAACTTGTTCCTGCGTAGTATGCACATTCATCAATCTGGGGCGCTGGCTTGGATCCTCTTTTACCTAGACCGATCGACTTATGGCGAAGAGACTTTACTTTAGAGTTTTCGCCATGCATCTTAGCTCTTAACGAATCCAACGATTTACCTCCCTTTGATTCAGGAGTTGTTCCGTAGACTTTCATCCTATAAATATCTTTCTTAGCTCCATCGTCGATTTCCTTCTTCTCCGGCTTTGCTGGCGTTTTCCGGCAGCATGGCTTCCAAGTCGCCGGAAAATTCCTCTTTGAAGTCTGAAAAATGTTCAATCTCTCACTCGATACATCCGCAGAATGCAAAACCTTCGTTCCCATCTTTCACTCCGACAAAGAAAACGCCTAATCGCACTACTCTTTCACCTAACTAATGTTTGTAACTAACGACTTCTGCATTCGCTTCAAAGGACTAAATAAATAGGGAAATTTTATGGGCCGGGCCGGGTAGGATTCTATTTGTCTTGAAAATCTCATTATCAAAGTAATCCTTGTATCGTTAAATTATCTGTTTTTTTTTTTTTTTTTTAAAAAAAAATTATCACTACTTTTTATATTTAAATTAAAAGATATTCATAAGCCCAAAAAAAAGAAAAAAAAAAAGAAAGATTAATTTTCTAAAATTATAAGTATTTATTGATTTAAAAATTGCTTGGTATTTGTAATGCTACATTCATCATTCATTTACTCTATATATTCTTGCATAACAGCATAAGGAAGTCGGTTAGAAGCATAAGTCTATTCTTTACATAACAAGCCTTAATCCACGAACTTGAGCTCTCGCCAGGGCGTTTTTGCCTTTTAGGATTTGAAATTTATCAAAGATTTGTATGATATATTCTGCATTTTCTTCTTCCGATGGGGATGGAGATTTTGCATTCTATGAACGTATTGGGTGAGAAACTGAAGGCTCCTCAAGCCTCTAAGAGGAGTTTTCCCATCTGTTCGAGTCATGGGAAGGCATCTGCCAAGTCGGGGAAGAAAAAAATCTACGGCGGCAGCGAAGAGTTTAGTGGAGCTAAGAAAGATGTTCACCGCATGCAACAAAGTCGATGGGAACAGCTCCTAAATCAGTGATCCTTTTAAAGAGAGGTGAATCGTTGGATACCTTAACAAATAAGATCTATTGCGAAAACTCTAAAGTATCCTAACCGTAAAGTCCTTCAACGAATTAATGGTTTTAGGTAAAAAAAAAAAAGGATCGAAGCCAGCGCCCGCAGATTGATGAATTAGCCTATGCCGAAAACTGTTTCTCCATATCGCCGTCGCCTTAATCACTGCATCTGCCTTCGCTACTTACGACCTTTGCGTATCGATTGATCGGATTATGGTATGTGAAGTCTATTTGGGGCTCTTGAGAATTCAAATTTCTTAAGATGCTATTTTTTTTCAAATTGGAGAAGGTCCTTTTTTAAGATATAGAGATTCTCATGAGCTGGAATTTGAAGGCGATCACTCCATTGGAGCAATTTCTAAGCTTGTATTGTCGTTAGTTTTGTAAACTATTTGTGTATAGTTCGATTTGGTGAACTTTCATAGTTTAGAGAAATGAAAATGAATTAATTTATTTTGATTGTATTGGGTGAGAATTGGAAGTTAGGAGATAATTTATTTTTTAGCTTTTTCTAGATTTACTTAGATAAATGAAAGTGAATTCAATATGTCAATGTCACTTTAAAAATAATCATTTATCTCAAATTCTTTTCATGTGTTATTAAAATCTTTTTTTATTAATTTTTTCTTCAAAATCATTTTTACTCGGTGTTGTAACCAAATATTTATTTCTCAATTTTGATTTGTCAAGAACAAATAGTGTGTTGATTCAAGTTGATTCGATTAGTGAGTTTAACTAACTGAATATATTAACTATTTGTGTTGAATTGTTTGATAGAATAACAATTTAATTTTAGCAAATTATACGTGTAAATTTGTAGTTATTGCACATAACTAGGGGTGGAAATAGGCCAGGCCAGGCTTTGGTTAAATAGGCTTGGCCTGTCTTAAAAAGATATGGCCTGAGCCTGGCCTACCAGCCTGAAAAAAAATATTTTTAAAGCCTGAGCCTAGCCTTTTTAAAAGCCTGGCCTGGCCTACGAGCCTGTTTAAAAGGCTACATAATAATTTATTATTATTATTATTATTATTTTTTTTGTAAATTTCGTACTATAAATAAAAAATAAAACAGATACAATTATTTATATTATATATAAAAAAATAAAAAATTCTGTTTTTTAATGACAAAAATAATCATTTTTATTGCCATATAAAAATACAATATATTATACTAATAATTTGCAAAAAAACGTATATTACAATTCATTCAAATATATATATAATTATTGGGAATAAGTCTTGCAAACTCTAGACAAAAGCTGATAGAAATTACTGCATAATGACATTAAAAAAAAAACAGTTTACATCAATCTATTGTCATTAAGCTGATTGTTCTAACAAAGAAATAAGCAACGCTAACTCAGAAGCAATATTAAAAAATTCGACAAAAATATTTAGAAATTAATAACATAGTTTTTCAAGTTCACGTCACCCACAGGCCACAAGCCACAAGAATTGCAAATTCCCCCAAAGTTTCTGAAACCATTAAATCTGTTCAAGTACAAAAGTTGATCAAATTAGTATTATATCTGAAATTTCTTCCTTCTATATATAAATTACGCAAAGCATCAAAAAATTATATTAGAACAAAAAGAAAAAAGGAATATCTTACTTACCAATACAATAAAAGTTTCAAAAGAAAAATAGCAAATAGATCAATAATATCTTCTGGACATTAGCATTTCCACTCCTGAAATCAAAATTTAAAATTTCAGCACCTGCAAACCTATCCAAATATCCAAAAAAAAATAAATAAATAATTGTAATATCAAAACAACCACCTGCAAACCTATCTAAATATTTCAAACAATACATCCTGCAACAAATTTCAGAAAATCAAAGTTGAATCCTCCCAAAATACATCATGCAACAACAATATCTTACTAAAAAAATCAGATTTTCAAACAATTAATCTGTATAAAAAATTTCAGAAAATATTATAAATTTAAAACGTACCGCAACCAAAGTATTAAAGAACTTCTTTAATCTATAAGCTTATCTCCTTCAAAGACTCATTCACCTTCAAATGAGAGAAATATTTTTATTAGAAAAAAATATATTGTGGGTGATGAATAAGATAAAGAAAAGACAGTTAATAATAAAATTTACCTTCTTTTTTTTCAAGTTGTATTTATGTCGAAGCCAATCTCCTCCACAAATTAGTGTCTCAATAGATTCTTCATTCAATCTTGAACGATATTCATCTATAATTCTACCTCCAGCACTAAATGTAGACTCTGAAGCTACCGTTGATATTGGAATCGCAAGTACATCAGCAGCCATCTTCGATAAAACTTTATATTTCATGCTGTTGTTCCTCCACCACTCCAAGGCACAAAATGAAGACATATTTCCATCAGGAATATAAACACTGTCCTCGAGATAGGCATCCAATTCAGATTTTGATACAGGAATTGCTTCTTTTGCTCTTACAAGACTCATAATTTGATCAAACCCAGTAACTATCGCAGATTCAGATTGGGTGGTGGCAGAGGAGATGTTAGCCATATTGCACTGACTTGAGGATGATTCTTCAACACTTAAGGCCACATAATCATTATATAGTTGTTGCAGTGAAGCACGCACTTTGTTCACATACTCGGCAGCAACTTCTTCAGACTTGTATATCATTGGAAAACATATTTCAACACCATGAAATTTAACTCTCGGATCCAATACATTTGCAACAGCCATCAATAGATTGCACTCACCCCAATATTTATCAAACTTTTCTTTCATTTGCGTTGCCATTTGTATCATAAAAAGATCATCATCCTTTGTCGCATCATCAATTACTTGCTTCACTTTCCAGACCTCTGAAAGATACAAGTTGGCAGTAGGATATTCACTTCCAGATATTAAATTGGTAGCTAAGTTGAAAACCTCTAAAAGTTTACAAACTTTCTCGACTTTCTCCCAATCTTCATTTGAAGGTGCAAATGTATAATGAGGTTCTCTTTCTTGGTATTCTGAGAAGACAATCTTGAATTTTAAAGCAGCGGCTAACATGTGATATGTAGAATTCCACCTTGTTGGACAATCAATTATCAACTTCCTTTCTTTTAGATGCTTTTTTTCAACTACTTCACCAAAACTCTTCAATCTTGAATCATTGAAGTTTACATACTTCACACTTTCACGAACATTATGGATGATATCTTTGATTCGACTAAGCCCATCTTGCACCAAAAGATTCAATATGTGTGCACAACATCTAACATGAAATAGAGCTCCATCGAGGACAAGCTTGGTGCTGCGTGATATGTATTCTTTTAGATACCTCAAGCACGAGTCATTATATGAAGCATTGTCAACTGATACTGAGAACACTTTATCTTCGATCCCCCAAGCCTTCAAACATTTGAAAATGGCATTGGCTACATCAATTCCTCGCCTTGGAGCAGGCACCTTGACAAAGCTTAAAATCCTTTTCTGAAGCTTCCACCCATAATCTATAAAATGACCAGTGATTACCATATATTCAATCACTTGATGACTGGATTTCCACATATCTGTTGTCAAGCTAATCTTGCTCACACTCTTTAATAATTCCTTCAATGCTTTTCTTTCTGCTTCATATATTGCTATGCAATCACTTCGTATCGTCTTACGAGAAACTTTCTGAAATTCAGGGTTCGCATACTGAAATGACCATATAAAAGCATCGTCTTCTACAATGCTAAAAGGATACTCATGTACCATAATAGAAGTGGCAATGACTTCCCTCATCTTTTCATTAGAAAATCTAAACCCCGGACTTATAAACGGATTACTTGAATTGGATGGCTTAAAAGGAATGACACATTGTTTCTTTTGTGAAGCCATTTGTACTGACCTCTGCAAACACCCTTCTGAATGTCTCTTTAGATGGCTTGTGCTCGCACCTCTTCCCCCAGTAGCAAATGCATTTTTACAGTATTTGCAAATAGCTTTCTTAACACCTTCAGCAACTTGAATTTCATCAAAGTCATTCCACACAATTGAAGTTTTTTTCTTTTTTTTCCTATTGGCACCTTCATTTGCTTGATTTGAATTCCTTTCGTCTTCATTTCTGTTATCATCCACAGGTTGGCTTGAAAGGGAATCCACTGATATACTATTGTGTGTATTAGATGGAAGATCAAAAATATTTGTTTCATCCATCGAAGCCATATCCTGCTTCAAAATAAATAAAAAAATTTATTTAATTAATGATATACATTATAAACGAAAATATCAGAAACTGTTCATTCTTGTAAATATATATCTTATATTTTTCTACAAAAATATAAAATTTTCATTTTAATCTAAATAATATAAAACACAAAAATAAAAATAACAAAACTATTTTAGAAAAATGACGTTATAAAAAAACAAAAAAAACGTCATAAAAAAATATATAAGATAAATAAAATATAACAAAAAAACAAAAAATATATATATTGAAATTCATATCTAAATAAAAATAACGAAAAAAAACATATAAAAACGATATTTACCTTATTTTTCCAAATTCCACCGGTAGCAATAAAAAAGAAGAGGCGATGAAGACAGAAGAAGGAAAAAGAAAAGTAGTGGGTCTCTGTGAAGAAGATTGCAAAACCCTGGACGGCGTGGAGGTCTGGCAACAGTTGCAGGCTTGCAGCGGTGGAAAAGGAATATGGACAGTTGTTGTTCAGTTTACAGCGGGATAATATTTGAATTATGATAAAAGAAACAAAAAAAGGAACATGTGTGCAGTAGTTGTTCATATTTGAAATTTTTTATTGGGATAAAAATTATTTTTATTTTTGTTTTTTTTTAATAAATTTATAATTAAAATTTTTTTTTTATATATCATTATTATATATAAAACTATTCTTATTTTATAATAATAAAAAATAATTTTATATAATAATAATATTATTATTAAACAGGCCGGCCTGTTTAGTAAATAGGCTTTTTCATAAGCCTAAGCCTATTCTGTATATATAAACAGGCTTTAACAAAAATCTGAACCTGGCCTTTCTAATAAATAGAACAGGCCAGGCCAGGCTTGATGTAGGCCAGGTCATAGGCCCCTGACAGGCCGCCTGGCCTATTTCCACCCCTACACATAACCTTAAGTATTTGAATATTTATTGTAAATATATATATTTAGTTGTGTTCTTTATGAGTGTAAGATATTTAAATTTTTTTATTATTAGTTATTGAAAATTATAAAATATTTAATTTATTTTTTCAATAAACTTATAACTTTTAGTAGATTTATTCTAATATATTTATTTTAAATAAAATGTTTATGTGATAAATGATATATATAAATAAATTGAAGTAACCTATGGCTATTACTTCAAAGTAACTAGTTATTCTGAAATAATGTTAGAAAAATATGTGTTCTCGATACATTTATATTTGGCTCAACTACAATGCCGTCGTCATGTTTTGTAGAAAAAAAAAAGTTATTTTTATTGATAAGTGTATAAAGCTAGTAATATTATTTGAATTTGAAATCACATCTAACTTACTGCAAAAATCAATTTTGTAAATAATTTCCAAATTTCTACGCTTCAAATGTAAATTATCACCAAAAGAATATGGACACCAAATATCTTTCGGAACTGACATAGTATAAATCGTAGAAATTACATAAACTAAATTTGTAGAGATCACATTCGAATCTTCGCATTTTCCGGATCTGCAAAAGTCATTGTCTTCTCCATGTTGGAAAAATATCAACGAAAAGAATTCGATGCGAGAGAATCTCAAACAACCTTACATACCACAATTTTATCAATCTAGATGAAGCAAAAGCTGTGAGTCTCGACGGAAGAGGCAGTGATTGAGGCAACGGAGACACGGAGAAACTTGTTCCGGCATAGTACACGTATTCATTGATCTGCGGCATTGGCTTGGATCCTCTTTTATCTAAAACCAACCGACTTATTGTGAAGAGATTTACTTTAGAGTTTTCGCCATGGATCTTAGCTGTTAACGAATCCAATGATTTACCTCTCTTCGACTCGGGAGCTGTTCCGTAGACTTTCCGCCGATAAATATCTTTCTTAGCTCCACCGTCGATTTCCTTCTTCTCCGGCTTAGCTGGCGTTTTCCTGCAGCATGGCTTCCAAGTCGCCGGAAAATTCCTCTTCGAAGTCTGAAAAATCTTCAATCTCTCATTCGATACATCCGCAGAATGCAAAACCTTCGATCCCATCTTTCACTCCGACAAAGAAAACTCCTAATCGCACTACTCTTTCACCTCACTAATGTTTCTAAGTAATCGACTTCTGCATTCGCTTGAAAGCATTAAATAAATAGGAAAAATTCATGGGCCGGGCCGGGCCGGGCCGGATTATACTTGTCTTAAAATAGTAATCTCATTATCTAAGTAATTATGTTACCGTAAAATAAGCCGGTCTCGACTACGACTCGTGTTCCCGTTTCAGGTAAACGACTGCATCGATGTTTTCTGTCTTCGAGAAATAGTTCGTAAATACGACAAAATTTTAAGTCGATTGGACGAATCTTTCAGGGTTCCTATTGCAAGACTTGCTGCAGCTCAAGTTGCTGTCTGAGAAGTAACAATGGCTACTTTGAGCCCCTTCTGTATGTCTGTATATAACCACCTCAGTATTCGAAAATAAAAAAAAGATCGAAATCATCATCTCGTGTGAAGAAGGCGACGACTATCTTATGTATTTAATTATCATGTGTATTAACGAGATCGATTGAAGAAATCTTCGATTTGCCGGGTTCGAAACTGAACCCGGCAACCGATTGTTCGCTTATATACACCACTTATATCAGTTTTAGTACACACAATTTACACACCCTTATGCTATATAGTCCAATTTGATTGGTCGGAGGGTGCCGGATGCCGCGTCGGGTGTTGGGAAACAGGACGAACACGAACCCGGAAACAATGACCGGCGGCATGGCCATCAAGAGGGCCTTCTGCTTCAACTTGAAGTCCGAGTAGAAGCAATCAACTACGTCGGGATGCAAAAGCGCTACGACGGCGAATACGGAGAGTGCCAAGATTGCGTGCGCGATGTCACCGAAACGGAGCCTACGCGACGACAGGTCTTTCGAATCCGAGCCGGGCCAGAGACCCTTTGTCGTAACGATGCCAATATCCCCCTGGCTGTTGACGTAGCTATCGGTGAACAACGAGACGAAGCACGATAGGCCGCAGGCGACGGCGAGGAGTTCCGACAAGTATTTGTGGACGACGTGGCATTCCCCGTTGCTGGTTAGGACGGGGAGGAGGTATTGGAAGAGGAAAACGGTGCCGCCGGAGGAGATGGACGAGGTCGCCGGAATTGCGATATTGTTTTAGGCCTTTTGGATCGGGTCTATGACGATGATCAGTGACGTGACGTGACGTGACGGAACTAGCCCCTAAGTTGAGTTTTGAGGGCAATATATAAATTTATTTATTTTTTTTTTTCTTCAATTTGGTGCAACAACTAGCCCCTAAGTTGAGTTTTGAGGGCAATATATAAATTTATTTATTTATTTTTTTCTTCTCTTTGGTGCAACTAGTCAATGTTAGGATAAATTATTTTTTAGTTTTGTAATTGGACACATTTGTTATTTTAGTTTTGTAAGTAGAGTACGTCGCAAACTAGACACGTGAATATATATTTTTTTTCATTTTTAATTTTTTTTATAATTTATATTATATTTATTTTAAATTTTATTTGTCTTTTTTAATTTTTTTTTATTTGATCCAATTGAAAAAAATTAAAATTAATTAAAAAAATAATAAAATTCACGTGTCCGCCAGGTGTCGCTGGCCTGGCGGACACGTAGCTTCTAGCGAGCCACGCAGACGTCTCCGACGCCGGAAGACTAAAACAACGAAAAATTTTCACTTAATTCCACTTACGAAACTAAAATTATATGGAAGTCCAATTATTGGACTAAAAAATAGTTTACCCTAAATTTTATTATTTTTTACTAACAATTTTGAGGGATGGGGTCAACTGTCTCCTAATCCCCATGTGGTTTCGTCCCTGATGGCGACAACGGCGTTGTAAAATTTGATGATATATATATTTTTTTCATTTTGGATTCCGGATGCAACTTTTTGGTAAGAAGGCGGGACTTATATTTGTAGTCGTGTTTTTAAATTTGTTGTGAACAATCGATATATTCGATATTTTTCGGTAGAATTGAAGTTTAACGGAATTAGAAAAATGATCATTAGTGAGTTAAACACAACTTTTTGTTTAAATAGCTATTGTCGTTGTAATGAAGCTCTCTATTGTTACAAATCGTAAATTGATTTAAGAAGGTTTGCAATTAGAAGAGACAACAAGAAATTGGAATTTCCAAATAAAGAATATTACAGTTTATTTATTTTTTTCCTAAAGTCATTGTAATGAGTTACTTTCTTCACATTTCTTTCAGAATTTGGCTAAATTTATTAGACATGTTCTTTGAAAACTTGTGTCGAATTAATTCACTGCATTTGCATGTAAATTTGCACGTAACCTTACGTATTTGAATATTTATTGTAAATATATATATATATATATGTAATTATTTATTTTTATTAAATATATGTATTTGTTAAGTACTCTTCCGTCTTACTTACAGTGTCATATTTTCATTTATGTTTGTTCAACTTATTTTGATACTTTCATTTTTTTTAAAAAAAATAAATTATACACTTTAATTTTATTTTAATATTTTTAATTTATATATATATTTTAAATTTTAATCAGACTAATAAGTTGTTATTTTAATTTATAATTATTTTTACTAATATATTTTTAATTATTTATTAATTATATTTTTCTTAAATTCTTATCTTTACGGTAAAGCGAACACCATAGTCGGAACAGATGAACTAATATTTTAGAAAATGGTAGTATCTTTTACTTGAAGAAACACAGCTCTCTTGCTAAAAAAACAATAACAAAAAGAATCCGACTATTTTAATTATATATATTTTATTAAAATAGTAAAAGTCCTTAATGCGTATTTGTTGGAAGTTTGTATTAAAATGATTGTTTGATGGTGATATAAACAAATATTGGTGTAATATTCATAATATAAAATGATTTTATAATATTTCCAGTGCCCTTTAATTATGAATCCATTTATTTTTTTGATACGTAGAATTTTAAATATTTATATATAAGTACAAATTAAGAGAAAAAATAACAACGGAAAGAATTCGATGCAAGAATCTCAAACAAATACTATAATTTTATCAATCCAGACTAAGCAAAAGCTGTGAGTCTCGACGGTAGAGGGAGTGATTCAGGCAACGGCGACATGGAGAAACTTGTTCCGGCGTAGCATGCGTATTCATTGATCTGCGAAGCTGGCTTGGATCCTCTTTTCCCTAAAACCGACCGACTTATGGTGAAGAGATTTACTTTAGAGTTTTCGCCATGGATCTTAGCTGTTACCGAATGCAACGATTTATCTCTCTTTGATTCAGGAGCTGTTCCGTAGACTTTCCGCCGGTAAATATCTTTCTTAGCTCCACCGTCGATTTCCTTCTTCTCCAGCTTAGCTGTCGTTTTCCTGCAGCATGGCTTCCAAGTCGCCGGAAAATTCCTCTTCGAAGTCTGAAAAATCTTCAATCTCTCATTCGGTACATCCGCAGAATGCAAAACCTTCGTTCCCATCTTTCACTCCGACAAAGAAAACTCCTAATCGCACTACTCTTTCACCTAACTTATGTTTCTAATTAATCGACTTCTGCATGCGCTTCAAAGGATTGAATAAATAGAAAAAATTCATGCGCCGGGCCGGGCCGGGCCAGATTCTACTTGTCTTGAAATAGTAATCATAAAATTATTTATTTAATATAACTACTTTGTATATTTAGATTAAAATATATCCGTACGCACAAAAAAGCACAAATAAAAAGCCAAACAAAATTAACTTCATTAACCAATTCTCAAGCTTTATCTATCGTAATTTAAAATTATTATTTGTTCTCTATCTTATTGCATATATTATTAACTATTATGATTCTTTTGATGTTATTTTTAATTAATATATATGTTGATTTATTCCGAATATATTCAATTATTAAAAATTTATATAGATTAATATTTAAAAGTTAAAATATAATATTATATAAAATTATTATTAGATAATAAAAATATGCATAGATAAATATTTTTTTATATATTGTTTTTATTTATTACATAATAAAAATATATAAAATTAAATAAATTTTTGTGTATTTATAAAATAGGAAAGATAATTGGTTGAAGGTGATTTATTATAGCTAGTGATAAATGAAATGATTTGAATATTAAAATACATACGAGGTGAATAAGAAAAATAGAAGAGATAATAATGTAAAGGTAATAACTATAATAAGAGATCAGCTAAGTTCTCCTCCTCTCCTCAAGTTTTCTCCTCTTCTTTCCTTTCAATTTTTGCAATGCGCAGTATCTTTTCAATTGAGCTCCAAAATCGTACTTTTCAAATTTTTCCAGGTCTCCCGCCGGACTTATTCAGACATGATAAGAAAGATCATTCTCGGACATTGCCAGTCGGACATTGCCAGCAGCCGCCGTTTATAATAAACCAGCCCGGCATTCGCCACTCCTGTCCCTTGGCTATAATCAACCAATCGGAACAATCCTCGGGGTATAACAGCAGAAGCCGGGCTATGCCAGAATGCCCATGGAGTTCTCCAATGGCTTTCAGCAAAATCGGCCGGCTCAGCACCAAACGCGACGTAGTGGGTCATGCCATCGCCGTCGAATTATATGAAAAGGAAGCTAAAAGTACCCAGGCATAAAATAAATGAAATTTTCCCCAAATTTATGAATTAGATCTTTCCGAGACTTGACTCTTCTTTGGAGTTGTACCAAAAGTTCAAGGAAGATCCGACCGTCTTCACATACTAAGAACTACAAGATCACCCTCTTATACCCACGTCCTAATCAGTAATGAACCAGCCCTAAAATTTAGGGGGAGCAAAATATCAATTCATTTATATATATATATTCATATAATATTGTCTTTTTCTATTAATTCCAATGCGAATAAACAAGAAGAAAGTGAAAAAAATAGCTAAAAATTAAATTTTTAGAAAAATATTTAAGAAAATTTAATAAAATTCAATAATTTATACTATAAAAATTAAAATTTAAAAATATAAATAAAAAAAACTACAAAAAATTTATTATTTTCTAAACTATAACATTAAAAAAAATTGGAAAATAGGGGGAAGGGGGCAAAATAATTAAAAAAAAATACATAATTTTATCATTTCTTACACTAAAAAAATTCTATATTTTAGGAGTTGGGGTCAAACCCCCTTAGCCCCTATGCTCCGTCTTTGGTCCTAATTGTCCTCTTCGTTCGAACCTCGCCCTTATAAGTAAAATTAGAAAGCGAAGTTTGCTGAAGTAGTGTATTTGTACTATTTCATGTAGCCACACGGGGGACATGGGAACGTAACAAAAGGGATCCATATAAGAAATTTCTACCTCTCTATTGATCTCTCTTTCTTTATCATCAATCGAGATTACGAGATCACAGTTCGTGACGATCCTGAACCAATATTTCATTGCGGCACCATCGCGGCGGTTGCATCTGGTCGTTTGTTGTGACGGAAAGGAGTGCAAAAATTGAAGGAGAGTGTATTGCATATTAAAAAATTAAAGGAAAGAATCGTCCAAGTCAAATGTCACATTATCTTCGTTAAATCCATATTAGCATTGTTCATTAGATTGTAACGACAGGATTAAAATCAATTAAAATTGTTTATATTAAAACTAAAATTAATAATTTTTTTTATATTAAAACTAAAATTGATTAATTATGACCAAAACTGATTTTTTTTTTCAAAAATATATATTCCTATTGTCTCCCCTCAAAAAAATCTTTGAAATTTATAGTAAATTAAAAATTAATTGTAAAATTTTATAATAGATTAAAAAATAATTATATTTTATTAATTAATATAAATGTATATAAGGAATTTTGCATTTTTTTATTAAATAAAAAATACTTTAATCATTCAAATTTATTGTATTTTTTTTTTTGGTTGTCACTGTGAAATTTACTCTAGGTTTTTTTAAATAAAAAAATATCATTTCTTTTTTTTTTTTTTTTTTATCTAAAAAAAATAAATTTTATATTTAATTTATTTTCTTAAAACCTTTTTAAAAATAGCATAACCCTAATAATAAAATTTGAACAAACGAAAACACCGCAGTTTTAATTTAAATTTTTTTTCTAGCCTCGCCTCGGCAGCTGGAACTTGGACCAGACCGGAACAATTGCAGCAAGCAAATCAAAACAAAATAAACCGCATAAACAAGGCAAATCTAAAATCAAAGATTGTACGGGTTTTAGATAAGGGATTCTGAAGGGTTTTGAAAATTTAAAAGTTAGGAAAATATAAAAAGTTAAAAAGCAAAAATCAATAAACTCATTTTATATTTTTGGTCCCATTCAAAAATAATTTTGATCCCATCATTGAAATTAATATATTGACGTGATGACGGTAACAAAAAGCTGATGTGGCATTCGATTTGGATCGAATACGGCCGTGTGCCCAGAAACACGCCCATGTTATAAAATACAAAATCCAACATATATAAACACGGTCGTGTTGTTTGAGACACACGCCCGTGTTTATTATCAATGCAATTGAATCAAAACTCCTCTGTACTGTGTGGATTTTTTTCTGTGTCACAGAATTGATGATGATATCTGTATGTGTTCACCCAATCTATAGGATTTACCAGCAATTTTGTACTAATTCAAAATTATATATACAAATCTATACATATACATACACGATTGATTGACCTGAAGGGCTTGAACGCTGCAGTAAGCGAAAAAGTATTTAAGAAATTTGAAGATTTTTTAAACTTCTGTGAGAGAGGTTTCTTTGGAAGAAGAGTGATTCCGAAGATGCCGGTGATGAAGTACAAAACAGCAGCGAGGCGATGACACTCCAATTGAAGGTGGAAAGAGTGAATAAAAAAAGTGTATGCATCGCGACGGCGACGGCAATCGTTGCCGCGTCGAGGGAATTCCACTTGCGGCTGCGGCGGAAGACATCCCGTCGCTGATTTACTGTGACATTAGATAGCGGATTCCGGTCTCCGGAGTTTGAACCCTTTCCGTCTGCTTCCGCAATCGACGGCGGCGTGTGATGAATTGGTGATTGCAATTTTTTTCAAGTAGAGGATTCCGCTTGATTTTGCAGTGGATGCTTGGTGAATTGAAAGCCTACGATTTTGCGTGATTGATTTTGTTCGGGGATTTCGGTTTTGAATTTAGGAAATACTTTGAGATCGCTGGCGGTAGCACCAAGAACATAGCCATTTCTGAATTTTTAGAATGGTGCTCGAATTGTTGTGGCATGGAAGGTGAACACACGAGCTTATTTCTGGGCTCACGCCCATGTTTCGATTCAAATCAGCTTTTATTACCGCTACATCAGCAAATTATAGAATCAAAATTAATAATTTATTTTTTTATAAGAGACATATTTTAATAATTAATTTTGAAAGAAACCAAAAATATAAAAAATAAGTTTAATTAAGACTATTATTGATTTTTGCTAAAAAAAAATAAAATAAAATATTTGATTTGATATTTTATTAAAAAAATTATATTTGATGGGATATTTTTTAAAAAATAAATATTGCTAGTTGTTTAAATAGAGTTCGCAACTTCCACACTCCAAATTATGTGTATTGGTTGGTCATTCACTCAACCAAACTCATCAAAATCGAATAATTTCATCACACTACCACCGTCAAATTGAACAAAAAAACACAAACAAGGCTTTATTAACATTAAAAACAAAAAACATAACTGTTACTACTATGATTCTTGCTAAAAGGATTTAATCTTTAGACTAAACACAAAATACTGAATGAAAACCATAAAAGAAATTTATCCCAAATTAACCCAAACCCTAATCCCCAATTTTCTACACCTCTAATGTAAATTACCACCAAACAATGCCCAACTTACCTATACATGAAATAGGTTACATAACTGACACAGTAAAACCCTAGAAATTACAGTTTGGAGCTATCACCTTCGACTCAGCTCTTGAACTTCTGGATCTGCAAAAATCGCCTTCTGTCTTGGAAAAAATATCGACGGAAGGAAATCGAGAAGATAGAGAATCTCAAGAGCCCCAAATCGACTTCACATACTATAATTGGATGATCAATCTAGACGAAGCAAGCGCCGTAAGTCTCTGGTTGCTGAATCGTCGACCGATCTGATTTTTTTGTTGCAGAACGACGGCACAGGCAGTGATTGAGGCGCCGGCGACACGGTAAAACCAGATCCGGCGTATTCATCGATTTTCTGTGGCGTAGAAATACAGATCTGACTCGCCGGCAACACGGTAAAACTAGATCCAGCGTATTCATCGATTTTCTGCGGCGGAGAAACACAGATCTGACTCGCAAGCGCTGGTTTGGATCCTTTTTTCTCGAAAACCGTCGATTCGTCAACCGATTTAGAGTTAGAAGACTTTACTTTAGAGTTTCTGCTGTTGAGCTTAGCTGTCAAGGTATCCAACGATTCACCTCTTTTCAAAATAATCACCGGCGCCGGAGCTGTACCGTCGACTTTCCGGCGGTGAACATCTTTCTTCTCTTCAACGCTGTTGATTTTTTTCTTCTCCGGCCTGGCAGACGTTTTCCGGTGACTCGAGTTGCCGCCTAGCTTTCGAGTCATGGTTACAGCCGCTGAAAAATTTCTTCTCGACGCCTGAGGAACTTTCAATCTCTCGTTCAACACATCTACAGGATGCAAAACCTCCGTTCCCATCTCTCGACTGCAACAAAATCACAGAAACACAGCCAAGCTGCTCAAAATCTCCCAATCCTTTGTTTCTTCTAATCTGAATTTTCGTTTATTTGCGAATCAAGCTTTGTTATATAAAGAGAAATAAGCTTCACGAAAAGGATGCTTCTGACCGACTTTCTGCTTTACGCGTTGCAGTTAAATAAATAGAAAAAAACCCTAATGGGCCGTGACGGGTCGGCTTGAATTCAGTCAAACTTTATGAATCTATTTTTTGGATTTGGTTAAAAAATACTTGATTTTGATTTGACGTTAAAATAATATTTTATTAAATATCTTATTAACAAAATATGGTAAAAGAAATATGTTATTATTATATAGAAGATAATTTATTTATTTAATAACAATTTTTTACTTTTTTTTCTGCCGACAATTTTTTATTTTAAGTAAATTTACTAAACTAAATATACTTATCTAATATAATGTAATTTAAACTAACCAATATTTTTTTTATTTTAAGTAAATTTATTAAATTAAATATACTTAACAAATATAAATACAATTTAATTAATTATGTAACATATGATATTTTTTCTTCTTTATAAAAATAATATTTAATTATTTAATAATAATGAATTGTGATATTATTTTATTTTTATACTTCTTCTGTTTCGGTGCAAGGTTGTCATTTACTTTTTGCACATAAATTTTTTAATATTAGTATTATAATGAGTTGTAGTAAAAAAACCAAAAATGCCCCTATTAGTAATGTGTAATATAAAAGTACTGGTATTTGTGGAATATAGTGTAAATTGGAATGATATTTATTATGTTATGTAGATAATACAATTACTAAATTAAGAAATAGTAATCTTATTTTATTTGGGGACGGATAAAAATAAAAAATGACATCATTTTAATGGGACGAGAATATATAATTAATAATATTGATAATTTTTAAAAAAAAATTAATATATATGGTCATAAAATTAGAATATGTATTAATTATTTTAAAAAATATATCGCAATAAAAATATATATCGTGTGAATATTATTTGTAAAGAATAATTTTCTATAATACAAGTAAATAAAAAATATTTTTATTTATTTATAATTACTATAAACTAATTTTATAAAAACGACAAACTTTAAATGTAAATAAAAATATTTATTTTTTTAGGAGAGTTATAAATAAAGGAGTTTGGAGTCGTGATGTATAATATTATATGTTATGTAGTTAATTAAGCTATGTTTATATTTATTAAGTATATTTTAATTTAACAAATTTTATCCAAAATAAATATGTCCATTGTTATGGTACAAATAAAAATAGAATATAAGGGAGTATCAGCGGACTATTCAAAACTCATTTGTTTCTATAAAATTAGTTTATATTAATTATAATTAAATAAACTTATTTTGCTTTCTTCTTCTATTATAGAAAGCTATTCTTTACAAAATAATATATTCATTATTGCGATACAATTTTAAAAATATTTAAATTTATATTATAATTTTTTTAATTATATATATTAAATTTTTAAAATTATCAATAATCTTGTTATATATAAAATATAAAAATAATATTATAATTTAATATTACTAACTAATTTATTTTAAAATTATTAATTTGTTTTCTATATTATGCAGTTTTATTATCATTTAAATATAAATAAATATTTAGAATATAATTAATAGACTTTTTTATTATATAAGAGTATCGATAAAGAATTAATTGAAAAATAAATTATACTTTTTTTTATAAAATATTATATTAAATAAAATTTATTTGTATTGCTATGATGTACTTCCTCTAGTAATTTGTGTATTATGATTTACTTCCTCTAGTAATTTGTGTATTCGATCTGTTTCATATAAATTTTTTAAAAAAATATAATTATATATTTTAATTAAAATTTAAATTTTATGATTTATTTTTTATTTTAATTAAATTTTTTAATCTATTTACTTTTAATTTATAATCATTTTTATTATATTATTAAAAAAAAAAAACCTTACCATTAAGAATATCCTTGCTTTCTAAAAAAAAAATAATCCTTATAAAACGTAACTTTATTTTCTTTTCGGTGGAAACCATAGCCGCCTTTATTGATTAGAAATAAACGGACGGCGTTTCGTGTCTCGTCGAGTTCGCTGCTTTTGTTGTTAACAGCGTTAGAAAGGACTAACGGCGGACGGTCAAGTTTGAGGGGAGTAGGTGGGCCCATAAAATGGGCAATTTTAATTTATTATTAATTTTTTTATTTTGACGAACGGATTTTAATAAAAATAAATAATAATTATTATTTTTTATTTTATATAAAAAATATAAAAATATAATAATTTCTTTACTAAGAAAAAAATATTTTATCGAAAATAAATATAAAAATTAAATGACAATATTATTATTAAATAAACTAAATATTCTGTACGTGAGTTGGATGGCCAAATGCTTGTCGGTCGATCTTCCAATAGTATCGCCCCACGTGTCTCCAACGTGGACACGCGTCAACGATATTGTAAGTATCATAATTATACTATATTATATCGTTTCCTTTTATTATATAATATATATATATTTATTTATTATGATGAAGATATAACTTATGGTAGTCAAAGCGAGTGGGCGAACAAACCCAATTTATTGTAACGCGATTATTATTACTTATTATTAATTTAATACAATAATAACGAAAATAAAATTAATTTTGGCTTAATTTAACATTTATTAATTCAATGTACAGTTATACACAATTATGTTGACACACAATCATTTATAATTCCGTATACAATTATACACAGTCAGGTTTAATTATACGGTCGTGTATATTTCTGTTTTGATCTATAATTTTAGTTTTTAAATTTAATATAGTTGATATTGTTGAAATAAAAAAAAATCAATAATAATTTTAATATAATTAAAATGTATCAATTTCAATTCAAATACTATAAAAATTTATTGAGCATGTTATTTTTGGAAAATTTTGCCTAAAATTTTACTATTTACCAAAATTTATTTTTTCACAAAATTTCAGTTACACAACTATTTTTTTTATATCATATTAAAAATTAATTTTACATTTCAATACAATTATACATGTCTATGTTAAAATTATACGTGTTGTTTACAGGTCAATTTACCACGTTAACTTGCTACATCTATGTCAGCAATTTTCATTAATTTTTTAATGACGAAACCAAAATTAATTGAAATTTTTTTATAATAAAACTAAAATTGATAAAAAAAATTTTATATTGACACCAATACTCCCTATGTCCCCCATATCTGTATATTTATTTACTTTTTGTACAGAATTTTAAGAATATTAGTATTATATTGGAATATTGTATAAATAAAGGTAAAAAAAGACTAAATTGTCCTTATTAGTATTGTATAATATAAAGGTAATAATATTTGTGTAATATATTGTAAATTAGAAGGGTATTTGTAATGTTAAGTAGATAGTACAGTTACTAAAAAAAAAATTAACACTTTTATTATAGAACGGATGAAAATAAAAAAATAAATAGATTGTCAAGGAGGAAGTAAATTTTAATTATATTTGAAACAAAAATAATTTTTTTTCTAAAATATTTATCTCAATTTAAAATATTACTATTATTTAAAAAATATTTAATTTTCATATCCCTATATAAGCAATGGCAGCCCATCATTCTCGGTCCTATATCTTCACAAATAAACAAAATCAAACCAACCATTCATTTTCTTCAATCTTATACCTTCGACAAACAATTGCTTTACGATTTTGGATGACGTGGAAATCCGCAATCGCTATCCGAAAGTGTACACTGAGTAAACTCTCGGCCAAATTTAATACCCTGCAAATCAGGTCTGACGAAAAAATCACAACTATATATATGGAATGAATAGTAGATTAAAAATTCAATCCACAAACAAACACACCCTAAATAACTGTTACTGGTTGGAAAACGTTCCCGCGGAAAGTATATATATACCAAAATTACAAAATTAATTATCAAATTAGTTCAAAGCAGCGAGAGGATATTATGTTAGCCAAGGAGGCGGCGAGCTTCGGCCTCTCCGACGAGCTGCTCGAGGTTTTGCCGGCGGATCCATTCGCGCAGCTCGATGTGGCTCGGAAGATCACTTCTATTGCTCTCTCTACACGCGTCGACGCTCTCGAGTCGGAGCTGTCGCTGTTCCACGACCAGCTCGCCGACAGAGACCACATCATTTCTGGATTGGAGTCGCAGCTCGAGTCGCTCGATGTTTCGCTCAATGAAGCGTCCGATAGGCTCGCCATTGAAGAGCAGGAGAAGGTATGATATTCGGAAGAAATTTTTGAGATTTTTTAGATATTAAAAGTTAAATTTGTTTATATATATATATATTAGTTTAAATTGAACTTGGTTGGTTTATATTACAATTTAGTTATATCCATCAAATTAGAAGCTGAATTGAGTCTGTTTATAGGTCCCAATTTCTCCCAATAGGTTCAACCTGGAATGTGTTTTCCGATTTTCAGATTCTGTTTGCTTCCTCTTGTGTTTGACTTAGTTTTCGGTGAGTTTGATTTTGATTACGTTCATGGCCGCTGTTTGTTCCGACTCTATTCGTCACCTGTTACTAATTTCCGACTGACTTAAGTGGATGATTTTGGCTATGATATCTTCAATTTTTCATTTCAATATTAAGTTGGTTTTACGACAATACAAGCGTATGGGATGACTTGATATTTTAGATATTTAGATTTAAATTTGATTACATATACTATTAGTTGAAATTATAATTAGTTTATATAAATCAGATTGTTGTAGTGAAATGCTCTTAATTCGTTGTCAAACATATAATTTTGAATTTTTCTACAAATTAACAGATCTATTCAATGTTTGTAATAGTGTAAACTTTTTGCGATTTGAATGGTAGGAAAACTTGGTGAGGGAGAATTCGCAGCTGAAGAATACAGTGGAGAAGCTGAATCGCGATGTTGCTAAGGTATTTTCATCCTTACTGTTACTACGGCATCCGCGCCTCAGATTTAATACTTAATCAGATTTATAAATTGCAAAACAGAGTAGAATTTCACGGAATTTAGGTTTTAAATCTGCAGTTGGAAGCCTTCAGGAAGACACTCATGCGATCGCTCGAAGATGATGAAGATAGCGTTGTAACTGAACGATTCAATTAGGTCTTACTACATTCTGATGATTTTGTTTTATTACCTTGCCATTTAACCATTTCCATCCCAATTTCTTGTTACTTCATAGGCAAAGGCAAATGCAAATTCTCCATACAAGGCTGCTGCTCAACACCTGCAAAGTAAGAACAGTAGTTTGTGTTATGGACTTTTCCTCCCCAATCCTCTAATTATCAATATAATTTCGTCCTTGGGAGCAAATCAGCAGCGGCACATGAAATATAGAAATAACACAAGTTTTTATTTAACACATCGTATAACTGTGTTGAATAAAAGCATGTGGTTGTGATGTATGAATTAATGTCAATTATAGATTGTGTTGTATTTGACTATGATATATATTGTCCGTCAGTTCATCTGTTGCATTTCAACACATGAAGTGCATTCATACAACACAACTGCGTGCTTTTATTCAGCACTTTATGTGTTATTATGCCCGTCTCTTTACCATGTGCTGTCGGAATTGTGACTATGTCATGTGTTGGTTTGTGTTAAATAAAAGGATTTAGTTGTTTTGTATGAATGAAGTTTATGTATCGAAATCAATTATAAATTGTATTGCTTTTAGCTACGACATGTGTTGTCCGTTTATGTGTTGCATTTCAGCACATAAAGTACATTCATACAACACAGCTACGTACTTTTATTTAACATGTATGTTGTCTCTCTTTACTATGTGCATATGTATTATGTGTTATTTGTTCCTATATTATGTATTGTGAATGACTATGTCATGTGCTATTAGTTCATATTATATTAACATAAAACGAACAATACATGTAATAGTCAAAGACATTACACTCTACAGTTGATTTCTTACAGCAGAGCTACACGCTTTTATTTAACGGTTTATATGCTATTATATTCATTGCATTGAAATTTTAAAATCAGCACGCCTTAATCCTTTCATGTCTCTACCGCACCAGATTATACAATAGATGAATAATTCCATAAATTTTATGCTATTCAAATTCTTTCAGACGATGATGTTGCTATTTCAACTAATCTCAATCCTTCGATGCAAAACCATGTTTCGGATGCTGGAGAAGCCCCGAGAGAAGGTGTGCCTTGTAAATCTCTTGTTTTTTTGGTAAAGAATCATCAAAAACGCCCCAAGTTAGCTGCCTTCTGACTGTATTTTTGTGTCCTGAAACAGCGAGGCCTCCGCAAGTATCTCACGGGCTTTTGATGGCATATCAAACTCTCACCCCGCAGGCTTCGCCTCCTCGTACACCTTCAAGCTTGTCCACATCTGTGTCGCCCTCTATGACACCCCGACCGTTGTCTCCTAGGAGACACTCAATTTCAATCTCGGCTGCAAGAAGCTTTCCCGACAACAAGTCATCGCTGTATTCCTCCATGCCTTCAATGGCAGGTTCAGAGTCGGGATTGCAGCCAGGTTAGATGTCGACAATTAATCTTCCTTAATAGACTAAGTGTTACAGAAATATCATAAGATCCGAAAAGAAACAATATGAAACTTAAGAGAATTTGATTACCCAATTCGATATAAACTGATCTAGTCTGGGCTGCTAAGCCAAGAATTTACTATAGTATATAATCAATGGATTACGTCAATTTTATATATGTTGTACTTTCTAGTGCTTTTTGATCGTAATCTCTTGATTCATAGTATAGTAATTTCCAGTTTGGCAGCAATGAGTTGAGATCGAATTGGGTAATCAAATTCTATTGAATTTTATGTTGTTTTCTTTCGGATCTTGTGATATTTCCGTAACAAAAAAGAATTGAAATAAAGATATGAGATCCTCTAATTACACAAGTTCCCTGCTTGACAGCTAACTATCAGTCCCTCTATTATCCTACTGAAACATGTTGTATACATACGATCTTCGCGATATTGCGTATTGTAATCCATTATAATGATAATTCCATTCTTATAGCAGGGAAAACCCGTGTCGACGGCAAGGAATTCTTTCGTCAAGTCAGGTACTGATTCTAAGCTACCACGGGCAATGCTGCGTTACATTTGATCGAATTATTCATCCAAATGTTTGTTCCCTTGTTTTCTTCCTCAGAACTCGTCTATCCTACGAGCAATTCGGCGCTTTCCTAGCAAATGTGAAGGAACTTAATTCTCTCAAGCAAACAAAAGAGGTATGTACTCATCAATATATCCTCATCATCTTCTTCTTCTTCTTGTAACGTAATTCCACAGTGTAATATTGTCCGCTTTGGTCATACATTTGTGGATTTATTTTTGACTCCCAAAAGGCCTTATATAATAAGGAGTTGGATGTTATCTTATAACTAATGATATTTTTCCTTTATTTGTTGCGGACTTGAGGTTGTTCCTTTTTTTCCAGACACTTCTTGTACTCATCAACTTGTCTTTGCATTGTTTTCCGATTTTAGGAGACCCTACGGAAGGCTGACGACATATTCGGCACCGAGAACCGAGATCTTTACGCCATTTTTGAAGGCTTAATCTTGCGCAATGTCCAGTGAGAGACAAAGTATGTATGCATTATTACACATCTATAGGCTCTTCTGGTGCAGTTTAGTGTAAACTATTATCTGTATTTGGTCCTCATCAGATTGCGAAGTTTATTTGACAATCTATTAAGCTTTGTACTATGTTTCTAAGTCCATTTCATTATTATGAATTTAGTACTCCCTTGTCCTATAAATTTAGAATATTTGTGTTGGACACAAATATTTAAAAAAATAAATATTTTATTAAAAAATTAATAAAAGTAAAAAGATAATTAATGGTATTTTTAGAAATTTAATTATAAATTAAAGAAAAAAAATTAATAAAAATAGTTACATTTGTTCTATGTAAATAAATGTTAATTGAGAATAATAGTTAAATATATTCATTGACTTGCTAAAATTAGTAATGGAAATAATTTGATTTGTGAAAACAAACTAACATATTTTTTTAAAAAAATAAATAAATAAATTTATAACACGCTCGTGTTATAGTTAATATGCCCGTGTTCACTTGCCACATCAGCTTCCTTCCTTTATCCACTTAAGCCAATTCCGTCAGAGATAAAAAATGATAATTTTTATTTTTATATATATAAGACTAATTTTGGTAATTATATTTTAATAAGACCAGAAAAAAAAAAAAAAAATAGATTTGATTGTGACCAACTTTACTCTAATTTTTATCACATTTTTGTACCATTAAATCTATTAATTTTATTTTTTAAAAAAATGTAACATGTAATCTTAATTTCTACTAATTTAAAACAATATATAGAACAATAATTTTTATAATAAATAAATAAAAATAAAAAATAACACAGAGATACACGCACTCAAATTATTACTGAGCGTGACTATTCCACTAAAATTTATTAATACACAAATCAAATTACATTGGTCTGTAATTGATCCATCGTATACTATACTGTGTAATATTTTCGCATGGAATTTCATAAATAAAGAGCCGATTTTTAAGCATGGCGATGCCGATGCTGCATTTATTGTGGACGGACGATTTTCCGATGCATGCAAGCCATTGGAATACATGCACTCCCGCCGCTCCATTTCTCCTCATTCTGCTCTCTTTCTCTCTCTCCATTTTCTCATTCTGAATCGCAATTTTCATATCAGCATTGGTTCCTTAGGCATCTGATTTTTGCTGGCTTTAAGGAACCATGGAGAAGAACGACGATCACGAACCTTCCGCTGCCCCTCCCAGGTAATTTATCTCATTTTGCTTTCCTGAATTCCTGAAATTGTATCGTAGGATTAATTTTCTGCAATTAATTTCGTGGTTGGAATTTGGAATGAATTTGTGGGAATCAGCGTTCGATTGATGTAGATTTGTTTTGTCTTTTGAGTTTGCGTTGAATTTTAATTCCCAGATGTGTTTTCCTCCACCAGTTGCTCTGATTTTTGACAAATTAGGTTTTTATGAATTTGCCCTAATTTGGGGGTTTCAGGGAAAGTGAGAATGCAGACAAGGTTAATGATGAAAATCCTGAACAGTATATTATTGTTGGGCAGAGAATGCTTCCAAGCACCTCAATTTCCCTTTCTTCTGAAGGTAAAATTAAATTCTCAAAAATCTCAATTTAGATACAAGTTTTTGGAGTTTTGGAAAATATTGGGAATAATAAAAGGTTAGTATTCAATACGATGTTATGTGAAAAGAAAATAATATTTGATATGATATTTTTAAAAAAAATTACTTTAGATGAAGAGCAAGTTTAGATAGAAGTCTTCCAAGTTTTGGATATTTTGTAAAGTTTTGGAATAGTAAAAGGTTTTGCATTTTCTAAGATCTTTTGCCAGACAAAAAAGATATACTTCCTCTGTCTCAAAAGAATAGTTTTATTTGGGTTCGTCATGGAATTTATTGAAAGTTGGTATAAAGTAAAATGTAAAAGATTAAAATATTCTTGGGAGTATATTTGTGTAAAAAGTAATGATATTTGTATAGTAATAATAAAAAAGATAGAGTAGTTTTACAGTAATATGATTATTTATGGAAATAGAACTGTTGTTTTGGGACATATCTAAATGGAAAAAAATAACTATGATTTTAGAACGGATAGAGTATGATTTTTTTAAATAGAACGAGTTATAGCAAACATGGCTGCTCCTAAAATCTGCACTGTCGGATTGCTCTTTCAGATTTCAAGAATTTAGAAATAGATGTGGATACTGTTAAAAAATCTGTGCCAAGGGAAGGAGACGGCCAAGACAAGGCAGAGTCGAAAGCAGAGAACTCGTCATTGGATGCAGAAGCTAAAGCAAATGGAAAGGTTCAATGGAAAGGATTCCTTCGAAAGCTGAAAAAGGGGCCTGCAGTGCCATTTCACCCAACCTTACCTCACCTTCCTTCAATAAAGAAGCTTTCGAAAAGAATGACCGAGAAGGGTACACAGAGCTTGCCAATACTTCCTCCTAACGTGGAGGCCGAGCTGTATTATTGCTTTCAGAATTCTTGGACCAATTTCAGTCTCACAGAACTCGAAGAAGCGACCAACAACTTCAGCCACGGTACGCGATTTCCTTAATTAAACAAACTTCTTATGTTTTTCATATTGGGAGGGGTTAGGGATTAATATTAGCCTAACGAGCACATATAATATATACAGTTGGTACATACTTTAACTAACACAATGCATGTTGTTTTAGTTAAAAAGCACGTGTTCGTCTCCGCCATTATATCGATTATATTATTGATTATATAGACGTCTGCCTGTTCAAATTCGATCCATTCTTATCAAGTTAATATTTTTAAATTGGTTGCATACGTCAAAATAAATATTTTTACCATCAATTCTAATCAAAATTATAAAAATATACTCTTTCCGTCCCAACTCAAAGTATTATTATTATTATTATTATTATTATTATTATTATTATTATTATTATTATTATTATCATCATCGTATTCCTCCGTCCAGCTCAAAAATATCATTTTTCTTTTTTTTAGTAAAAGTAATCATAAACTAATACCAAAATACCCCTAACTTTTATTTAAATTACAAATATACCATTACACATATGCATAAAGTCAAAGAGCAAAAATGTTAAAATTTTATTGTGATTGTATTATATCACTGGCTTATGATATACGTATTGTCTGCACATATTAAATGTGTTGTTAATGTAAGTATTCAGCACCGTAACAACAGCTTTTTTGATATTTGACAAATGAAGATTATTAGGTATAAACTTTAAGATTATGTCTAATTTTTCGTTCATTCTTGTTATGTTCGGCTAGAAAACCTGATCGGGCAAGGTGGATATTCGGAGGTTTACAAGGGACATTTAGCAGATGGTCAATTAGTAGCTGTCAAAAAACTGATTAGGGGAACCACAGAGGAAATGACAGCGGATTACTTGTCCGAGCTCGGCATTTTAGTACACGTCAACCATCCAAACATTTCTAGCGTCATCGGCTATGGGGTCGAAGGAGGGCTGCACTTAGTTCTTCCTTTGTCCGCCAACGGGAGCTTGTCATCGTTGCTTAAAAGTTTGTCTTTCGAATGTTTTGTCCTAAATAAGTGATTCGACATTTTCCACAAGAATCATAGTTTTCTCTTGGCTTTTTTGCTGCTCAGGCAGGAAGGAGAAATTGACATGGCAGCACCGATACGATATTGCCGTAGGCATCGCCTCGGGTCTTTCGTATCTTCACGAGGGATGTCAAAGAAGAATCATTCATAGAGACATCAAAGCTGCAAATATATTACTCACCGAGGAAATTGAACCTAAGGTAAGGATCAGAGAAAATTGCAAAAATTATCTCCAGGTATACCCATTATCACTTTTATCTTGTATTTATCTCTCTGGCAAAATACATCCTACATGTTTGCAAAAGTCACTATTTCTGTCATTTGGCCGCGCGTGACGTTCACACCAGTAAACATGTGAAATATATTCTACCTGCAAGATAAATATAGGACAAAAGTGATAATGGGGGTATGCATGGGGATATTTTTTGCAATTTTTCCGGTAAGGATCAACACACTACACATACTTACAATAGCATTGATGGATTTTTATTTTGCGTAGTTTGGCGCGTAAATTTGCATTATGCGTTGCAGATTTCAGATTTCGGGCTCGCGAAATGGCTTCCCGATCAGTGGACTCACATAACAGTCTCGCAAGTTGAAGGCACATTCGGGTATGAGTTCTTGATAGTGTTCATTAATTTTTACTTGGAGTTTGTTTATGGCGAACCTTCACTTCTCACTCGGTTTGCATTCTTGGTTGCGCCAGCTATCTCCCTCCCGAGTTTTTCATGCACGGCATAGTTGATGAAAACACTGATGTGTATGCATACGGCGTGCTTTTGTTAGAGATCATTAGCGGCCGCCCAGCAATAGATGAATTGAATAATAGCGTTGTGATGTGGGTAAGTTAGCTTCTATCTCAGCGACGATCTTATGAAGATAGTTAGAGTGCTGATTAGTCCTAATCAGCACATAAAAATACAGACAGTGCATGATTTCAAAACACACGGCATGCGTCACCTGTGTTTTGAAACCATATGCTGACAGTTTATACTTTAGGGCGTGCTTTATTAACATATCTCATATATATTGTCTGAACTATTATCGTGTAATGTAAATTCACACGATGCATTTATATTATTCTCTCCATCCGGTATGTATTTATTCGTTCACTTTTTGCATTCTAATAAAAATAGATGGATGAATAGACAATTATATCCCCAAAATTTTAATATTATTTTAGATAAAATTGCTTATAACTCACTTATGGTTTAAAAAGTTTGTAACATACATTTAAAAACTGCATCTCATATTTTAAAAATGTTGCACAAAATCCTCTAAAATTCCATGAAACTCTATTGTGTTTTTTTTTTTTTTTTGCACAAAGTCCCCTAAAAAGGTGATTTTGTGCAATGTTTTTGAAAACATAAAGCAATTTTTAAATCATGAGTGAGAATTGTGCAAATTCTCCAAACTATGTGTGGGTTATAAGTATTTTTGTCATTATTTTATATGTAAGCTGATGGAATTGTTGTAATAGAACTTTAAAATATAAGGTTTCTTTTTTTTTGTTTTACAATTACTAAAAAACGGATAAATTAATTTCGGACGGATCAAAATAACAAAATGAATGGATTGCTTCCGGATGTAGGGAATATATTAATATAAACCATATCTTGTTGCTTAATATTCTATGTGCTACTTGTATACATTTGGTGTACTCTCGGCACTATGTTGAAAGTGTTGATTCAGCACTGGAACCGCAACCATATATGTATAGTTGTTATCTCAATCTTCATGTTCTGAAACTCAGAAATTTTGCAGGCCAAACCTCTATTGCTAAACAGGAACATCACAGAATTAGTTGATCCGGTACTTGACAATAACTTCGACTGGGACGAGCTGAATCGAATGGTAATTGTCGCGTCGTTATGCATTCATCACGACTCGACCGAAAGGCCTCAAATGAGCCAGGTTACACATATCCCCTGCCTCCTCATAAACCTGAAATCTATTATTAAAAATGCTGTGATCTTATCTTGGAATTATTATAGTCGAACGAATGAACAAAACTCTTTTCTCAAATACAGGCTCTGAGAATGTTGAAAGGCGACGAAAGCATAGTAACAGGCAACAAGAAATTCCAGAAAAGGCCTGCCCTGAAGAGGACACAGCCATTGGAGGCGAGTTCCGAAGAAGAAGAAGAAAGCAACTCAGCAAAGAGTTCCGACGATAGTATTCGGAAAACCGAGGCAGAAAACCAGTCCGGCGACATAGAAAGCTCAGAAACAACATTGTAGAGGGTGTGTACAGACAGTCTTCTTGATTTTACCTAAGTTGCTATAACCATGGTTGTTACAAACTTCTATTTTTTTATTTTTTCTGTAGTTTAAACTGAAGAAATATGTTTGTTTGCGTAGATAGTTATACGCTGCAGTTTTCTTCATTTTTATTTTGCTTTTGTAGTTTTTGTCGTCCATAAATATATGTTACATGGCCGTTGTTATTATTCTTTATTATTATTATTTTGTTGACAGTGACAACCCTGCTATTCTTGCACCTGGTAAATTCTGGTCCTTAATTGGGAATAATTATATCAATATTTTTTTTATTTATCCGACTAAATTTTTATATGATCTACTTATAATAAAAAAAAATAATAATAAATTTGTCTATTTATAGTTTTACTACCTCTATTTTAGCAAATAATAATTAATTTATCACTATTTTTTATCCTAATTAATTATTAACCCTTCAATATAAATTTCATACAATACTTCATCTTATTTTTTTTAATTTATCCCACTTTTATATTAAATACTATTACCTTCATCCTACTTAAATTGTTTCATTTTTGTTGTGAAATGAGTTTTAAGTATTGTGTAATTAGTAAGTAATTAAAAAGTGTATCAGTAAAAATAATTTTGATTTAATAAAAGTAATTATTGATTGAGATTAAAATATATGTTTAATTAAAATAAAAAAAATTATAAATTAAAGAATTCTAAAATGTGATTAAAGTGTTATATTTTCAAAAAAAAAAAAAGAAAATGACAAATTATGTAAGACGGACGAAAATGAAAATAATGAACAATTTAAGTCGGACGGAGAGAGTATTATTATTTTTTAATTTTTGTGTTCGAGTGGCATAAATAGTCGGAACGGATGGAGTATTTTTTATAATTACGTTATACTAAGACAAATAATCGGTGTCCTATGTAGTTTTTTGCTAGTAGGGTTCTAGGCTTCAATTTGGGGATTTCGCATATTTTAATTTAATACAAAAGACTTCACATCATAAATAAAATACGAAATATTTATGCATTTATATTGAAACAAAAGAGAATAATACGCAATTATCCGTAATTTAATTATGGGACTGCAAGCTGTTATGGATACTATTGCTGCCTAAAATGGAGCAATTAAGATACGAAAAATAAGCAGCAATCACCATTGATCAAATTAAATATTATTTAGTCTGATAAAGTTACACAAATTAAATAGATAAGCCAGCATTACACTCACATGCAACTTTTAATCAATTATTCTAAAAGACACGTGTATGGCTGGTAAGAAAATTTTACATAATACCGTATGCCTTACAAATATTTTTATAATAAATCAAAAGTTGGTATACTGAAATTATCAATATACCCAAGATGTGTAAAAATATCAAAATTAACATAAAATGTCAATATTATCACTAACACATCGATATACATTAGTATATATCGATATATACCAAATTATATACACTGGTGTCTCTAATACCATGTCGGATGTTGAACGACCGTCTCACCTAAAAGCTTGAACTGTTAGGAAAATACAATCATTAATCATATATCTCCAAACGGGAGTCTCCAACAAATTTTTTATTAGGTTTGGTCGTTACTTGTTAGCATCATATTTTGTGAAGGTTTTGATTTTGCTTGTTTTCATAATTATGTAGCTTTTCTCACCACACCTACCCCTTTGATTCATTGTATTTCACACTGTTGTTTGTGTGTCTGTCTTAAAATATATTATTTTTTTTTCTTTTTTTTAAGGGTCTTAAAATAATAGTTTCTTAAACAAGCATAGACACTTTGTGTTTTATTTTGTAAAATGATTTGAAAAAAATATTTTATTTTTTTTTATGTGAAATATAGGAAAGTTGGTAGATAAAACAATTTCTGAAGCAAGTTCATCTTCAAACCACCGATCATCCCTTACTGGACAAAAAATAATTAGAATTGAATTAAAAAAAAAAAAAAAAAATGCCAAATGTGAACACCTTAATCAACACAAGTGTGTGTGCCTGCAGTGTGATTCTTGCACAGCCCATCAAACTGACAGGAAGATTTTTGGATGAACATTGAGAAAAAAAAAAAAAACAAGATTATTACTGGCAGTGACATTATATATATACATAAAATATGGCATTATATTAGGCAAATGTAAGTAGACAGGAAAAATAAAATTATGTGGGATGATAAAAGGTTGTAAGAGAATTAAGAAATGGTAAATTGACAGCACATCTCTACACAGTTTGGATCTTCTCTATGATTTGTCTTTGTCGATCTCCTACACATTCATTTCATCGAATCCTTTTCTACTTATATATCCCTTCTTTTTTTGTACACTTCATTCTTCAACCTCTGCTAATCCCAAGTCTCCAATTTCTCGTCATTTTTATGGATTCAACTGAGCTGCAGAGGCATTTTCTTGATTACATTTCTACGTTGTTTCGCGAGGTAATGTGCAAGAAATTTTAGTTTTTGCTTTATCGATGTCGAAGGGGGAGGTTATAGTGCTAAAATGATGTTATTCAGCACCATAACCGTGGCCAGATTGATTAAGTTGCTCGTAGTACCATTTGGTAGGATGTGATATATATATATAGAAGTACAACACATGAAATATAAATAAAACAGCACCAGATTTATACTAATATATTATAAATGTAATTAATAATATATAACAATAGTCCACACAACATATAAATTATGTTCATATGACATACATGTAAATATAAATTGTCGACACATTGTAATAATGTACAAAACATATAGCTAATCCTAGTCAGCATCCTAACTATTTCTGATGATAAAATATTTTTTTTCCTCTCATTTAATGTTGTTTAATTTTTTTTTGAAGGGATTCTTGGATGGTCAATTCGGACAATTGCAGCTACTTCAAGATGAGAGCAACCCCGATTTTGTAATCGAAGTTGTGTCCCTTTTCTTCGACGATTCTGAAAGAATTCTCAATGGTCTCACCACAACATTGTAAGGATCTCCAAACTCTTCATATTTTCTTACATCTGTGTTTTTGTGTCAATTCTACCTGTGCCATGTTTGTTTCAATAAATTGGGATTTTGGTTTAATTAGTTGCAATCTTTTTAGGGAACAACAAAATGTCGACTTCAAGAAGATCGACGCCTATGTGCACCAACTCAAAGGCAGCAGCTCCAGGTAAGAAGAGGTCTCTTTTAGTTGGTTATTGATTGCATGAAATATAAATCAAAAGAACAATATTTATATGGCTAATTGCATAAAACTACCTATGATTTCACAAAATTGCGTCAAGTTCCCGTACTTTTAAAATTGCATCACATTCACTTATGATTTTCTAAACTCTGCGTCTAATTTTCTCGACGGTCCTTATTTAACAGTATTTGACCTAAACGAGCTCAAATTACAAATGAATTTCAGAATCTCAATTTCTAAATTCTTAGATTACAAATATATTCATTATTCTTGTATTTAGCTTCAAACAACAATAAATATACTAAAAAAACAGTTGTTTTTAGAATTTCCTTTTTACTGTTCTTTGGAGGTAAATATGAGATGAATCCATATTTGTAATTTTTGGGATTTAGAAATTGAGATTCTGAAATTCATTCGCAGTTTAGGCGAGTGTAGGTTAAACACCATTAAATAAGGACCGGTGAGTGGGTTAGATGTAAAGTTTATAAAACTACGAGGAAATTTGACACAATTTTAGAAGTACGAGGATTTGATCTCAATTTCATGAAATCACATAAATTTTATGCAATTTAGTCTATTTATATTAATATAATACAAATATAATATATGAGTCAATTGTACTTATAATAATTCAAATATAACATGTATCATTAATATCAATACAAAAGAAATGTTCATACATCACACACACACCCGTATATATATAAACTATCAGTGACATAGTAACAATCTACACAACAATGTTGTAATAATTAAGGCATGTCCCGACAGTCCATATGTTATGTACTGATTAGACAAATTGGCATTCTAACCGTTCCTATTATAAAAGCTTCGGCTTAAACAAAATAGAAGTTTAGGTTTTAATAACATCCGACGTATTGTCCCTAAACAGCATCGGGGCACAAAGAGTCAGAAATGCCTGCATTGCTTTCAGAAACATATGTGAAGCACAAAAAGTCGAAGCGTAAGTGGCTAAAATCGCCTCATTACAACATATGAGTATGAGATATATGTAAGAATAATCTTTTTCAGAAATTAGTAATGTTCAATGTTGTAGATGCCTCGAATGCTTAGAACAAGTCCGGCAAGAGTACCTGCTAATTAAGACCAAACTCCGGGCTTTATTACAGGTTTTTATACATACATAAATACATATATGTGCGCGCACAAGCGCCTATATATGGAGTTTTATTACATTTTTTGTCGTCGATTTTTCAGTTGGAGGAGAAGATAATTGCTGCTGGTGGAATCATCCCTATGATCACTGATTTCTCATGAAACAAATTCTCAGGCTTTTCCTGCAATAATAATTGATCTGTTTATTTTCTCATTTTTTTAGGATCATTTTGCTAATATTGAGGTTCTTCTTTCATGTGAAACGACTTATGGTTCTTATTGTTATAACAAGACGATGAGTGTATTTGTTTATTATTTTTAATTTGAAATATTTTTTATGTTAAACATATGAAAGCATTTGAGTTGATAAAATATACTCCGTCCGTCCCATATCTATATATCTATTTGATTTTTGCACGAATTTTTAGAAATATTAGTATTACATTTGAGATAAAGTAAAAATAAAAATAAAAAGACTAAATTAACCATATTAGTATTAGTATGGTATGTTAGTAGATAGCATTACTATAAAAAAAAAAAAAAAAAAATAGAACAAAAGGACGTACCAAAATAAAAAAATGAATAAATTATTAAAAAACGAAGGGAGTATATTATAATTAGATTTGATGGACTGAAGAAGTATTTTTATCTTTTTTTTTATCGAAATACAAAGAAAAAGGCAAAAATAAAACTAAACTATGCACATAATATTTTTTTCACTGAATGTCTTAAAAATAATAGCAACAAGTTCGAGCCAAACCTTAGATCAGATGTCTCAACACCAAGCTCCAATAAGTGTGACTATAAAATGACGGAATTTATGTAGGGTGTGTTTGTTTGGGAGTTTGAATTTTGAATTGGGATTTGAATAGTAAAAATTTTGAATTTGAATAGTTGTATGATGTGATATAAATAGGTGCTGATATGATATTTTGAATGTAAAATTGATTTTTAAGTATAATATAAAAAATGAAAAATAGGTGTTTGATTTGATAATTTTAGAGAAAAAAATTGGATGAATAGTGTAAATCCAATCCAATCCCTTAAACAAACACACCCGTAATGTGTAGTTCAAGTTAAAGTCAACGAAGCACTTTACACCCAACCCCTCGAGCGGCTATTGAACTGTGATTGTAAAACGACAGAGCTGATCTGTTGAACTACCTTTCTGTAGACTATAGGATGTGTTTTTTATTTACAGAACTTTACAAAAATTTACTATTCACACAAAAAAAAAATTTCTTAAAAATATTAAATTAAACATATATTTTTTATTTTTTACTACATTAAAATTTAATTTTACATTTAAAACATCACATTAACGCGCTTTATTTATGTCAATTCATACATCTATTTCAATTTAAAAATTTTACTATTCAAATTTCAAATACAAAATTAGACTTGCCCAAACGGTTCAAACCGCCGGTTTCGATTTGTCAAAATGTCAAATCAAAACCAAACCTTTTGAATGACGGTTTCAGTTATAGTTTGAAAGTTTCGATTACAATTTCAAACCGACGATTTCGGTTTAAAAACTGCGGTTTCGGTTTGAACCACTGGTTTATATGTTATGACGAACTAGGGTTAATGATCGAATAACAAACAGAAAACGTAAAGAAGACACAGATCTACTACGTAGTTCACCAAAAACAAGTTGGCTACCTCCACGAACAGAAACGGAGAACATGTTTTATTGCAGGATTTGAGTCGTTTGGCCCCATGGCTTGGCCAGATGGCAGCCCGTTAACATGGGAATACATGCTTATTTATAACATAAGTCTATGTCAATAATATCTAATCATATATCTAAATCTAGAGTATAATATCTAATATCCAAATGAGATATGATACCTAATATAATACCTAATATCCAAATCATTTCCCTAAATTCAAGGCATATCAACATATTATATATATATATATATTCATTTTTTATATTTTGGCAAAAACACCCCTCATATTTTTTTCAAAAAAATTAATATATCATATACCTTCATTATTTTCTATTATTTATACAATTTTCTATGCCTCAAATTAAAAATATATATATTCCTTCAAAAGACAAACGCACCTTTTTTATTTTCTAATTTTTCAAATTTAATTTTTATTCAAAAATAATTTATTTCGATTTTAATTTTATTTAAATATATTTATTATGTAAAAATAATATAAATAATAATTAATTAAACTGTTAAAAAAAAAATAGTTAAAACAATAAATTTAACAAATAATTAAATTAAATTTTAAATTAAATAAACTATAAAAATATTGTTGTATGACAGTATTTATAATATTAAGATGATTTAATTATATAATAAAAAGTTATAATTTTAAATATAAATAAAATAATAATTATATATTTTTTCCTTATGTATTTTTATTAATATTAATACTATTTTTATGATAGTTTAATAATTTCTAAAAATTTGAATTATAAATATATTATTTCTATTAAATATACAGCATTCCTCATATATATTAGTTCTCTTTTTTCTTCTTCCCTCTCACTTTTCTTTCTTCCTTCTTCTTCTTCCCCCTTTTCATTCTGATTTGTATTTGTTTAAATTAAGCCTATTATTTGCATCTGTTTATTGGGCCGTGTGTTAAGAAACACGCTTTTGTATTGGGCCCATTAAAGCCCAATAAGATTTGCACTAATGGTCTTGTGAAATATGTGAATGGTCGATCCAAATCTGTTATCAGTGCTGAATCGATGAATTGAGCTCAGTAAAAGGGGATTTCATCGCCGCAGCACCGCCGTCTTTGGTACTGATTCCCACCGCCGGTGTAACCATTGCCGCCTGTGCCTTTTCATCCTCTCGAGAGCTCGAGCACGTAGGTACATGGCTTATACACCTTATTTCTTGTCTCGATTTCCCTGCTGCAATTTTGTATCAGTGTAATCTTCTGTAGTATCTTTTAACGTTCGATTGATTATTCGGAGAGGCGTGTCTAAGATGTTCGGGAATTGAATTGAATTGAATTTTATATTTTATTTGAATCCTTAGATTAATCCCCAATTTTCGACTTACCTTTTCCGAGCGGGCATTTGTCTGATTATCATTTCGATTGTAGCTGCTGTAGGCTTTGAGAATTGTAGTTTTGTGAATTCCATATTATGCCTCTGGTTAATTAGTTAGGTCAAATTTGGGGATGTCGCTGTTGGTTGATGTCTGATAAATATGCTATTCACTTCAGTGAAGTCTGGTTCAAGATTGAAGGGTATGTTCTTGGTATTTTATGTTTTTGTTTTGTTTTTTTTTTAAGTATGTTTATTATATAACATCACAGTTTTCATTAAAAAAAAAATGCATACAATAACGATTTTTACCTAAAAAAATTTAAAGACAAACCAGAAAAGAACAAATCATGATAAGTGATAATACTATTAGTTTTGGATTTGAACTTACTAGAATGGAAGATTCTGTTTACTTGTGGGATTTTTATCCTGATTTTACTATTTCGATTTTTTTTTCTTTCCAAAAACATCAAATCAAACCCCTATGATTTATTTATTATATTATACAAAAATTTCATTTTACATTCAAAACATCAAAGCAATATATATTTATATCACATCAAATAACTATTTTAGTTCAAAATTTTACTAATCAAAATCAAAACCCAAAATCAAAATCTTACAAGTAAATACACTCGATGTATTTACATGTGTTTTGTGAATGTTTTCAGTATTTTGATTTGATTAGTTTTCTTTGAAAAAAGTAATAATGGTTGGATCATAGATGTGTTTGTTTAAAGTTTTAGTTTGAAACGGATTATGTACAAGTTTAACCGACAATAAAAATAAAATATAAAAAATGGCGTAATTTTGGCTCACGGAGAGAGTATTTTATTTTCCTCTTGTGCAGTGTTTCCATTAGTGAAGAATGGGCGAGAAGAAGAAAGCAGGCGCTATGTTAGTGAAGCTTGTATCGGCAGCAGGGACGGGCTTCTTCTATGTGGTAAAAAAAACCAAGAGGCTCCAAAGCGATAACATCAAGCTCAAGTTTCGCAAATACGACCCTCGAGTGAATCGTCATGTTTTGTTCACCGAGGCAAAGATGAAGTGACCTCAAAGCTCCGACTCCCAAGTACGCGTGTGTGTGTTTCATTGTCGATTTTATATAGTTTTGCTGCTGAAAATGGAGCTCATGCGATGTTTTTGTGGTTTTCGAATCGAATCTTTGGTGCCTTTTTTGGGTATGAATGTTATGTTATTTGCATAGTTGGACATTTGCCAATAAGCTGATTATTGGATTTGTTGTTTGCTGAGAATGGTTTTTGGTTCAGTTTAAGATTATGCTTCAATAGTTGAGCAAAACACAATCTGTTTTTTTTTTTTTTTAGTTTGATTTTATTTTTTATTTTTAATTTTAGTTTTGATTTTAAGAATAGTTTGGATGTGATAATTTTGTTCCAGAAAATAATTTATTTTTATATATGCTGCATACTAAGAAAATTGAAATCAAATTTAAGTGAATGGCGATCAAATTGTTCATCTATTGAAGTTCATTTAGTAGTCTAAAGTGATATAAAGATAGTGTTATGTGAGAAAATACATTGAAAATTATATGACATTTCTATAAAATTTATAGAAATGTTATTAATTAAAAATAATAGTAATAGAAATTTAAAAATAAATTGCGATTTGAATTTGATTCTAATAAATAAATAACTATTAATTAAACTAGCATGATAGCATCTATTCGACTAGATTGATTCATTAGTTTTTTTATGATTTTTTTTATTTCGTATTTTAAAGTAAAAATAAACGCCACAGGTGTGTGTTTTTCTTTGTTTTTAATTCGATAAAATTTGGTTTGAATTTAGTATTGAAATAATATTTTATGGAAAGTTTTATTAGAAAAAATATATATATTCGTAGTAAAATATAAAATTTAAATAGTAAATTTTGGAAAGAAAAAATGTGACAAAAGAAATATACCTGATTTATGGTTCGGCTCCATTGCACCATCATGTGCTAGCATCACATTCATATATATATATATATAACTACATACAACACATCAAATATAATAATACAATCGACAATGAAAAATATGAGATGATACGTTAAAGAGTAATATTTTATTTTTATTTTAAAAATAGAATATATATATATATATATTTCTTCATCTATTTTATTTAAAGTGTGAAAAAAATACAATTAATAACTAACTAATAAAGTATATTAATTAAAATAATTATATGTTATGATTCTAATAACTAAATAATTTAATTAAAATTTTAAAATTATATACAATAAAATTTAAAATATAATTAAAATATATTATTATTAAAAAAATTGAACAAATCATATATAAATGAAAAAGAAACACTTATAGGGAGGAAATGAGGATATCTTTTTATATAATGTTAATTAAAATTATACTTATTTTATTTGTCAGGTTCATATTGCGATTTTTGTTCGCTCATATGTCATATTATTTTTTTAAGAAAATAATTACAAATTTTAATTTTATTTTAAATTTTTTAATTTAAAATTTTTTAGATTTTAATTAAACTAATTATCATCTTAATCTTAAACTAAACTAAGTATATTGGATGAAGAAGAATCTAAACACACCCACCGTCACTTTTCACCGACGATGACGATCTACCTCTGCCTAAAACTATTCGCTGCGACACTGAGGCGTCGGATACGAACCAGACAGAGACCCAAGCAGCTATGAAAGCGACAATGGAGTTATGTTATCTACGTCGGTGGGGCCCAGTTCACGCACCTGCAGTGCGCCTACCCTTCAATTTCCCACTTATACAAGACAATAAAAAGCCCCACCCCTTCTCTACGTATTATTGCTTCTACGTTACGCCCAATTTCCATTTCCCCCTTTCTTCTTCTTCGTTTCTTCTCAATCTTCATCGACGATGGAAAACGCTAAATCAACTCAAGTTTCTCGTGATCCAGACGCAGCAGCCATGGAAGCACCTCCACCGGAAGCGCCACAGGTTAGTTAGCATTTATTTCCTGCAGAATTGGATCCTTTATTTAATTTGTTGCTGAGAATTGAAGAGATGTGACTTATAAACAGCATTTATATTCGTTTGCTACTGTTAAATTTTATATGAATTTTCGATCGAGGTTTTCCGCCATTGTTATGTACTAGTGAACATTTTGTGTATATAGTCACTTTTTCTGCTGTTTAATTAAGATTAATGAATGATGTTCGTAGAAGCATTTAGAGGAATGTTGATGGACAAGTTTGCATTTACTTTCACTCATTTGTTCATCTTTGAAGATGAACATTGATGGATATTAGGTGTGTTTGATTTTTTTTTGTTGATGTTTGTACTCTTTTGGATTTCAAAATTTTAGTGAACTTTGGCGTTTGGATCAGTTGTTGACACTCTTTTCGGATTGAAAATTGTATAATATTCCTTTAGTTCCTCCTATGGTGTCGCATTTTCGTTTCCGCAATTAATTATTTTACTAATATAATTTTAGTTATTTATTAATCGTACATCTCCTAAATTTTTGTGTCTTTGAGTATCTGTGACACGGTAGATGGAAGGAGTAAAAGTGAGGCTCGGTATAGATAGAAAGTTTTGGAAAATATCGGGAATAGTAAACAAAATAGTGAATTTGATACATATTTTGATAGATAAAATATATAATATATTTGATGTGATATTTTATTGAAAAATTAACTATTAGACGAAAAATTAAGAAACTTTTCGAAAATATCGGAAATAATAAAAAATTGCGGATTTAAATGTGAGATGGAAAAAAAATATATTTGATCGTGATATTTTATTGAAAAATTTATTGTTGATGAAAATTGAAATTTATATACTATGTTTTGATGTTGTCAGCAACGGTAAATTGGATGCTTAGATTTGTTGTCGAATTTATTTTGGGATTCGAAGAACTTGGTCAAATAGACGTTGTTAGAAGTTTCGAAAAACTTTGACATTTGATATGATATTTCGTTAGATGAAAATAATATTTGATGCCATATTATTTTTTTGAAAAAGTTACTGTATCGATGAATAGTATAAAAAGTTGTAAAAATTCTATGTAGAACTAAGACTTAGGCATTGATATTGTGATCTGCATTGCACAAAGTGTGCATCTGACGGCAGGGAATCGGAAAATGCATTTGCAAGTTCAGGGCCGAGTGCTCGACGATTGGATTTGTCCCTTCAAATACCTCCGAGGCCTACGGCCATTTTAGGAAGCCATCTCCGATCGCCGGGATTTTTAAAGGCATTGAGCTTCAAAAAGAGGACTGCTGCTGCCGACAGTGAAAGAAGTTCTCTTCTTTGTTCGGATGCTAAGGTGACTCTCGAAAGCCCTCCGGTTTTGAACTTGATATGGAATAGGTGTGCTTCACTTCCCGTGACGCCAGCCTCGAACTTGTCCCCTCAAGTTGCTCAGCCGGCGTCTGCCAGGACACATAGTGAAAAGCAACGGGTACACTTCTCATCGATCATCTTTGATTTCTTTGAGTTTTCTTTTGAGAGTAGTTTGATTTGATAATTTGGATTTAATGGTGGATTTTAAAGTAAGAGGTTTGAATTATCTCTTCTTTGAAATACGCCCTCGTCCCGTGTACGATGACTCCTTTAGTTAGAACACAGATAATAAAATTTGATGTAATACAAATAAGTAAAAATATATATTTATTTATTTATATTTAACTTAAAAATTAATTTTATAAAAAAAAATAGGAGTGTTAAAAATAGATAAAAAAATATTTATTTATTAAAGAGAAAGACAAAAATAATAGATAAAAAAATATTTATTTATTAAAGAGAAAGACAAAAATAAAGGGGTTTTGAGTGGTTTACTTTTAAAATGTTAAAAAATTTAATTAAACTAATTTATATTTGTTAATTATGTTTAAGATAAATAAATTTACATACAAAGTGGTATCTTTTATGAGAGTGACAAAAAAAGAAAAAATGTTATTTGTGACGGGTCGGAGATAGTACTTCATAATTAAAATATGTTTAACTGTAGGAAGTATATGAAATGAGCTTGAAATTGGTACCTAATTTGGAAATTTGAAATCTACGAAATTAATGAATTTGATGGAGTCATTTGAAATATGTTTAATACAAATCAATCCCTCAAACCAATTGGGGAGGTTAATTGTATCGAATCCTCTCTTAATCAACAATTCCGAATCATTTATAGTAAACATCTTTTTAGTATAGAGAGTAAAAAGTTTATCTAAAGATCATTCTATGAATGAAATAAATCGCAGGCGAGCGCGGCTCAAAGTAGTGTTTCGAGGTCGCTCTCTGTGCCCGGAAGGAACTATTTCATTGTGCGATCGACATCTTTTGCCTCCAATGAGAATCATGGCCAAGATTCTGAAATAGGTATGTTTCAAATTTTGACTAACTTATAGTCTCAATGCTTCTTATGCCCCTATTGCTGTTGGTAGAGTTGTTATTCGAGTAGAGTCGAGTATCTAACTTTCAAAGTAGCCAATTTGAAACTTGACCTCATTAGAAATATTTTGTAGTCAAGCTTGAGCTTATATACATTAAAAATATAATGAAATTTTAATAAAAATGGTAAAAAGTATACTCCCTCCCTCAGAAATGTATGCATTCATTTACTTAAGAATATTGATATTTTCGTGAATAATATATACTGTGTAACAGTGTATTGATTTAAATGAATTTTTTTTAAACTCTAATTACGATCGATAGAAAATGCTATGATTGTAATTTTAAATGAAATGTAAAGTTTTATCAATGTGTGACGACTACAATTACCAAATTAGGAAACAAATACATTGTGGACAACCTAAAATTGTGAAAATGAATAATTATACCCGAGGGAGTAGGTAGCTTTGGTTCATGTTTATGTTTTGTGTTTAGATAGCGGTCTGCTGTGATGTTTTATAAAAGAAAATATATATATATCATGTGGATTGTATAGTACAAAGTGAAAGCTTATATATTCTAAAATACATGTGATGTTAGATATTTTAGCTTAATGAAAAAATAGGTTTATCATCTTACTATGTTTCGTCAAACCGAGTTAAAGACTCGATCTTAAGCTCGACTTGTTTTTATGATTAACTAGCCAAGCTTTCTAGTAGCTCAACTAGCAAAACCGCTCTTGTTTTCGGCTCGACTAAGTAGTGTTTGAACCGGCTATCTTGCTTGTGGCAAGTTAGGTGAAATAACTTCTGTCCCGGCCCCCGTCCACGAGGATCACGAGATTCCTGAGGAGGAAGCAATCTGTCGAATTTGTATGGATACATGTGAAGAGAGGAACACACTAAAGATGGAATGCTCTTGTAAAGGAGCCCTAAGGTTAGTGCACGAAGATTGTGCCGTAAAATGGTTTAGTATCCGGCGCAGTCGACTATGTGAAGTCTGTGGGAAAGAAGTCTCAAACTTACCGGTCACTTTGCTTCGAGTGGAAACTCGAAACTTTACGGAACAGAACCACCAGAGGTCAAACAGGTGGCATCTTCGATCCCAGCATGATGTTCTTTTCGTGCGCGCATTGATATATATATATATATATAGGTTTGCGGTGACTGCCCCTAATGGGTTTTTACGATATTTTTTTTCATCATATTTTATCGCAGCCCATGGCAAGATTTTGTCGTGCTCGTGTTGATCAGCACGATATGCTACTTCTTCTTCATCGAGCAGCTATTGGTAAGATTTTACGCGATGAAATTCATGAATATGTTGGGTTTTTGTGTATATATATAGTGTGTTGTCGTTGCAGATCGAGGATATGAAAAATCAAGCCCTTATAATTGCTGCGCCGTTTTCTTTCACATTAGGTGTTTTGGGAGCGATGCTTGCGGTCATTTTAGGTATACATATATATATATATATACATACACATGATTAGTCGAGAAAGTTTAAAGCAATTTACTCTTGGAAATAATACGAATTCATTCATTTGCAGCTCTACGAGAGTACATATGGAGTTATGCGGCACTTGAGTTTGTACTTGTGACTTCGATTCTCTATGTTTTCTACAATATGGTGAGATAAATTCCTTGATTATCAATAGTTCTTCGTATTTTTTTTTAAAACCCACACACACATCTGTGATCGAATCCGTGACCTTACCTCGTACCGGGAATTTCAACCACTAGACATGTAAAACAAACGAATAGTTCGCGAGCTTGGCTCGGTTCAGTTCGTTAAAAGCTTGTTTGTTAAACTAAATGAGCCGAATACGAACATAAATTTTAACTCGTTATGTTTACGAACGAACGCTCATTAATTAGGTCACCTACAAGGTCTTGGCCAACAATTCTTCTTGTTGTCTACAAAACAACGAGACACATCTAATGCTAATGCTCACTCTAGAAATTTGTGCTTTAGTTAATAATCTCCTCGCGCAAGACCTTAGTTTTTACTTGATTCGATCTAATTGTATTCCTTTTGGTTTTGTAGGTTCGCTTAGCGCCTGTATATGCTATCTTGATTTCATCGGTGTTGGGATTGGGACTCGCCGGTTTGATTAACACGGCGTATTTGAAATTGTACTATTGGTGCACTCGAGAGTCTCAAGCTTCGAGCCCCGTATAGTTCAGTTCAACCTAGAGAGATTGGGACAAGAATACTTGGTCCGGTTTTAGGTACACGGTCGTTCGGGTATGTTTGGTTTTGTATTTAAATCGTAGCTAAATATGATCTTTGTGAAAGAAAATGATATATTATAAAAAAAATTGTAAAGAGTATATAATAAAAAAAATAATCGAAAGAAGAACTAAGCTTTTGTTTTACAACTCTATATAGATGTCAAAGTATTTTATGGCTGGCTATATAGTAAAAAGTTTAGCGTACATAGTGTTTTATGAAAAAAAATATATTCCTTCCATTTTATGAGTTAACTCAAGTATTTATTTCCAATTAAATACATTGAATCGAGACAGGAGTATGTGGTGGTGTATTTTAATAAGTGTTTAATTCTTTATTGAAAATTGTTATAAAAGGTTGAATTGAATACAATTAATATTTTTTTTATTAATAAATATGAATATATTTATTTTTAAAAATATAAAAATAGAAATAAAAAATCATAAGTATACTTTACCTTAAAATATATTTGAAAATAAAAATCGATAATAAATTGCAAGGAGAACAAACTGAGAGAATTATGAATATGCGGACTGGTTATTACTATCAAGGCATAATAGCGTGGGTGGGTGGGTTGGGATCACCGCCCCCTACGCCCTTCATGCCCCCTCGACCCGCCCATAAAGGACATATATTACAATATATGATATTTTTTTTATTAAAAACAGAAATAGGAATAATCTTCTATAACAATAGAAAAAAAATGAAATGTTAATAAAAACTTGAATGACAAAAGAAATTATTATTTTTACATATTTTCTCAAAATTATAAATTTATTTTCTATTTCAGTATTTCGATATGAAAATTATAGAAATTATAAGATATAAATTTTGATATACAGTCATTCCACCATAAGCAAAGAATAGTTGATAAAACTTTGGATAGAACATAAAACATTAATAGATCAAACACAAACTGGTTCAGAGACAAAAACCAGCATCTTAGAGCAACTGGCTAAATCAATGCATCCATTCTAGAAAGGAAGGGGAAAGAAAAAAGTCATAATCAATCACACAAAGCCAAACGAAAGATATGTTCGAAAAAACTTATCGGTACTAGTCGAGGGGAGGCCGCAGCTTCAACACTTCTTCTCCATGAGCTTCTCGATGAGTTCGGCTGCTTCTTTAACAGTGGTGATGCTCTGGGCGCTGTCCTCCTCCACAGAAATATCGAACTCCTCTTCAAGTCCCATCACAATCTCAACCTAATTTGGTCGCAATGTAATTGTCAGTCAAATATTTTCAAGAAAAACGATCAAAATAACCAATCCCTTATTTTTACAAGACTCTCATTTGTGGAATCAGAATAGGGTAAAAGTTGAAAGTATCCATGAAAGTTTGTGGCGCAATTCATTACAAGCGTACAAAGAATTGTCCCTCTACATATCAATATTGCGTTTGGTGATATTAATATAGAATGACCGACTAATCAAGCAAAGCTAGGACATTCTTCATCAAACTTAAAAATATCAATGAACAAATGACATGTTGTCTTATTATTCACCAGCTCGATTGCTTCTGTTTGTTAAGAAGAGATCGTTAAAAGTGGATTATTGTATTCTAACCGTACCAAAAGTATAAATTGACCAAATATACAATCAGCATATATCTATATAGAATGCATTAAATTGAAGAATAACATTAGACGATATGACAAAGTATGTGAAAACACTAATTATAGCAAGAAAAAAGAACATTACCGTATCAAGAGAATCAGCACCAAGTGCAGAAAATTTGGACTCTCCATTGACATCACGATCCTCAGGAAGAGCAAGTTGTTTCCTCACAATTTCACAGACCTTGTCAATAGTCTCTGGTTTAGCCTATTCAGTAGAACAATCACACTTAATCAGTAATATCATCAACATCGATAAATCTGCAACGAAACAAAGTTACATTGCCAGAACTTCACTTAATGTAGATAACAAAATACTGAAAAACTGAATTTCGAGCTAAGAAAACATATTCATAACAAACAGAATACATACTGCGCAGGCCACTTGGTAACGAAGTGTTGGCAACTTATATGATGGGAATGTCTTCCCACCAAATGAAAGTGAAGCCTTCCTCATATTCGAAACCTGCCAAAAATACAATTACATGACACTAGAACCACAGGAACGCAATTGATTAAACCACATTGAGGATCTAAAACAACATGAAACACAACTAAATGCGCTGTGCAGTTATATATATATATATATATATAGTAGTTTAGACAAGTTAAAATATTCTACAACAAACTACACATTTAGGCATATTTTTTACGGAAAAACAGTTAAAAGTATAATAGAACACATGGTCAAAGTATACAAGCAAATTGAAAATGAAAGCGAATAATCTGGAGATTATCGTAACTTCATTCCAACAGTAGATCGGAAAATCAAAGCTCAAAGATCCTATAACCAAATCAAAAGAGCTGGATTCCGAAGATAATTTCAATCATTAACCGCTCCGCAGCTGTCACAAGCGAAGAACAAAGTAATACGGCGAACAAAACAAATCTCCAATATAAATAAGAACTTCACGACTAAGACATCAGGTAGTACTAAAAGCCAAAAGCTCAACATCTGGAAATGGAAATCAGATAGCGACTACGACTAAAGGTCACAGATCAAAACAAAACAAACATCAAGCATCAGCCAAAAAACAGTAAATCAAAATAAATCGACGAAGAGTAGAGCTCGGTCTTACCTGGTCTTGCTTGAACGAGCAAGTGACAGCGGAGAATGAAAGAGATGATGCAGTAAAAGACGCCATTGGCAATCAAATCGACGAAATGAGCAGAGAGATTAGATCTGAGAATCGCTAGAAGGGCAGTGAAGACGGTGGCGGAGAATACAAAGAGTGTGATGCTCGTGCAGCGATTTGCGTGCTTGCTCTGCAGATGCCCTGCCGTTATATATATATAGCACAGTTTAGCTTCCTCGCTTGTATCGACACAGGTGGGCCGTTAGATGAGAATTTAGTGGGCTTTTGGGCCGTTGGATTAGAAATTTGACATACGGTGGTTTGTTAACAATTTTATGATGATAGGATTAATAAAAAAATACCATACATATATACACATTTATATATCTAGTATAAAATATTAATTTTCCTCATTCAATTTTTCTTTTTTTCACTTTACTCAAATACGAAAACTAAAATATAGTTAACTTATTTTTAACACTATAATTCGATGAATAATTTATTCAATTTATTTAATTTTGAAAGATCTAACGCCGAACTCATTCATACATAAGTTGTCCAAAATTTGTCCAACTTCTAGGTATCACACCTATTCTAAAGTACTATTTTGTAGTTTTATAGTAAAGTAGATATTAATAATATTTTGTATTTAATATTTTTGGCATTTGATTTTATAAATAAATTAATTTGAGGGTAATAGTATATTTATAATTTAAATAAAAATTAAGGATATTTGATATTAATGTGATTATTTTTATTAAAATAAAAAATACATATTTTTTTAAAGAGACGTACGAAAATAATAAAAAAAGTATTTTGAGTTAAAACTATTAATATAAATTGTGTTTGGATGGTATAAAATAATCAAATGAATATTTTAAGCATACAAATCAAATTATATACCACTTCATATATGATATGTTGATATGAGCCAAAACATACTTTAATGGATATATAGTATCATTTTAGCTGATTTATACATAAAATAAAAATATTTTAAAAAATATATAAAAAATTTAATGAGATGAGTGAAAATTTTAAATTAGAATTAATATAAAATACTCAACATATTTGAAAAAAAAAACAAATATATATTTGATTTTTTAGTTTTTAATGTAAATTTTAATTTGAAGAATGATTTAGATACATATTTATGTAGTAATATATCTTTATTAAAAATTTATGCAAATTGCATAATAGAATATCAAGACCAAACACAATTTAAAAAAAAAAAACTTTTGTAGATCAAATGGTGAGACATTCCTCACTTGAAGACTAAGTTTTGAATTTGATTTTAAATGTGTGTTCGAGTTCAGTGAAATACTCATCGGATGCATGAGTAAATCTATGTGGGGGTAAATGAAAAAAAAAATATAAATGGAGTTTATGTTTATATTTTTTTACCAAATTCCAAGTAAACATAGTTTATCATTATTGTTTTTTACAATTTTTTTTTTTTTATTTTGCATAGTTTTGATTGTTTTTCCTAGATTTGCCTTTACTTTTTGTTCACATGATTTTTTAAAATTATAAAAATGGTAAAAACTAAAGAAACTAATGTATGAAAAGTTTTATATAGATAGGAGTAACTTACATTACTTATTTTTCTAAATATATATCTATTGGCATGTATAATATAAAATAGAAAAGGGTAAATTATATAACACTCTATTGTGTTTTAGTTAAAATATACAAAACATCTTGTTTTTTATTTATTGTGTGAAATCCCCTCGTGTTAATATAAAATTTGCACGAAACATCCTTATTGTTCAAAATCGATATTCTGTTATAAATAAAGACCTAAATTATGCAAGTTTTATAAAATAAAAAATAAAAAATATCTTAAATAATTTTTTTGAATAAAATAAATAAATAAATAATTGATCAATAATTTATTTTTTTATAATTTTTGTAAAAATCAGATAACAATTTGTCTTAAAGAAAGTATAAAATGAAGAATTATTTATTTATTTATTTATTTATTCAAAAAAATTATTTAACATATTTTACATTTTAGAACCGAACGTCAATTTTAGACAATGAAGGTGTTTCATGCAAACTTTACATTAACACAAGGAGTTTCATATAATAAATAAAAATACATTGTGTTTTGTGCATTTTTACTAAAATATAATAAGTGTTATATAATTTACCCAATATAAAAATAGTAAAAGACCAATATACTATCTAACACATAATTGAAAAATATAAAGTAAAATGAAAGAATGAGTTGAATGGGAAGTCGAATAGATAAAGTTCCATTTAGCAAAATAAGGATGTCAATGTATCTATATAATTTTCAAAGGTAAAACAATTTATAATGAAAGAGTGAGTTGAATAGGAAGTCGAATAGACTTCATATGTGTATATTTTAGGGTTTAGGGTTATGACTCTCCACTCAACATGCATTATACATTTAGGGTGTATTTGTTTGAGGGATTTTGTGGAATTTTTATTATTTTCAAAAAAAAAAAAATTTTAAAAATATTAAATTAAACATTTATTTTTTATTTTTTATATTATACTAAAAATTAATTTTACATTCAAAACATTACATCAAATCCTTATTTATATCACATCATACAACTATTCAAACTCAAAATTTTTACTATTCAAATCTCAATCCAAAATCCAAAATCCAAATCCTCAAACAAACACACCCTAGTGTTAATAGAATTTTTTCGAACTTTTTATCTGTACATCTCGATCGGAAAATAATCAAGAGAAAAAGAAAGAATCGAAAATGGATCGATCTATCCGATTCGCGAACTTAATTACCGACTGAGTCCGACACTCAATTTGAGTTTTCAACTAAATTGGACACACAATTTATGTAATATGAACAAATCATATTTTATAAGTCAGTTAATCTATTCTTTGAAAATAGGCTAAACGTTTTAATTACTTCTTGACTTGTGACTCATATACACATATCGTGATCCTCGTACAACTATTTTTTTTTTTTTATAATTATTATTTTTTAAAAAATATAAAATGAAAGACTAAAATGCAAGATTCCAAACACGGCCTTGGATTCAAAGCAGGTGCACCTGTGGACCAACCGCATCCTAACCGACCTTTAGGTACAACCGTTCCACTGCCTACCCCGTTCACTAATTTCCATTCTCTACGCGACAATTTTAAGTGGGCCCCACCTCCCACATCGTACTATACCTTATGGACAAATTTACCCCTAATGATGAAATCCATTTTTTCGAGATTCCAACATTTTTAACACTTGCTACAATTGGGTACTTAGAAAGGTTTTTAAAGTCATTATTGTTTTATAGTAATTAATTAGCTAGTAATGAGCTGTAATTGAATTGGAATTTAGATGACGCTCCTGCTGGCGTCGCTGCATTGTTTAGTTGTACCTTGATTTCAACGGTCTTTTCTGATTTTTTATTTTTAGGATGTTTTTGTTTGTGTTTTTTAATATTTAACACTAAAGTCATCTTAATTTTAATTTTGGTATAGTAATTTTATTTTAATCGTAACTTTATTTTTCACTATATTTTTTAAATATTTATTTTTTTATATTATTTTAAATAATTTTTTATTTTTATAATTTATAATTAAAAGATAAATTTTAAAATTAAAAGATTTTTAAATGTATATATATAAAAAGCAAAGCCATTTATAGTGCAACACTAAAATTGACGTTGCACTGTAGCAACGCCAATAAATCAACTCGGCGCTGGTTTCGTCCGTCCGCTCTAAAATTACAATTATATTTGAATATTAATTATTATATAAAAATATAATATAAATTAAGGAAAAAAATAAAAATATTTTTATTAATATTTAATATTATTATAATTAATAGACATAAAAAACTATTTAATTAATAATATTTTTTTATATTAAATACAATTTTAAAAAAATAATTATTTGAGTTGATATTTTTTTAAAAAATAAATTAAATAATAAAAATGTGTAGTAAAACCATTTTAATTATTTTTAATTTTTAAATTATTTTTATTTTATTTTATCGCACTTAATAATTTCTCGAAATTGTCGACGCTTAAAACCGAATATATTGCCATTTCCGTCACAGTAAACAAAAGTCTCTGATCTTTCTAGCAGATTCCCTTTTGATCTGAGTTTCCACCTCAACGAGTTCCGCGTGTTCCGGCATTTCGAAGTGGAGCTCTATCTGCAGGGAGGGATTGCGGTCTGAATTGTCGCGAATCATCTCACTTTCGGTGAGTTTTCTTCCGATGTGCTTCTGCGCGTGTTTTGGTGTGAGCAACTGTTTTGGAAAAGTTAATCGGTGTGATGTGGTTGCGGATTTTTCATTTTTAGTTTTTGCATCGTTCGGTTGCTGCAATGATTTTGCTGAGGCATGGCTTTTTCTCTAAATTGTTCGAATCTAATGAGATTTTAATTGTCATAGAATCGACAAAGCAGTAGCTGCCGTGTGCACTGTGCTTAAGAGTGACTAGATCGTGCTTTCTTTTCAAACTTAGTGGGTGATAAGTGGGGTTAGGACGTATTTTGTCGATTACCTTGTGATAGTTTCAGCATTCGTTGAAGTTCTTACTTTATATGCGGTGATCAGATGCGTTTTGATTAACTGAACAAATGTTGCAAATTGTGCTGTTGTCGAATATCTTTTAGCTGATTTATGATGCGTCAAATTAAATTGTCATTTTCAACGTACTTTGAATTGGATTCCTTTCCAGTGTTATAGAGGTACAGAAGGCTGTAAATATTTATTGAATCATACAAGAGTAGGGAATGAATAAAATGTATATGCTTTTAGTAATTATATGACATTCTTTTCATGCTATATTTCAGGCGTAAGGAGTTATGAATACTCAGCTAGTCGAAATTCACCCTCAAGAACTCAAATTTGTATGTAAGTGTATTATACAGGCCTACCTACATCTTTGTTTTTGCTATTGGCTTGAGTTGCAGCGCCAAGCAGGTGTCTTTTATTATTGATATTATTTAGGAAGAATGGAACTGGAGCGCATACTGTTTAAATCCAATGTCAACTATCTAATACTTCTGTTTTGAAATGCAAAGTGCTTATCATCTCTTTGCTGTGATATTATGGCCAATGAAGGAATATATACTGTGACAATGTACGTTGCTTGCTTTAGAGTACCAGAATGTATTTGTGGTATTCAATAGGGGAATAGACTTCTTTGTACGATTCATAATCTAGTAGTAATTGATTCACTTGGGCATATTACTATGGAGGGTCGGATAGGATTATGTAATCCCAGTGTCTTGATTAATTTATGGGTCTTAAATAGTCCAAACTTATCTTGATATGAACACAGCCTTTATATATAAATGGTGTATCTAGTTTTTAATGGTCCTTATCGGGTGGTTTCGGTTTTGAAAGTTTACTCTTACAATGACATTCATAGCCAAATGTCACCTCCTGCATCAGCTATACATGGGGTAAATTCATAAAGTTATTCTCTCTTTGTCTGGTATATATAGAGCAGTCGAGCTAGGTGACTGTGATATACAAGACATTGCTTTTTTCTTTCTTTCTTTTTTATTTATTAATTTATTTTTTCCTTCACTTCTCTCTCTCTGAGTGTCTGAATAGTTTTCAGTATGACCATATTTTTGTTGTGCTTGACTTATTTACAATTTGCTTATTGGCTCTAACAATTTTTTCTTGTGGCCATTCTTCTATCGACTTGGCTTCTCTAGTTGAGGTGAAAAAACAGAGTACATGTGTTGTTCGCCTCACCAATCTCAGTGACGAGTATGTAGCTTTTAAGGTGGTTTTCAATCCTATATTTTCCACCACCTATTTCTAATTCTGGAAAGTTTTATTACCCGCCAGTATGATTTGTAACCTTCACTAAAATAGTTTCACTTTTGATGTATTTATAGTTAGTTCTGTTAAGAAAGATCAGTTAACTTACAGTATGAATACATTTTCAGGTAAAGACAACCTCTCCAAAGAAGTACTGTGTGAGACCTAATGTAGGCATAATCAAGCCCAAATCAACATGTGATTTTGTAGGTATGCTGTTTCCTTGATTTCTACTTATTTAGTAGCATACATCTTGCTGTGGTAGGTGGTAAGAGGACTGTATCTCTAAGCATCTGGCAATGTTAATTGATTTTAGCGAATTACAATGATCTCATCGCAAAAACCACTGTTAAATTTATATATCAATGGTTCTTTATATGGAATTGTTTATGTGCCCTTCTTAGATTTTATTATCAAAATTAACAGATATTTGTTCTCTATACAGTCACCATGCAAGCACAGAAGTTAGCTCCCTCGGATATGCATTGCAAGGATAAATTTCTAATTCAGAGCACCATGGCACCATTTGGAACGACAGAAGATCAAATTACACCTGCCATGGTAAATTTGGACTGATTATCTTTGATTGTTTCATTCCCTTTTGTACGTTAAAACCTGTTTGCAGAAATTAATAAGATTCACATCCGGTTTTTCCCCATCTCGTCCGGTAGTTTGCAAAAGATACTCACAAGTATATGGAAGAGACCAAACTCAGAGTTGTTCTTGCAACCGCTCCAAATTCTCCAGCAAAGCCATCATCGGATGTAGTTTTAAAGCAGGAAGCATCATCTTACGAGACTGTTTCACCAAATGGATTGCACTCACCAGTTTTGACACCTGTCAACGGATTTAGCAAGCAAGGACAATCAGATGAGATTTCAAATCCAAAAGACGAAATCGAGAATGGAGTTGAAAATAATCTTCCTACTGATCTTGTAAGAAAATTTCTTATCCCGCTTTCGCCCCCTTAAGAATCTGATATGATACCCATGCTAATTATATTGGATACTATCACTTTCAGTTGTTTTTTAGCTTAGTTCTTTACCATAAAGAGTTGGATATAAAATTACCTCAGGTCAAATTTCTTGCATAATATCCAAAACTTCCACCCGATATTTTTAAGTGGTTTTATGGATCTATATTTGTGTAGCGAAGAATACTCGTGAGGATCAAACGATTAGTTTATTACACCATTATATGAACTTTATGATTCATAAGTGTTCCTTTCAGCCTAAAAAAGTGGTTGTCGCACATATTGACCTTACCATCATGATATTATATTTCTGTTGATTTGTTCAGGTAACTAATAAAGTGGAGGCTGTAAAAACCGAGAAAATCACGCCAGAGTCGAGATCATTCAAATTCAATATTGTGGATGATATGATGTCTGTCTCTGAGAAGTACCCGGTGAAACAAGAGGTGTTTGTCCCGGAGAAGGATGAAGATTCCAAAAAGACCAAAGATTCAGAAGAAATCGGATTTAAACTGACACAAGAAATTGAGGAATTGAGATCGAAGATTAGTTCCATGGGTACCAAGCTAGCCGAGGTTAGTATTGCCATAATTACGACCATGAATGCGAATTTTTAAGTATAGCATATTTATTATAGGTCTAAATAATCGACATTTGAATCAACAGGCACAGAAAATGATTGAAAAGCTAAACAAAGAAAAGAGCATTGCAACTCATGAAAAGGAAACAGTAATGCAACAGTTGGTGGGTGATTTCTTGCACTTCCTTTTTCCAGTTTACTTTTTTTACAATAAAAACAAAATATTTTTTCCGCACCATACTTTAGAAACTTACAAGGCTCCCTCATATTTTAAAAAATATTGCACATAATTCTATGGAAATTGCATGAACGAGAACGGTGTAAACTTTTCAAAATACAAGTGGGATTATAAGCAATTTTGCCTAACATAAAAATTTATTATTTGTTATTACTTCTGTTACATTTCCTTGTCATGATACGAATCATCGATGCTGAAAAATATGTATTCGCAGGCAATGTTGAAAACAAGGAGTGGCGGCACCGGCACCGGCACGGTAGCTAGAAAAGTCCATATTGGTTTCCCGCCACTGTTTGTGTGCATGGTTGCACTGATTAGCTTAATGCTTGGGTTGATCGTTCGAGTTTAACGAATCTCGATGCAATAGTTTCAGACACGAACAGCAGGTATGATTCTCAGCTGGTTTAATACAAAGCAATTGCATGTAGCTAACTAGCTTTGGTAAAAAAATGAAAAAAAACAACTTGAATGTATAAAAAGAACTGAGTTTATTGAATAAACTGGGGTATTAGACTGCTATACTTACGCTGATTTGGATTTATGTGTAAACAATCTTCGTTAGAACCAACAGTCATAATTGACACAATTGTTTGATACTCGACACCATTTTTTAAAGGGTGAGAAAAATCAATGTGTGTGTTTTGATTTGGACATTACTTGTTCGGGTGTGGTTCGGTTTGAATTTTTATTTAAAATAGTTTTTTGATGAGATGTTTGAGAAAAAATATTGTGTTTTCTAAATCATTCCCAAGCATAAATTGCATCTCAACTAGTCTATTGAGTCGGCTTTGCCTTTTATGGTGTTTTGTAGTGTGTGTGTGCATAAGATAAGATAGCATTATGGATTTGATTTTGTCACGAACTAAATTCAATTTGTCATGTTAAATTGTACCCCTAAGCAATTTAATCCTTCTACTAAGGTTGGCTTCCAACTTAGCTATGATCCACAAAAGGCATAAGAATTTAAACACAGAAACTCATTGTAAATGAAACTTATAAATATACAAATGAAGATGGAACTGTGGAAGCTTTTTTAATAAATCAGGCTAAAGTTTGGTGAAAAACAAATTTTAGTAAGTTTCATAGATTCCATATTATGATAAAACTAAAAAATAAAATACATATATTATATAAATTTATAATTATCCCCCTAAAAATTAGATGAACAAAATCATAATGTCAACTAACAAAATTACATTATTTCTATTATACAATAACCCTGATAAATTTCATATATTATTCAAACTCAAATTCAATCCCAAAACAAAGTTTCAAAATCAAACTTCAAAGAAAACAAAACCGTATACAACACCATCAAACAAGTTTCTACCACCTCCGAAATCACAGCTTACAAAAACCATTGCACACCCAGACGGCGTGTATTTTGACCCAAATCCAACCATACATACAAAATATACACATATATAAAATGTTGTGCGTGTGTGTGTATGTATACATAAATACGTACATACATATATATATAGACATATACGATATACCTCCCTCCTATGCCTTTCACTCTACAGCATATACATACATCTCAATGCTTGTCTTCCTCGGGCCACGACTGTTGCGCGTTTTGCTCGGTCGGGGAGCCGGGGGCAAACGGAACGAAGCCGCGGCCGCCGAACATCGGGCGCATGAAAGCGTCGTCGAATTTTCTCCAGTAGTAGTGGACGGTACGAGTGGGTCGTGTGAGGAGCATGCGCAGGCTGCTGGGGCGCGCTATGCTCTGCCCGGCTTCGTTGGGCTCCAATGGCGGGAATAGTTCCGATACTGAATCTTGGGTTTCGCCGAGCAGTGGCACCGTCGAGTTTGTGACGAAGGAGTCGCAGGAAGTCATGCTGCCTCCGTGCTTCGGCAGTAAGTATTTTATCAGCGGTTTGGTCATCAACCCGAACAACTGCATCAATCGCCACCAAGTAAGTATCGTCGTAAAAATACATGTTCATACTTTTAGGTGCATATTTTAATATAGATAGATAGATAATAAGTTTGTCTCATAATAAGGATACCATATTCTAAAGACACCCTAAAAAGAATACATTAGTAAAGAAGCATCTTACCACAGTGCTGAACAGCACAATCGTAATAGTACTGGTAATCATGATAGCATTGCCACGTTTTTTAGTGTGCCCTAAGCTCGTAAACTGCACGATTCAAGTAAAGTGTGGTGAATATTTTAGTCCATAGCATGGAGTAGCTGCGTGCCTTAACCGTAGAACTTACGCCAAAATCATACATATATATATATATGTATGTATATGTATATATTACCTGGTTGTAAGCAAGAGCCATGGAAACCGCACCTCGCATAAGACCAGCCCACCATATCGTAATCTAGAAATTATTTATTCATAAAATCACGATATAAGCAGCATGAAGAAAATGTAGAAATATGAAAGGTAAGAAGTCATACTTGCTGCTTAAAGCTAATCTTCTCATGCCGAGACTTCTTCGTTAAATTGGACAACAACGATAGAGGGAAGATAAATGCAGCTCTGCTCACCAAAATCAGTCCCAATACAATTGCACTGACAGATACCGACGTCATTGGGCTGAAAAAAAAATTAAAAAAAAATAGAAAGATTAGTTTTTTATGTCAAATTTAATTTTACTATTTAACCTGCACAATTTTCAATAAAAATATATTATTTCGTCTTACAAAATATCACATCAAAATACTATTTCAAACAATTTTCAAATCAAAAGCGAACAGACCCAAAATAATCGTCTCATAAGAAGCTTTAAGTTTGATTGGAGCTCAAGAAACATAGGCGCGACTTACCTATCGCTAACAAAACTCCATTTCTCAATGTCCAAGGCATCCATACCAACATATAGAAATATGAATGTCTCGGCAACAAACGACATTGTTGCAAAAGTGTGTCTGCATTGCAGGATAATCATTAGTAAGTAAAAAAGGTAAAGTAACATTCCGATAATAGAAAGACAAGCATATGTATGTTGTTTGCGTGTGGGTTAGATTGGGATATGAGATCATTACTTAGTGGTGATTCTTGATTTCTCGGTAACGTTATGCCAGGTGTAATGCGACATCACAATTCCACAGAAGAACACGGTGAGAATGCCACTCAAGTAGAATAACTGCAAGGCATGTGATGATTCAGGAAGGAAAAGATTAACATCTGGAACACAATATATAGGTCGAAAAATAAGAGAATGTCAAGTTCAAATGTTCTTTTAAAGGACAACGAAGAAACTTACTTCAGCCAACATGTATGAAAGGTAAGCCAAGAGCATCATTATAGCAACTTCCCGATCAGTGGAATGCCTGCAATTCATTGCAGAATAGCCAAGAAATTGTTATATATGAATATATATATATATATATACATTCATTAATCCCAACTCCTAGCTCCTAGTGCTATTTAATACTCTCTCCGTTATGCAAATGTGTGCTCGTTTGATCGGGCACGGGTTTTAATAAAAGTGAGTAATAATTGTTAATTTTTTCTTTTAAAGTAAAAAAAAGTACAAAAGTGATGAGAACCAAAAAAAAAAAGTGAGCATAGATTTGAATGACGAAGGGAATGTCAGTACAACAATGCAAAAATTAGTGAATGTCAACTCAAAATATTTTTCAAAAAAATATTAATCTCTCCGTCATCCAAATCTATACTAATTTTTTTTTTCTAAATTGTCATTAAAAAATATTCTCATTTTCTTTATAGTAAATCATTGCATTATTTTTTACATTTTTTTACTATAAAAGACTAACAATAGTTACCTATTTTTATTAAAATTTGTGCCCAAACATTTGAAGCACAGATTTCAACAACAAAGGGAGTACTAATTATTTTGCGACAAAGTAAGAATTTAATTCAAGGAATATGGTGCTGTGTAATGGAAAAAGGCACAAGTGAGATGATTGTCACCAACCTGCCAAAATAGAGCTTCTTAATGACGTATGCGCTAAGCAGTCCAGTCTAGAGTAAAAGATATGTTCATAATGTCAAAATGCAACTCAAAAGCTCACATACTAATTTCCAATGAGAGAGACTATATATATACACTTACCGCAACTCCCAACGCAGTGCTTGTTATAAATAAATAGAAGAAGCTTCCAATAAGCTGCAAACCCGCGGTGGTACTTAGATGAGAAAGGTCAAAGTTCTTGACTGCATTGAAAAGCACCACGGATGTTGCGTCATTCACAACGCCTTCTCCAAATACTAGGCTGTATAGCAATGGTGTTTCATCCTGACTGAGTACCTAAAATAAATCACACACATTTCATAGAGCTAATGACAACTTTTGCCTCAAATGTCACCAATAGAGAAGGCAGTAAAATATACCTGCAGTGTACAAACCGAATCGGTCGCAGCAAAAATTGCTCCAATTGCTGGAAAGACACAAAAGGTGGATGTTTGTCGGGAAAATTCATATATAAACATATATATACACATGAATAACTACATAAAGTCATAAATGAGGTGGAGAGACAAAGGGGTTTCTGAAGCAGGAGGTTGGGCAAGATAGTATATAAATAATTTTAATAAAGGATGCATCTCCCTAGAGAGAGAGAGAGATTTACCCAAATAATCTCCAATTTCAAGACCAATATCAATTTTTCCCAAGAATGCAATAGCACCTGCCAAAAAAATTTAGAAAGTAATGGCACATTCACATGCAACATAATTAAAACAATGAGATTATTTATTTAGATGATGGTGATACAATCTGAAGGAATCTAAGGAATGGAAATTCAATATAACTAGATTAAGTGATTCCAAGAAAGAATGTGAAATTTTGCCACATGCTCCTTTCTGGCCATAAGATTTTGGTTGAAGTTGAAAGAAGGTTGTTATGACAAATGCTCAACCTTAGTTAATAACATCGATATAATAGGACAGTAAATTACCTAATGATATAATGATGAAAGATATCAAGGTACCAAGTGCTCCAAACAGGACTATGGTCATGAAGTTGCGAAAGAATTGTTTCTTTTTTACCTGAAACCTGAATTGCAAATCAAGGCAAAGAGAAAAAGGGTTCAGTGGATTCACCCATCTCATAACACTAAAAATTACTGTAGTGCAAAAACTTCATCTATTAAACACCTTAAAACTTGGTCCGTTATCATCAATAATACAAGCATTTCAATAAATTTATCCAATAATTAGCAATGCTATACCATGGACCAAAAGGATCTGATTTATCCTATAATTGGCAAGAGGGCTTCCCCTCCCTTTGATTCAATAGATTAAAATAATTTGCATCCGAAAAAGAGTACAAAGCAAAAGAGTACATTACCCAGCATTAAAGATGATTGGTGGAAGCAGATAAATAAAGAAGAGATCCTCACTGAAGACCAAGAGCCGTGAGCTTTTCCCTCTACTTATTAGTAGAATTATGATTCCAGTGCAAACACCCTTTGATTTAGAAATACAAAAATAATTCAAACAATAAAACAAGCATAAGTAACAAAAACAGGATCCCCTAAATTGCAGATGGCTGCTGGAAAATTCCCATGGCATTTGTAAATGCAAGACCTCATGGATACTTACAATTATGAGGGCAGTGATAGATTCATTCATCCAACGATTTTCCTCCAATAGATGACCGATCACAATACATGCACAGAGCAGTGTGACAAACAAGTTAATCGAAACCACTGAAGTGTATTCTGAGGATAACAAAGACGTTGTTGTCTCTGCGATAGTTCCTGAGAAACTAGCCATGCTTTCCATCATTCAAATATATATATATATATATTAGCTCTCAACAACAATTGCTCCTGCAATACAGAACAGAGTTCACATTAGTAAATGCATCAACTAATAAGGCTCCGAAATCAGGGGCACACATATAAATGAGAATGGAAATTGATTCTTCATTTGATAAAACAGAGAATTTAACCGAAAAATGTAATGGAGAATTTAGCCGAAAAATATAATGGAGAATTTATTATCATTTATTCAAAATATATATACTCACAAAATGATGCATAAATTAAAAATCTAAAAAGAATAATAAGCTCATTTCCTTTGTATTTTATAAAGAAAGTAAGCGCATTTTTGTAAGACGGAGGGAGTACGTCATAAGACTACTATCACTTTACAAAACACTCCAATCGTGATGGATGTTGTGATGAGGGTGACAGCAACATAGAGGAAGTAGAAGATTTGGGGAAAGAAACAATTGAAAAAGAACTTTCAATGCAAAATGAAAATTAATGGAGATAATCAGTAGTTCTATCTTTTTTTTTCTCCCACGAATTCAATTCTCTTTCATTTCTCCGTATACAAGAGAATTTAAATTAGAGAATAACAAATGATTTGTTTCTCAATTTTCAATTATCAGGTCCAATCAAAGACCCCCTATGTTTCTCCTCCTTCAGTGCTTGATTGTTTGCATAGAGAAAAACGAAGAACATATTATCCCTAACTAGAGAAAGCCACAACAAACATGTGTGCATTAACTACCAAATGAACAAAACGAGTTCCACTAAGCACATCAAACTCGTAAATATGTATTAAAAACAATGAACCCTGTTTATGTATGAACCGAACCTCCTAACAAGTCTATCCACATTTCTATCTCCCCTTTACCAAGTTCAGTTCCTTCCAATATCTTACAGCATCGTGAGTTGATTTTGAGGAAATTAAGCCATAGTTATCGTTCAAACTTCAGAAATCATACTTCGAAGCACATGTTAACATACGCAAACCAAACACGTGTATGGACATACGAAGCAAAACACAAAACTCGCACCATACTAACTCCATTGATAGAATTAAAGCTTCTGCTAAATACGTAGCGCGCAAAATTACCTTCGAAGAGCCGACCAAATCCGAATCAAGAACTCCGCAGTAGATCTCAACTTCTCAACTCCAAATGCACAGCGTAGCACCAAAACAAGATGTATGAGCGCAACTACCAACCGCGAATTCGGGGAAAGTGATAATTCAAAGTCAAGTTACTTCTGACCGCACAGACAACGGAGCCACAATCCAACACGGATTCACAATCCGCGTGGTCCGGCGTGTGGCTTGTCACGATAGCACAGCAGCAAGCAAATTTCCGAGAAGAATAATATCCTCCTTCGATGAAGCAGATATGAAAGGTGAAGATCTTACGGTCGTAGTTCGAAGTCCAGATCAAAGCAGACGGAAGATTCCTTGGGAAGAATAGTAGGGCACCTCGCCAGAAATAAATAGGAATATAATATATATATATAGTTTTGATTTTAATTTTTTAAGTTGACACGATAAAATTATTACTCCTTCCTTCCAGATACAAAAATTTAAGTAAAATATAATTAATGAGCAATTAACTCAACAAATTATGCGGCATAGGAAGAATTATTACAATTACTGAGCCAATATGGAAATTGGAAGCACGAGAGACACGCGCCACGTTAGGGTTTGAGCATGTGGGCCCTACTTATATGTCCATATTTTATATTGTCTTCCTCCCCTAAATATTCATTTATTTTCTAGACAGAGTTTTACTATATTAGAATTATATTTATAAAGGTAATGATTGTAATAAATTGTGAATTACAGTGGTATTTTTAATATTACGTAAATAGTATATTTATTAAAAAAATATAAATAAATATTTTGTTATGAAAAACTAAAATAAAAAAATAAATAATTTGTTAAGGAACGAATGGAATAATTTGAAAGTTTAATAAATTAATTAGGGTAAATTATTTAATATTATTGTCTTTAGTAAAAATGTATTTTATTTATAGTGTGAAATTTCTTTTGTATTTGTTAAGATATGAAGTCTTATTATATTCTAAAATTTAGGTATATAATTTGGATATTATATTCTAAATTTTAGAGATAAGATTTATATACTATTGGCGGCCTAGACTTAGGCTATAAATATCTATGTATTCTCACTTTAACATGTGTTTGCGTACTTTATAGTAAAATACTTTATAGTAAAATTTCTGGCTTTGTAGCACCCTAAACGTAGATCATCGTGATCGAACTGGGTTACCAAATTCTTGTGTTTTTTTATCTTTGGTCTGGTTCGTTGGTAGGGTGGATTAAGAGGAATCAAACATTGGGTCGTTGTAGGAATCCCTTGTGACCTGCAGAGGTGCCTTGTGTCGAAAGTCTCCTAGCGATGTTGGGTCGGTCCAGAGTGGTAGGTCAGGCAGCGGGTCCCTTTGTGATAAGCGGTGCAAGGTTGGCAGGGAAGGATAAGGATTTCGGAAAACGTAGTGGAGGAGATATCCGATGTGCTCTCGTATCAAGTGAACCTTAGGTTTGTTTGTGGGAGTCAAGATGGATGAAGTCGAGTAAAAGAAGATCGACAGGAAGACGATGAGTGCGGTTCGATTAACCTTTGGGACAATATCTCGACTTAATTTAGATTTGAGGCAAAAGTAAATGGTGAAGATCAATAATAGTCAAAGTTGAAGCCGAAGAATAAGTTTAAGAAAGATGCAAGTCAGGTGGTATGTTGGAACTGCAAGGGCACTTGAAACGAGAGTACAGAGCGCCAGAGATGGATCAGGTTCGGCAAACACATCGGAGGAGATATCCAATGTGCTGATTCTGAGCATCAGCAGTCCAATTGAGTCATGGATCTTGGTCTCAGGAGCGTCATTCCACTCATGCAGTAATTCATGAATCATGTAATCCTATACCATAGGTAATTTTGGTGTTGTCTATCTTGCATATGATAAGACATTGAAAATTGTAGGTAAATGAATGATTCAAATCAGAACACCGAATGGTGGGGAGTCGAGATTGAATGACGTGAGTCATGTTTTGGGTTTGAAAGGAAATCTGATTTCTGTTGAACAATTGGATGGGGCAGGTTACTCGTCATGGAAGGTAACCTAAGGATCCATTGTGGTGGCCCAAAAAAGAAAAGATAGAACTCTCTACATGACGAAAACCATACAAGATGGAATCAGTTCCGTGGCCATAAATAATGACACAAATTGATGGCATTCTCGTCTCGGACACATGAACGAGAAGGGGATAGGGAAGCTCGTGTCAAAGGGAAGATTTTCAAGTCTCAAGTCCGTCGATATTGGAGTATGCGAGGACTGTATCTTTGGGAAGCAACGAAATGTGGCATTCTCAAATTATGGGAGAGACCTGGAAAAGGAAAAGTTGGAGTTGGTTCATACGGACTTACGGGAACCAACTTTTGTATCGACCCTTGGAGGCTCACAGTACTACCCCGTGGTCATTGACGACGTTACAAGGGAGGTATGAGTACATTTCCTTAAGTGTAATTATGATGTTTTTGATACCTTTAGGAGGTGGAAAGCACGTGCAGTGGGATAGCGAGTCGATTTATGAGCAATCCTGAAAGACAATCTAAGGTGGTGACCTTAGATAATTGAGGTTGTGTTCAACCTCAATGGGCCTCGATGAGTGAGGAAAGAGGCTTGGCGTTGTCATTGCAAATGAAGTAAAATGTTGAAGTGGAAGATGTAATCAGTCTTCAAGTGAGAGATTGTTGATATATGAAGCCCGATTATATCCTAAAATTTAGGAATATAATTTGGATATTATATTCTAAATTTTAGAGATAGGATTTGGATACTATTGGCACAGACTTAGGCTATAAATATTCATATATTCTCACTTTAACATGTGTCTGCGTACTTTATAGTAAAATTTCTGGTTTGGCAGCGCCCCCAGACGTAGATCATCGTAATTAAACTGGATTACCAAATTTTTGTGTTATATTATTTCATCTTGATTTTCTGGGAATTTTTGTAACAAATATTAATTTAAAATTTGCACAAAATATTTTTTTTTTTGTTCAATGCTAATGTTTAGATCTAAATAAATACATAAATTATATCAATTAATATCTTAATAATTTTTTTAATAAAATAAATAATTGATCGATCATTTATTTTTATAATTTTTATAAAATTTTAAATAATAATTTATCTAAAAAAAACTATATAACTAAAGATTAAAGATTCCTAATATTTATTAAATGTATAGTTTCTTTCTTTTTTTAAGCAATTAAATGTATGTTTTCAATAGTTACATTGCATACAAAATTCCTAATATTTATTACTCCCTCCGTCCCATTGAAATATTACCATTTTCTATTTTCGTATGTCACAAAATAAGGTTACCATTTTCTAATTTAGTAATTGTACTACATACTTAACATAATAAATACCATTTCAACTTACAATATATTACACAAATGTCATTACTTTTATATCACACTATACTAATAGGGGTATTTTCGTCTTTTTCACTACAATTCAATATAATACTAATATTCAAAAATCTACGTGCAAAAAACAAATGATACACTTCCAATGGGATGGAGAGAGTATTAAAAATTAACTAAAATAAAAGGGTTTGTTTTGTTGTAATTTGAAATTATGTATTGATATTAATTTTTATTTAAATAATATAGTTATGTAGTATTTCAATGAGAAAAATATATTTTTATTGAAAATTGAAATGAATAACATTAATTTAAATTTGAAATCACAATCAAACACATACAAATAATCATTTAGTTTGAATGTTAATTTAAATAATTATTCGATCTAATATTATATATATATATATATATATCTATTTTTTGAAAATTATAAAATTAAATAGCAAAAAGTCAATGAAAACTTAGAAGAAGGGGTTTGTTTATAATTTTCACTGTTTTCAACAAAACGACACATTGCTCCCAACAAAATCATTGTTTATAATTTTCACTGCTTTTAAACAAAAACCAAAATCTCTTTTGTATAAACAAAATCATTTTTGAATTCTTTTGTTTTTTAGTGAATGATATTCCAAATCAATATATATTTTACTCTTGTCTTAAGCTAACCATCACACTTCAGCGCTGACGTAGAAAATCAAATATATATATATACATATATATTGGGCAGCTGTTAAGATGTTGTTGGGGTGCATACCCAAGTCCCATATTGAAAATTGGGAAGAAAATTATACATTTTATAAGTCCCAAGTTCAAAGTGAATTCTATTAGTACGAGACTTTTTGAAAAATATCCAAAATCAAATTCGTGCAGGCTCAGCCCAAAACGAACAATATACCAACATTGGTATCAGAGCCCGGTTAGATTATATGGTGAAGTGAAGGTGGTGAATTCCGTGCGAGCCTAGTCCCAACATATGTGATTTAAAAAAAATTAGTATTATATTGATTTTTTTATACAAATTATTTAAATTTTTAGAAAGTACGTTCAAAATTGTAGCATCAATTCAAAGTTTAAATAACATTAAATATATTTGTATAGGAGCACAAGATATTCTATAAAGCATTTTTACATAACATCGTACGAACTCTTGTAAAGCAGCAGACGTACTTTTGTGGAGCACCAATTTAAAAAATAAAGAAAAAATATATAATTCTTATTTTAAAAGCACAGTGATATTTACACTAAATTTTGATGCTCTCTTAATATTTACTATGTGTTTTTTGAAAAAATCGGCACCGTAGTCTAACCCTACGGACCAATTATGATCCAAATTGATATTTTCGTATTGGTATCAATGCTTATTAGTTGTATTAAGTTAGATTATAAATAGATTAACATTGATATTCAAAGAAATGTTATTGGCATCTTTTTATTTCATGTTGGGTGGTACTTTTTTAAATTATATTTTCTCACTATTATTTAAAAAATAAAAATAAACAAAAATCTACCAAAATTATCTAATAATCTTGTGAAAAATCACTCAAGATTTGTTCTTTTAATATTTTACATCAAAATCAATATTACTTATGATACAATTTTGAATAAAAATACCTTATTTTTTTTCCGGGTTTGTGGAATAAAATATTCAGCACATTTGCTGAAAGCCTTTATAATTAATTATTATAATTATATGAATAATAAAACTTAATTATATACATTAACATAATTTTTAAATGTTTCAGTATGGTGCTTTTCATTCAGCACCGGATTCTAAACCTATTTATATTTATTTTTGAAAAATATTATATCTAAATATTATTTGAACAAAAAATTTAAATTTAACATTTTATTTTAAATCAATTACAAATCACAACCAAACAAACCCGAATTATTGATGTCCAAAATGGATGAATTTAATAGTTATATTGCATTCACTTCTTGTTTATTATGTTACATATGATAATCGTGTTAGTAATATAAAAAATAATATTTTATATTAGATTGTTAACTTATGTGGGTAAATAAAATGTTTTTTTTAAAAA